GGCCCAGCTTTTCCAGCGCCCCCGCGGGGCCGGTCCCGCTCAGGACGAGCAGCTGGGGGGTGCCCACCGTACCCGCGCACAGGATGACCTCACCGCGGCCGGGGTTGACGTCAGCGTGGCGGGCGGTGTTGTCGGCAGCCGTGAAGTCGACGCCCACCCACGTGAGGTCGATGAGAAAAACCTCGTCATAGCTGACTCCGCACTGCTGAAAAGGCGTTCGCTTCGATTGGATTCCCTTCAGTGACAATACGCATTGTGCTCTCGACAGTCGTTGCGCTGGGTCGTTGCCATTGGCCGAAACGAGCCGCGAACCGGCCAGATATTGTGGCTTAATGAGATCTCTCAGTCAACCTTGCACATCTAGAACGATTGGCAGTTGTTAAAAAAGCTGGGAAGCACTACTCCGATATGATGCGCACTTTCTGCGTTTCCAACAAAATCAACTGGGCTTCCGAACCTAATCTACGAAGTTCCTCCTGTGCGAAAAGAGAGCCTCCTCGAGTGGTCAGCAACGAATGTCTTCAGTCGACCCAGATCCGTTTTCAATTCAGTCTTCTTAAGTCCTCGATGCAGGTTTCATGTTTACGCCAATATCCTGGGTTGATCAATGAGAGCACTGAACAGCGTTGGGCGTGCAAAGTCTACGTGACGTTCTGCTAGGAACTTGATTAAAAACGGCTCGTTTGGAACTTTTGTTGATACACTCTCACTCCCTTCTTGACAGCAAGGAACACCAGAGGTTCCACTGGGCGGGCCACAAGAAGCAGTGCAGTGACAACTTGTCCCACGCAGATCTTTCACCAGATTACCAAGATGAGAGCTGGGATGAATGCTTTTAATTTTAAACATGTTGGTATTGTTTTGTTTTTGATGCAACTTCGGAGCTGCGTCAGCTTCTTTACTTGCTTCAGCAGAGATATCGTTCGAAGCAACTGGAGAGCAGCCTTTTGCAAGGGAATGAGAGACGAACGGAATTCCCCTCTGCCCATCTTAAATACTTCTCTTGCACTTCCCGTTTTCTCTCTGCAGAACGGAAGGTACTTCGTTGGCGGCTCGTGTCGTCTGAAAGTCTGATTCTAACTCTTGTAAAGTATCTGCTGCCTGGACCGTTTGAGTGTACGGACGTTTGATCGCACGCTCTCGGGATACATTGTTGCAGGTAGACGAACCGGAAACACGTCTGTGTAGCCTGCCAGGGTTCGACAAAGAATGAAGATTCATGAGTAGATTTACATTAAGGGGATGGAACAGATAAGTTTGAATAGAGTGGCGCAAAGCTGTCCGACTCGTTAAAGCTAATCTTTAGGCAGAAGGTCCGGTGGCTACCAATTTAATCGGTTTGTAGAACGTATTTTGGTGGCCGATGAATGTCACATGTCCAAAGCTCTTCTTGTATGTAGCAATCTTCTGATGCATGGACTCATGATCCAGATTACCAGCTAGCCCAATCGAACCCTCATCAAGCTGTCTAATCTGATGCGAAGCCGCCGCCGTTCCAGATGAAAGACGTCGTTGTATACAGCTCTAGTCGGAACAGAAAGTAAAGGTATCAGCCTGGTCAACGCACGACGACTTCCATATGACGGCGGCCTTTTGCCTTAGGTTCATACTCGTACTGCAGCTAGAAGAGGCCCGCAGCTTGCACATGCTGTGGGTGGAAAGAAACAACAAGGAATGTTGGCCCGGCGACCAACCGACTGTCCGGAATCTGCTGGTCAGGTGCCTGATTATACAGAGCTCAATATGGACATGCTGTATGGCGCGATCCGCTACCTGAATAAGTTTTCCGAGGTAATTAGCGTCCAATTCAAGCACAGCACACTCTCAGCTCCCATGAATAGGCGCTGCCTTTAAAATATTCCCGCAGGGCGCCGACATGCACAAGCACTTCAAGAGAATTCCGAGGCTCGCTCGACCGCGACTCTGATTCGCCTCTGCATTAGAAAGCCGACCGCGTATTCCCGTACGACAGGACCATGTCCCGGCCCGGAAGCTGTTGCTTGTGATTGACCGCTTGAGAACGGACATGTGCACCGCTTCCTTCTGTATACGAGACGACGAGTGAGAAAAGCATGCATGTTGAAATCGAAGCCCTAGCTGCAACGGATGCACAAGGTCTTGCATATGGACTATGCATGGGAGCTCGAATGGCTTGCTGTAAGGCGGCCGCCTCAGACGCTTTCAAAACATGCTCTCACTATTAGGAGATGCGTAGTGCAAGTCCTCTGCATGTGTACAGTGTAAGGCTTGCTCAACAAAGTACTCAAACTCACTGTGCGGTATACTGGCAACGTCAAAAGCAATCGTACGAAAGCTTGAGCCTTGTCGCAAATTACAAAACTCGATCGCTACAACGACGCTGTCCAACTGTACAAACGTCGCTCCTTTCAGAGCATGGTCCAACCTAAAGTAGTCTTCAATGGACACCCAAGCAGAGTAAGTTCCTTTCTAGCGGAGTATATATGTCGGTCCACTGACCCGATCATTATACATACACGGAGAATAGTCAACATTACATGATCCTGTCATTGCTTAAGTACGTACTACAACTAAATAACTGTAAGTCTTGACGATCTTACGCCTTTGAATACAAGGGTTCAGGCTGTGGAGCCCTCTAACGGGACTCCAAAATCAATCCTGTTGCCAATTTCACAGAACAACTCCAGATTTCTCTACGGAAAGGCAGCTTGCATCTCCAAATCATGGGCCGCATCAACGGCGTCCTCGCCTTCCGCCATCTCCATGGCGACAGGACCTAGGCAGTCGAGAACGAGGGGCGCGTTTCCGTTGCGAACCAGGTCGCGCGCGGTGTCGAACGGCGACCACGGCTGATCCACCTGCAAAAAACGCAGGCCACTTTAGACTTCGACCGCGTCGTTATCTTCGCAAGCAGTTCTTCAAGATGATTTTAAGCCGCCAGCAGGAAGGAGTCTAGCAGAACGATCATGTTTTCCATTTCGTCCGCGTTCCAATCTGTTTAAGGCGCCGTCGAGCCAGATATTCGACACTAGTGGAAAAGCAAGAATCTTTAGCGTCCCAGGTCCTCGGCAGTGTTCAACGGACGGAATCAAACTAACCATCGTTGGACCAAAGGGAAAAGGCTCGAAGTGATGACGCTGTTTTCCACTACATGCATACAAAGGCAGTCGAAGGAGGTCGTACCTGAACGGGCACGGTGGGCGAGTGCAGAGATACTGCCGCACCAGCGTTCTCTTCCGCACGGCCAAAGTAGTCCTCGATCCAGGTAGGGCCATCTAAGCCATACCAGCCAGCCTGCAATGATAGAAAAGATGGTCCGTTCCGCTCTCCTTAATAAGTGCAGTTTCCGTCCTGTCACAGTAAGAAAAAATGGATATCGAGATGGAGTCCTGTACCACAACGTGTCAACCGGCTTGATCGACGTCCACAAGGCACAGTACGTCACTCCAGCTTGTGCCGGTTAATAAGTCTCACCGAGACAAGCCGCAATGTTATCGTGCCAGCATGACTGCCCAGCTCGGGGGCCGGGGGACTCCGATCCAGCGGCCTTTGAAACCCGCTTTGATAGGATCGTAGTAATCAGGTCTTCGCCAGCAGAGCCTTCTACGTGTCTCTTTTCTGCACTCACCTCCTGGAGGATGTCGTCACCCCCGTCCGCGGGCAGGAAAGCACCGTTTTGGGTGAGAACGTCAACGTCCTGGGTGGTGACGTCAGCGGCACCGAGGAGCACAGCGCCGCCCTGGCTGCTGACGTCAACATCCTGGATGGTGACGTCAGTGGCACCGAGGAGCACAGCGCCGCTCTGGCTGCTGACGTCAACATCCTGGGTGGTGACGTCAGCGGCACCAAGGAGCACAGCCCCGCTCTGGCTGTCGTCAACATCCTGGGTGGTGACGTCAGCCGCACCGACGAGCACAGCGTCTCTCTGGCTGCTGACGTCAGCATCCTGGGTGGTGTCGTCAGCGGCACCGAGGAGGTAGTTCAGGCAGGCGCGCGCGCTTGCTCGCACCGTGATGACGCAGTGGCGCGTGCTGGGGTCGCTGAACCAGTTGTCGAGGTACGCGAGGAGGGCCCGGCAGAGCGCGGGATCCTGCTTGGCGCGGGCCAAAAAGTAGTCGATCGCCGAGAGGAGGCCACGCTGGCCGAGTTTTTGGCAGCGCGGCACACCGAACGTCCGGGGCCACGAGATCTGTGAAGGAAAGTGATGGAGGCAAGTCTGTTGGGAGTAGCGCAAGCCTTCGGTCGGGAAGCCCGGAGAAGCCTTGGATGCCATGTGGGATCAAAAAGAAAGGAATGAGCTTGCAGTATGGACTCGGACTTCAATTCGATAAAGGAGGCCTGTCAGCGGTTTTACCTGATGATTTGAAACACTTGATAGCCACAGCCTTCTTAGAAGCCCAACTGCCTCTTCTTTGCACGACATACAGGCTTGACACTGCATATTCTGAACGGCCCCCACGCGCAGACTGGCCTTCTTCATTTTAGAGCACGATCAGCTTACAGATGACCTTCTTCGTGAATGCATGCTCTCAAAACCCTCGGCTTCCTTTTCTGCTCAAAAGCATACAGGTCTAAGGACTTGTTGTGACGGGGCAAGACACCACTTGCCCGCAGTGAAACTCCATCTACTCGAGAAACCACCTTTACACAAGCATGGCCCGTTCACACATCCTCTAGCCTCACCTTGTCGGTCAGACGTTTGTTGTCCCGCATATACTGGTTCAGACCATGGTACAGGCCAGCCACGAGGCTTTCCAGTGAGAGGGTGTCTGCGTTTTTGAAGATGACGTCAGCAGCTCGTAATTTTCCGCTGGGGTCAACGACATCGGCGTCCAGTCTGCATTAAGAAAAGTCAGGTTTCTGTTTTGAGTGAGCCTTCAGATTGAGATTTAGATGGACGTTTGGTGAGCCCACAACATTGGAATCTCGTTGGGGTGCTCTGTGCACTGCAATCAGCCTTTTTGGGGGATGAATCTCTTATTATTTCAAGGTCCGAGTAGAGGAAACGTACCGCGAGTGACTTGAGTTTCACTTTTCATCAAGCTAAAATAATCTTCTTCGTCCTCCTCCGAATCGTATGAATTTGCAGGCACTGCCACTTCTGCACAAAACCTTGCTTCATGGCTCATAATCTTTTGATGCTTTGCCAGTGGGCCCTGTGAACAGGACTTTATGGGAGAAAGAAACTGAGGTTTTGGTAAGAAAGCCTCCTCTGATCTCCTTGATGGATTCGGAGCAGTTGTGTATGTGAACAGCAGTGACAAGGCTTTTTCCAAGTTAAGGCGAAGCTGGTGAATTATTCTTCTGAACTTACCCGCCGGCGCTCGTGTCCCTCAGAAGGTCGTCCACCATGCTGTAAAGGTAGTGGACCACCATTAACCTGCGCCCCCCACCGGAGTCCTTGATGCCCGCCGCATTCAGGAACTCTTCAACTTTTTCTGCATTTGGAAACAGGTCGAGCAACACTGCTCGCAGGAAGAGTACAAGGAATGAGGAGCTGGTTAACGGATTCATGGCGGGCAGATTCTAGACGCAGCACTAGTTGTGCGCAGCTAGTGCTGGCTGTTGTTGCCTCGGTGTGCCTGTGAGTTGGAATGAGCGCACAAAGCGATTGAATGCGCTATATTTATATGAGTCACGCATGTCTCAAGGCTCCAAGCTTACAAGTTACATCGACTGCTGAAATGGTCCCCATCGCCTCTTGTAGCCAGCGTTTGTCCGTGACCTCTCAAATATGCACTGGCTGGCCCATGGCCGGCCGCCACTGTGCTTGAATTCTGAAGTAGTAGTAGGTACATATTTTGATTTAGGTCCTCGAAGCTCATGCACTAGTGGCAAGGACCCACTACGTAGTCCCACTTCCACGCAGGATCGATGGGCAAGCTGGCGCTAGCGGGCGCACGGCTCACGGGTGACAGATGGTTTTGACGGGCGACGGTGCCCAGATCCCACATACCGTATGATGACGGCATCATGGTGGCATCAAATGCCGGCATTAACTTGACCAGATCATCTCGCCGCATACTGGTAACTCAAGTGTGCTAGTAAGAGCAGTGTGCCCTAAGATCCGTAGACCCCGACCAAACAAACTAAAAATCCTAACCCAAACATTTACACGCTCCGCTCACGAACCCACCCTAACCACCAACCTAACCCTACCCGTCCCCCGGGTGCCTATCTTAGGGCACACCGCGGTTAGGGCACACTTGCGTTACCAGACTCCTCGCCGTGCAAGCGATACGCCGCATGCCGGCCTTTGATACCGTACGCAGGAGTGTGTCCATACGGCTGCCAGCTGGCAGCTGGCTGCGGAAATCAACTTCGGTAGCGACGAGGGGCCTAGTAGGCCCTAGGGACTCGATGCTCGTCGCCATGGCCGGCCATCATCTTGGCGGCCATGGGTAAGCTACGCCGACGGCCCCACGAGTCACGACTCCAACCTGGGTAAGCAAAGTGGCTGGGACCCATGTTAGCCTTCAGGTACGTCGAGTCAGATTGTGGCAGAAGTGAGCACTGAGTGAGCACCTGCTAATTGGGGGCGCTAGAAGGACGGCTCCTCATGGGAGCCCTAAATGCAGAACCCAAATCCAAGTGTTGCTAGATTGCCCCTGAATTTGGATCTATGGGTGAACGTAACACCCCTATATGTGGAAGCCAGCTTCGCACGCAGAGTGTCGGAGTAAAGGAAATGTCACTTGTATCGTGAAGGGGCAAAGCAGGCTTCTGTCGCGATGGACACTCTTTTTGAACAACTGGAGATGGCAATGAAGGATTCGGGAATGGGCTCTGAAGTTGACCCAGGCGCTCAATCCGGGTTAACTGTTCAAATGGAGGACCGATGCCTTGATGGGCTACCTTCTTCCCAGCATGATCCGAGGGGTCCCATCCCTGTTGTCAAAAAGAAGCCAAATAGGGGTGTCCGGACTGCAGCCAAGTCCATCTATCAGGGTTTTCTGAAGGCCCACGTCTGTAAGCTTGCAGGGGAGAAGCTGGGGCCGGCCGATCTTGATAAGGGGCTCAAAGCGCTGCAAAAACACATAGGTCAAGCCTCCGCGCGCTGCGGGTCTGGCCCTTGCAGACAACTGCGGGGGAGATGGAGTTGGCCAGAGGATGCTGACATGAAGAATCCACACAATAGATCCAAACCTTTCATAAAGGCTTTTGAAAAGAATTACAGAATGCCGACGGAGATGACAGAGAACAACCTTATTGATTCCTTCCTGGAGCAGCTGCAAGCTGGTAAGAGTTTGTTTGCTTACATCATGATCGCAACGCCAACCTCCCCTGATGTCGTGCTGGGTAAAAAGTCATAACTCGAACAGCTGCGATTCTTTGCACAAACTAGCTCAATCCAGTAACTTCGGCAGAGTGTTTCTAAGGTGTAGATAAAGCTGCCCAGTTCTTTGACCTGACCTTGGTTTGTAAAAGAAGGCCTCAAAAGAATGCTGTTGGAAATGCGGCAAGATGCTCTTTTCTACCTGTACGCTTCCTGTGGATGCGGTCAGCATGTAGCTGCGATTCATTGAAAAGAACCTGAGAAATACATGTTCGATTCAGGATTGCGCATTGTTGTATTCTACCAATCTGCAAGTACTGATACAGTCAACAACACAGATTGCGACTGCTCCGAGTTGAGCGCACCGGATTTTGGCGTACTGCTGTCAAGGCCAGGCACAGATGCAGGCGCTACTGGAACTCGGGGAACTTTCAACGGTATGGCCCCAGGCCTCTCTTTCTCTCTGAACTTCCTACAACGAAGCTCATCCATGACTTCCTGCTATCAAAGAGGCTTTGAATGGATATTATCACCCTAGCACTGCATTGTCAACAACGTGTTTTCCAATGCTGCTTGCATAGGCCCTCCGCTGTGTTCGAGAGCCCTTTTTAGTCGAACCCTCCCCCATGTCCAGGGTGAGTCTTGCTTGAGCAAAAGCTTGGCAGCATTGTTGCCCTAAAGGCTGTGGGCAGAGGTATGTTAGTGTATCAGTTGACTCGAGCGAGCAAGCTTGTCTTCTGCCCGCTACCTTCGACACAGAAAAGAGTTGCCAGGTGACAGATCCTTTTGCAGTGTAACCCTGCCTCTTCAACCTTTGGCCAGCCTTCAGCCACCAACAGCTTCTTACACCCCTTTCATCCTCCATCAATCTAGGTTCAAGATCACTTGACTCCCCACCACTGTACTGGCCCAATCATTATTCAAGCCAGCTACTTGTACTTTTGACCATCCCAGGCAGCCCCTGCAAACCAATCGCCTTCCTTTGCTTTCAGGGACTGCCCAGCAGGAGCCCCAGAACTCTCACCTGCGATCCCTTGCCGAGGTACTCTTCTCGGATAACACGTCAGGCGAGTTGAGCCAGGGCGATCAAGAAGAAGAGGCTGGGCAGGAAAACCTGCTGGGACGCTTTCCTAACGCCCCATTATTGATAGGGGAGGTCAATAGTACGCAAGTCCGAAGATCAAGGACCAGAGGAGTGCCCCGCGAAAACACAGCAGGGGGGGCAGCTCAGGATACCCCTAACCCAGCAGGCCAAATGGTGGAGGCACCCCGGGCTTGCGCTGTCAGTGGCTTTAGGAGCACGGCAGAATGGAGCCGAGCCCATCTCCAGGGGGATGCCCTTGACAGCAATCTGAAGCGGATAGTGGAAATACTGGTCAAAGAAGCAGCACCGCGTGAGCGGCTAAGGATTCAATCCCTGTTCATCCAGCTCAGCGGTATTGCAGGGCCGGATAGCAAGCGCGACTTCGCAGGCCACATCTTGCATCACACTGACCGCAAGGTAAAGAAGAACCATTTCTTGCGTGTCAGGGAAATGAAAAGGTTGTGTGTAGTCTGACAGAATTCTGCTGCCAAGAGCGATCAGACTGATACCCGCGTTTCAGAAAGAAGCTTTTGGAACTGCCAAGCGAGAAGTCTTCTTGGGGTTTGAGGGAAGCAACAGGACAAAGTACACCGCTTTCTAAGCTGTTGTGGGCATGCACAGTGCAAGAAGCTACATAAGGCAGTGCATGCTGCATTTGCTAGTACATTTCTGCAAGCACCTGATGCTGGCTAATGGTATGACCTGCACAAAGATGTTTTCTTTACCCACTGCAGTGGAACCCCGAGGAACAAAGGATCGAACATGGGGCGGCTCCATCGAGGCGCCTTCTGGGGGTTGACGATGCCGACCTGGACTCCGTGATCTCTTGGAGCTTGGTCCATTGCAGAGGCAACAGGGACGCACTTCACGTACTGGAGCATCAGCTCCAAAGGCCAGTTGGACCAGCACAGTGCATCCTCTATTCTGTTGGGTGCGGCGTCATCGATGCTCTGCGCGGTCCTTTGGGAAACATTGGCGGATCGCCTGGAGGCGGCCCAGGCGGAGGTGGGGGGACAGACAGTGGGGGGAACGGGGAACTGCCGCCTGGGGGTGACAGGCCCGAGTCAAGAAGCAATAAGCGACGGCGGGATAGTAGAGAGCAGGCCGGAAACGGGGCGAACGGTACTGCTAGGCAGGGGCAGAGCAACTGGGAGCTTGGGGTTGACGACAAGGGGATCCCCAGGAGCGACTCTTTACTTCACACTGCTCACGAGCCCCTCCCCGTGAAAGTGGAGGGCGATGTCCCTGGGGTTCTGCAGCCTGAGACTTCCCGCGAGGAGCGAGGCGTTGCTGAGGATAATTTCTCTTCCAACGGATTGGGTTGGTGCAAAGGGACGGAGGGCGGGTCACAATTACCCTTCGAGCCGGGAATGGGCGAAGATCCAAAGTGAGTTTTGCGGGTGGGAATTGAGCTGGCAGCGTCTTTGAAAAGCTATATCGATGACGGGCTTGGATTTCTTGCTTAATGAGCGAATCGTGAAGGTTGAAAGAGGCCTTCCTTCGTTGACCTGCGTCCTTGTTGTTGGCCTTTCTGTAGACTGACTTCCGATTGGTCGCTTCGACCCTTCGCATATGGTCCTTTCATATCAGATTGTAAGGTATATCAGCAGTACGTTGCATTTAGTCACCTGTCATTCTGCTTAGAGGATCTGGCTCCCGTCTTCTCAGGACTTTCGCAGCCTTTGATCAAAGAAATAAGAGAGATCGAAGCGTCTCTTTGCCACATTAGGATGGCATCTGATTTTTGTGGAAAGTTTCTCTTTGGTGGAGGATGCCTTGTGAAAGCATGAAGGAAAAGTAAAAGAGGAAAAGAAAAAGACACCGGTTTTTCGTTGCTGTAAGCCTGATTGCTGACGAAGTATCCGATTATGGTGCGCTCTGCTTCTCAGAATCTACGCAACGTAAGTTAGTACTGCTGTTCGTCGCCACTGTGCTTAGAACAGTTGCGCTTTTCTTCTGGGTGCAGAGCAGCGTTAGTCTTCACAAGAGACGGAAAGCTGCAGCAGATTAGCACGCTTCTTTAGCCCTTGCGGCGCTCCGACCTTCAGCAACTTGCCTCTCACATGATGAAGGCTTCGAAGGGAGCAAGTGGACCGAGAAGTAGGAGCAGCAAGGTACGTACATCCTCTCGCTTCTGCCCGGGGATGGCTGGGATAAGTTTCTTCTGCTTTCATCAGTGGGCCAAAAGGGCGACGACTCAACAGTGTAATCTGGGTGGCCATTAGCCAGCACAGGAATGAGAACCAGATGACCTTACTGTGCTCTTTCGTTCGCTATCTGACTTGCTGAACAATAGTACAGAAAAGTCCGATACGCAAGGACGGCTCTCTCTCTCGGCTCACCGCAGAAAGGGGTATCGGTCTTCTCGTCCAGTGCGCCTCTATGCTCACTAATCTATGTTCATCCTACAATATCTGGTGAGAAGGAACCATTCGTGTAGCAGAGCAGATGCGTGGCTGGATGTGCTCCGACTACACTCCTGCTCTTTTCTTGCTGCTGTGAACAATAGCAGCCTGGTTAAGCTGACCAAATTGTAAGTTTGCTTGTGTTCATCTGATTCGCACGCCGGTAAATGCTGAACATCAACCATTCTTCTGGGGCCCGTCTGTTTGTGACCAGATGGTTGAAAAACCAAAAGCCATCAACATTACAGGTTGGACTTCCAATCTCAAGGTGGTGCCGCTCCTTTGTCCAGCGCTTGGCTGGTCGACGCCCATGTAATAGTGTTACAAGGCTTTTATAATCCGCGGGCTTTTGTTTATTTCCTTTGTGGAGTCTACTGCAGGAAGCGGAGGCGAGTCGGTCGAGATGAGCCCACGTTTAAAAAGGACTTTTAACGATTGGCATTTCCCTGAAAAAGGCTATTAGTTCAGTTCTTTGCAAGGTAATCTGCTAAGCGTCACCTCAACCGCTGACTGTCACCTACCTCTTCCAATGCCTAGCGGACATTATAACAAGCGGAAGCCTAGAAGCCCTGTTCTGCCTTTCAATCAAGTCTTTTTGTAGGTGTGTGCATCGCCAGGAAAAACTTCACACAAGCAATGTCGGTTCGGATTCTGGCACTTCAAGCGGGGGTGCCAGAATTGCACAAAGGCCGTCAGCAAGGTTTTCTGCATCCTAGTGACTTCTTCTGAAGCACCTCAATCATCGGAAATGGTCAGTAAAGACGAAGACAACGTGTGGAACTCTGAGCAGCATTTCTGCGCACCCCTGGTACAGGTCCCCGACTGGTTCCCCGTCTTTGACGTTCCTTGCGGGAACGGCTGCAGTCCCGAGGAGTACCGAGCAGGGAAGTATCGAGGCCGCATGCAACAGCTGTCCAAGAGTGAGCTTCGTTCCGTGATCGAAGCGCTCGTGTGCCGTCACCACGACGAAATCCCGGAAGCCCTCGAGCGGTGCCTCACTCGGTGTTCCGATGAGAGTTCGAGGCACGAATCGAGTCTGCGCCGCTTCTGCACGGTGGCGGCAAACTTGGAGCCCGCTCTCAAGGACGCCCAGGGGCGGCAGCCGGACCCCAAGGGAAACCCCTCTGGCAGCCTGGAGAACGGGGACGATGAGGCGTTTGCCCGGGCGTTCGGATCCGAGGGGGCCGGAGCCGAGGGTGGTCGCTTAGACCAGAGGGGAGTGAAACGCAGGCGGTTGGGAGGGGACGAGCAAACGCTGTTCGAGCTGGCCGATTCGCAGGGGCCCGGTGAGGCAGGGATGAACAAGGACGAGGCTGGTGCGGGGGGGAAGGCCAAGGAGAGTGAGTAGCCCCGGAGCTTTTAAAAAAATAGTGGATTCCATCTTTGAGCACGTGGCCAGCTTGAGGTTCCTTGATGGTCAAGAATCTGCTTCAATTATTGCAAGTTTACGACGGACGAGACGTGTTGAAAGCCACCGCAAAGCTTTTTTTCCGGCTCTGACGGTACAGCCCCGTCTGAGGACCAATCACGTGAGTCGATCAATTGAAGCAACTCGCAATCTCTGGTGCCTCTAGATCTGAATGTATCCTAAATCCCTGAAGGGAACGTTCCGCCCTTATTGCTGTGAGTCTTTTTGGGGCCCACGCGATCCTGGCCGTCAAGATCTCAAAACATTTGGGGCTTGCTGTGCCGTTCGGTACCACAAAGACAGAATTTTAACATGGCCTATGTTTGAGGAAGGTGGGGGTAGAACTCACAAGTTGCAGCTTTCTTTTGTGAAGTGCGCTTAGTGCAGCCTTCGGCGAACCTGAGGCCTCCGACTTGTCCTCAGGTTTTTGAGTTTCCAAGCCTGGTCTATGATTCTCGGATGTAGGTAGTCGTACTCGAATGGCTTACAATCTTATACGAAGGAGAAAAGGGCGTCATTCCGGTGGGCTTCACTGTGACAATGTCGGAACAGGAACTAATCAACATAGTTTTGGCGGACTATGATATCAAGTAGACGAAGGGTGGGCAACGTCCTTACTTGCTTTCCTGTCCGTTGCGACGCCGCTTTTCGTCTGCTTCACCTCTTGACTTTTCTGCCGTGTCCTGAATGTCCAGGGTGGGAGACTAATCGCTCTATCAGCCCGCCCTTCAGTCTACAGACAACGCGCATGGGGTCTTGTTCTCGCTCACCATCATCCTTGACTTGCAGAAGTGGACACAGATTGGAACATGTGCTGTGGCGAGGCTGATTTTCATATCTGCTGTCTCTGCTTGTTCGCCAGGGCAGGGAACGTTGCCATTCCCTCGTCAGCAGGGACAGGACCGAGCGGAAGGCGACCAAGCGGAACGACGGAAAGCAGCCCGCGAGTGTGCAGAAGGACCGACCGGTCGCCTCTGTTTGCGAAACGAGCTCAGTGGACGACCTCAAGGTGATTCAATGGTGAGTGTCGGCATGAGCAGTGGGCCCAGGATGTTGCCAGTCGCCAGATCGGGTCACAATATGGCTGCAAAGATTGAGACTCGAAAGGGAAAGGGCAGGACTCGAGAGGGCTCTTCGTGCTTTTGACTCCGTTCCGAGGGAAGTCGTCCCGACAGCTTATCACAATGTCAGACGAGATAAAACTTGCGATTGATTCGCCTGCTGCTTCTGACGCTTCAACGGTTTAGTTACCTTTTCGATGGCAAGCTGCCAAGACAGCAACAAGTGACGCAACGTACGTCCCTCCGGCTAAAGTGGGCCGCGTATTTGCAATTGCAGGTGGATCAGCCCTGGTCGCCGTTCGACATGGCGCGCGACCTGGTCCGCAACTGGAACCAAGATCTGGAGATTGAAGCTGATTTTTTTCTGTGAAAAAAATCAGAGGCATTTAGGCAATTGGCAACGGGCTCGAAGTTGGAGTTCCACAGAGGGCTTCGCTTCCCAGCTTAGCTGAGCCCTTGTAATTAACGTTGTACTCTAGTATGGCGAAGTTTATAGATATCCCTTGCAAAACGTTCTCAGCAGAGAAAGTAAGCATCTCTCAGTTTGTTGACTTATTATTGTGTACGAAGAACGTTAGGACGGGCAATCTGGTGTTCAGGAGATTCGCTTGGCTGTTTATTTTAACAAAGTAATTGGCTTATCTCAAACCATGTTCTGAAAGTTAGGGCAACTTCTGTACAGTTGGACAGCGTAGTTACAGTAATTGGGTTTTGTAAAGAGCGACGTGGCTCAGATTCTCGTATGATTGCTTCTGTCATGGCCAGTATACCACACAGTAAGGCGGAATACTTTGTTGAGCAAGCCGTACACATGGTTCACCGTCTTTACGCGCACCCTTCTTTCTGCTTGCACAACGCATGTTGGATTAGTGGAAGCATGTTTTGGATGCGTCTCCGGCGGCCGCCTTACAGCAAGCCGTCCGAGCTTCCGTGCATATATAGTCAAGATATAAGAGACTCTGTGCAGTCGTTGCCAGCTACAGCTTGGATCAAATATGCATGCGATTCCCGCTAGTCGTCCCGTATACTGAAGGGAGCGGCGGATGTCCGTTCTATCACAGGTGGTCAATCACAAGCAACAGCTCCCGGGACGCGGATCGTGAATGCGAACGGTTTCCTAATGCAGGGACGAATCCGAGTCAGTGTCGAGCGAGCCTCGGAATTCGTGTGAATGCATGTGCAGTCGGAAGCCTGCGAGAAGTATTATGAGCGCGTGATGGACGAGTGTTCTGTGCTTGGAAGGAATTGAGTCGGCCGCGGCCAATTTCTGAATTTCTCTAGGTAGGGATCGCGTCATACAGCTGGCATGTCCATTATACCGGGTTCTGTATAATCCCCAGCACATGCTAAGAGTGATTTGGTTGCCGCTTCCGTTGTCGATGAACCGCACGCAAGCGGAGCTGTAAAAAGGACATCACCGCGCATCAACCAGGCTGGAAAACTCCCCTTTCTGTACGACAGGAGCTGTTTACAAGGACGATCTCATGTGGGAAAACGGCCGCTTCGGACCAGATCAGACAGCACGATGTGAGACCAAAGTAGGCTAGCTGGTAACCGGGAGCGCGAATCTAGCCATCATGAGGTTGCTACAGGCAAGGAGAACTCTAGATACTTGACACTCATCGGCCACCATGATACATTCTACAAGTCAATCAGTCTGGTAGCCACTGTACTCTTTGCCTGAATTGGCGCCCAGACCATCTACGAACCAAACAGCTTTACGCCAGTTCTTTATAATTTCTCTGCTTCAAACCCAGTAAAGCTTGTTTAAAAACTTCATCCTCTGCCACTCTAGGAGCGGCAGGCTACTCAGGCTCGTTCCCAATTTCTTCGTCTACCTGCAACAGAGTACGTGTTGAGCGTGCGAATAATTCTTATGCTACCATAAGAGAACAGGCGGCACATATTGGTAAAACACCAGAGACAAATTTCCGAAGGAGACGAGCCGCACAGCAGAAAGGTATCAGGACGTGCAAGACGAGTACTCAAGCAGGGTCTGGGGAGAGGACAGCCCGGCTCTTCGATGCGCTCGCAATAAACAGTGCTATCTACCTGCGTCGAACAGTTTGCTAGAGCAAGGGACGAAGCTGACGCAGCTCTTCGAAGCTGCGAATCTCTCCGATTATTATCCCAGCTCTCACCTTGGTAATGTGGTGAAGATCTGCTTGCTGAGACTTGTCACCGCACTGCCTCTTGTGGCTCGCCCAGTGGAGCCTCTGGTGTTCCTTGCTGACAAGAAGAGGGTTCGAGTGTATATATTCATACGAGATCCGAGTCGTTTCAGTCAAGTTGCTGGCATAAAAAGAAGAACAAGTCTGCAAGCCCAGTGGATTGACACTGTCCGATGCTCTGATTGTGTAGATGATGAAGCCAGAAAAGTGGCGTGCTTGAAACACGAAACCTGCATCAAAGAAAAAGGGATCCGAACAAGAATCTGGACCTAGGTTGAATGAAGGCACTCGGTGCTGACAATGAGTGGAGGCTTCTCCTGTCGCAAAAGCAAAGACTTTTTCAACCACAATAGAAATCAGGTGGTTCCAACGTTTTCGGCTTACATGAAGATGTAAATCACATCTTTGTAAGTCCACAAAACGCTGGCCCCTAAAGTTTCGGGGTTGCAAAGATCCCGCAAGCGGTGGATTTGACGACCACTCCGAGAACAGCCATCCAGTTTTATAACGTGCTGTTTGCATATTCTGTCTGGATGACTGGAACCCTTAGAGCTTTCAACTCAGAAAAAACTTACCTGCAGTAAAATGCGAGCGAGCACTTCGCGCACTTGCTGAACTTCCTGCCCGCGTCGTCCTCCGACCCGGCCTCGTCGCACCTTTCCCAAGAGCACACAATCGGCGCCTCGCTCGTTCTACCGCCTTCCAGATCTGCTCTATTCTTCGCAATCCCCAAAGCACTTTTGAAGAGAGCCTGGGCAAAGGGGGGCACGCTTGCGAGTTCCCCAAGAACCAACCCGATCAGGGGCATTGTACCTCTTGGCACCCTCATTTTCCCCAACTCCAGCCACTGCTCGCGCACAGTCTTCGTCGCGCGCACATTCCTCTTGTCTCTGATCCGTCTGTCGAGGTCCAAAAGCCCCTGCTCTGAGGCGGCAAGAAGCATTCGGAACAATACAGTTCTGGACACACCTGCACCGCCTGGGATGCCCTCTATTGCCTCCAGCATCCAAGGATCAATCAACCGTTCAGTAGCTCCGTCTAAGGAGACAAGCCTAGCAAGTGAGGCCTGGACTCGTATCATTCCATGGTTGAAAGCCCAGTTTTGACTTTTCTCAAAGAGGCAGAAGCTGCGCATCAGACCTGAGTAGTGCTTCAAAGCTTTCTCGACAAGCTGCAAGCTTGCTTGTTTAAATATCTCGCGTGAGAGGAGGCTTTCTAGGCTAGGAAAGAAACCTTTGAATCCCGCTTTTTGCAGGGCCAGGCGGAAGGTCTTCGAAGCAAAGGAGAAGCTCGCGAAACCCTTGACGTTCTCAAGTGCTAGATTCAAAAAGACGTGCTTCTGGTCGCCATCCTTTTGGCGACCCAAATACTTTTCCGGAATGCACTTCTTTCCACGCAGCTGATCCGGCATCCGTTCCAGGAGGTACGCTTGAGCCTCCATAAATGCCTTGACCAACAAGCGGGCTTTCTGCTTCTCTCCTGCGCAGTACTTTGCTACCGCCTCGCTTTCGGTGAGCGCCACAAGAACCTTGCATGCGTACAGGCGTTGAAGCTCACTATCAATGTTGGAGTCTGCGGAAAATTTGACTATTTGCTGCAGAAGATGGTCTGATACTGCGCCGCGCTTGTATGCCAAGATCTCCTGAAGCACCCTGGAGAACCCAAGCTTCGCAGATTCACTCCCGCAGGAATCATTCCGCGTGTCTTCAAGCAACTCTGCGGCGGAGAGCAGCGCCCCAGGGCTGCCTGCAAGAATCAAAGAAGCGCACTTCTCAACAATCTCCTCCATGCCTATGGTTGCTGCAGTTTGGCCTTGATGTCCCTTCCATCTTTTATGCAGAGATGAGTCTGTGGACTTGCATGCCGCCGGCAAATCTGGTCACAGATGTAACTTGCAAAACGAGACCCTGATGCTAACCTGATGCGTGCTGAGGAAATTGAAGTTAGTCCTGATCGAGAGCGGCAGCATCGCTCGAAATATGTGGCCCCGAACCCGCTGCAGCGCATGCGAGCATATGCGAGCATATGCGACGCAACGTCAAAACCCTTCAGCTTCAACGGTCTCCAAAAGGCAGCCCCCGAAGAATTCCTTTGCTGACGATTGGACAGCTTTTCCTCGCGATTTCCTTGCGAGTTCCTTCCAATGAAGTCTGAGCCAGAATACGAGAGATTCAGAACTTCTTTGGAGCTCGCCTTTTCAAACCCTCCGAACCCCCTCCGATCCTTTGAGTTCCACCAATTGAACGGTAAACAGTACAGGGCGGCTGGAACAGCTTTTCAAAATGATACATCAAATCGGGGCCGGGACCCCGGCCACGAGATCGATGTTGCCAGGCTGACGTAAAACCCCAACCAAGTGCTTTCTGAAGACGCCAGGCCGCGCCGGATATCGCGACAGCCTAGTTGAGGTCTAGCGCACTATTCTGCAGGTCTTTCGTATGTAAGAGCGCTTCATGGGCACGATGGATGAAGCCTGGGATCACATGGAACAACACATGGTCTCCGGAGGCTATTTATTTCAGATTGGGTACGTGCTTCATCCGTATGCATGCCAGCGTGCATACATGTGCAGCCACGCAGCATGCGTAGATTTTATCTATCTAAGTAGCGCCCACAATCAATGATTCCAATAGCGCCGGCAAAGTATACATCATGATCATTTCCAACAGCCAGCTGGCTGATGTGTATGACGGTGCGCGGACGAAAAACAGCCTTGGCTGGAGAGCCTCACTTACGAGCATGCATATCCGTGCTGCAGGCCTTGCTACCGCAATGCCCGCCAAATGTATAGAATCAGAGCATTGCTTGGACTACACACTTTACCAAAGGGGGGTCACAATTAGTCGGACTGATTCTCGTTGTCGATTCGAACCTCAATGACTTGATTGTTTGATCAATTTTGATATGCATTCAAGGCCATCTCAGATCTTCAGACCATACCTCAACCAACTCTTATCAAACACGAAGCGTTGTCAAGTAACCATCTATCCAATTTGTCTAACCATGCGTCCTTGGTTCAACCACTGCAGGAGCCGTGAACCCCGCCGGCCTTTGCCCCGGTTCAGTAACACGACCCACAACTCCTGAGTGCGGCAACAGCTTGTCCCCTCTAGCCATGGCTGCCAGGTTTTCTTCTAGAATTGACCGGGGCAGCTTCCCGACTGCGGACCCCTCTTCTACCCCGTCGCTATCCAAGAAGACAAAATGGGGGATCCCCCCGACGCCGTACTCTTCCACCTCCTCCGCCCAGCGCTTGTTGTCGATGTTGAGCAAGACGAAGTTTACCTTGTCTTTGTAGTTCTGCAAAGAAGAGGATCCGGATAGATTCGAGCAACCAAGTTAAAGGCTGCGGTATCGGCAGCAAGTAATACTTGCCGTCCTGCTCGTAGGCAACAGAGCTGACATATTTGAACGATTTCCGGTGTGATAGGTTCAATTGTCTCGATTGTCTGTCTCCTTGATTTCCCAACAGTACCAGTCGCGTGATAAAAGCGAGCAGACCGACTCCTGGCCAGGAATGACATGCCAGCATCAGCTTTAATTCGCTCGGACCCTCGAATACAATGTTCTGAAACCTTGTAAGTCATGACCCGAGTATCAAGTTCCAAGGGGAATCGTTGTCTCAAAAAGGGCCCTTCTTCACGGAGGGTACAAGTGCAAAATGTTCGGAACCAACAAAAGATCGAGGTGCATTCCAACGAATCAACTCAGATGAGAATCGGTCCTGATATGAGACAAGGACCGCATTAGGGCGACGACTGAGAGGAAGTTTGTAGCGAAGAAGATCCACAAGGGATATTGTAAGGGCCCCTGACATCAAAACACTGCACCTGCTTTCACATTCAATATAGTTTGTGTTGGCCTCAAGAACAGGATGTTTCGAATACAACGACTTTCGAAACGAGGTCCCTTGTGCCATCAAACCCCACGCTTTTCGTTGTACCAAAGGTAGCCATTCAGATGGATGCTCAGAATTGAGACCAGAAACTGCCGATGTCCGAACGAAGGCTCGCACTTCAGCTAAAAAACTGCACAAAACAAGCAGATAAGACCAACTCGCTTCTCCGGTTGATGAAAGCATGATCGACACACTTTAGTTCCACAATCACAACCCATACTTGATCAGTAGTATGTCGAACTCCTCGTCTTTCCTCTCACCTGTTCTGCAAGGTACACCTCCTTTGCCATCTCCCGGCACACCACGCACCAATCCGCATAGAACTCCACGACCGTCGGCCTTCCGTTCGTAATTGCTGCATCATACTGCATTGCCCCAGCCGCTAGCTGGTTTAAGTCGGGGCCAGCACCGGCCCCCCGCGTCGCAACAAACATGCCCACTGCCACCGCTACCGAAGCGAGCGCCAGGCGCTGGTTCAGTTTCTTTGTGGGTGCAGGGAATTCGGCATCGGAGGAGCCTGAAGTGGATGGGGACGGCTCCTCTTCGAATACAGGTTCTGAGGTGTCGGGCTGCAAAAAAGCGACCGTACTCAATTGAGAAACTAGTGTGAGGATAAAACCAGGATAAGGATTTAAGTAATTGGGTCTGGAATAGGTCATCCTGCTGCCCTGCCCTATAGTGACAGACAATGGGTGCCCCTAGAAAAGGCCACCGAAAACATGGCCGCGCTGCAAGAGCGGGGGCAATCGCTGAAGAGTGCAGGATAACAAGAGGAGGCACAATAATCAATTGGAGTGGCTCGAAAACTTGGAGTGTTGCGCAGCAAGGATGGGACAGAATGTGGTTTTGGCCCAAGATTGGGGCTCAATGGGGAAAGTGGTACGTTGCTTCACCACTTTTGTGCAGCTGAAGCCGCAGCTTACTGAAAGTGTCAACAATCAAAGTACTGTGTGAACCACTTCGTTACAATAGAAGTTGCAAGTCAAAGTGTCCTTGGCTTCAATGAGATTTCTCACAATCTTGTTGGCACAGCGAAACAGGCGGTCTCTTTGCAGTAAAACCAGCTGCATTTAGAGTCATCAGAGCAACGCAATTCAAGCTCCTTTTCGAGCTCAATTGGCAGCTTCTAGAAAGTCAATTCTGGTAGACATATGAGTAGAGCTCTCAATGCAGGAGTCTTTGTGTATTTTCCTGTTGTTTTTTAACAGAGACAAGATAACTTCTGGTCCGCTTACTTTCTCGGCTGTTTCTTCAACACTGTCCAGCTCCTGACTTTGGCACCGCCAACTTCGACTTGCCATCCCTTTCTCCATATTCACACCCTTTCTCGCTGGTGGTGCGAGCGGAGTTCTCCGCCAGCCCCATCCCTTTGACAAACTGGCTTTTGGTCTCAAAGCCGCTTTTGGTTGAGGGGAAAAACTGGAGGCAGAGGAAAAACAAGACGGGGCCAACCGCTTTGCTGGGTTCACTGTTGAACCTAAAGATTGAAAAGTTATATCGTTGCAGGACAGCCGCTTTAACAAACTGACAGATGCCGCCATGGCTGCGGAGAAGCAGGTGAAACTAAGTGTTCAACCAACGGAGACGTTTTCAACAATGCGGTGACCTTCAGGTACCGAAAACTCAAGCAGCAGCAGCAAAACCCATGCGCCTTCCAGGCCAAGTTTGCAGCACTGGCAGGGATTCACGCCTTCGATCAGAGCTGCGGGAGCACGCAATACCTCTAACCTCATGCGTGGCCGCTTTTTCACCCCACGATTGGGCACCGATCGGATGGCTTCGAACCACAGAAATTTTCAGCCGTCGATTCTTTCAGAAGACGACAGGTCAGGGCAAACTAAAGCTTAAAGTGGGCGTATGCACTCGCGAGTGCACCTGGACATCGGACGGTTTAAACATGCGAGTTGAATCTATCGGACGGCTCAGAGCTGGCCTCCTCAAGGCTCTCCTCAGGACTCAGACTCACTAGTGTGCATTTCCCAGCTTTGAAATCCGACGCCCACTTAAAGCCTTCTTGAAACCTGCAATTGGCACACAGCTCGGCGGACCGGCCGCGCTCCCGTGGGTCGCGGTCGCGGCCGCCCTACTACCGCCCGCAGGATGCAACATAGTATCAACATGGTGATAGCAGCGCTTATAGGTCCTCAGCTTGAATCGACCGGGTCAGCGACGAGCGCAGGCTAACCTGGTTTGCAACATTTTAGATCACAAACTTAAAGAGCTGCTTTACGCCCAGCATGCAACATCGGCGAAAAGCAACGATGAGCGGGCCAGAACGGTCTGGAGTCCAAGAGATTCATGAGTCAAGATTCAGTACTGCAGAATGCTTGCGCTCGATGGGATCACGCGCAGGATCCCCTAGGCTCCATGGTATCTTGTCTCGAGACAAATTCTCATATGCGCAGCTATTTAACTTTGGACAGGCTTCATCTGTGGCACATGAAAAGTAAAGACTCGCTTCAGAACTGCATTGGCAAGCCCGATTGTTCGACGTACGAATGCTTTCCTATGCTCAAGAGTTTCGCATAGATGCCCTCCCCGCAGCTCTCGTTAATATCGAAATATTGTTATCGCTTGGCAGCCATCGTCAAGATTCAATTTGCGACCCTTTAACAACGACCAATCGGAAGTAGGGAAGGAGCACTTTATGTGCAACCGTCTGACTATCTGAGTGTTCTGGTCCTTCGAAGCATGGATCACGTCGTTAAAGGGCATTGTCTAGTGTGGTTTAGCTCTGTGGTCTAGCGCTAAAGTATCAGCATCATCGTGGTTAATAATCTGGCATCCGCAAGTCCCAATGAGGATTGGCAACGAGCGCCTATTGTGCGCACAAGCAATTGCAGCCATGTGTTGGAGACTGGGTAAATGTAGATTGCGACTTGAAAGGCACACTGATTAGGATCTGTTCAAGCACATAAGTAGCCGCAGATTGTATTGCTGGTGGAAGCGGCATTGCCAATTCTGCTTTGCTTTAAGCCTAAGCCTAGGAAAATGAAACCCCTCGCAGTCAGTCCCTCAACTCAACTCCCACCTCAATCTGCGCTTCGCAACGGGGAAAAAGGACGCAAATCTTGCACGAGGTCTTTGAACACATTACAGAACAAAATAGTGACCATTGTCAACGCCAATGTCGAAACTGCCCAACAGATCTTGCAGCAGGCCCTCCAACACACTCGGCGCCGTGCCCGCAAAGTTGCCGCTGACGTCAGCCAGGTTGCACCGGCCCTTCGCGGCCACCCAGTCGAGGACGCTCTCCACGTCAGCAACCGGCGGCTCTGCTCTCGGTGGGGTCCCGGGCGCGCTTTTTGCCGAGCTCGCACTCTGCTCTCCTCCGGCTGGGCTGGCAGGAACCTCCGTCCGCTCTGCAACTTCCGTTTCAGTGACCGGAGCGGACCTCGCTTTCTGGGGAGCGCCACTGTTGGCGACGCTCGTGACCCCATCCTTTTCCTCTGCGATGTGAACGTCCGAGCGCTTCAGCTTGCTCTGCGGAGTGGCTTCTTCGTCCACGTTCAACTTGCCGGACTCGAACTTTAGCAGCGCGTCCAGCGCCGCACTCTCCCACTCCTCCTCTTCGCTCTTCTCGCTCTCTTCCGCCACGTCCGACCCGCTCTCCTCCTCCCCGGCATCAGCTTTCTCGCGAGTCGGCTTGGCAGGAGCCATCGTCCCTGGGCTAATGGTAGCCGCACCCGATTCCTTGTCGACGCTATCCGGGGCAACAAGTGCGGCTCCTTGCTCGGTTGCTGGCTCTGGTTCTCCGGCCGATTCGTCCTCTCTCGGGGCTACTTCTGCCTCTGGCGGCGGCGACGTCTCTTTTCCCGCAGAGAACGCGGTCGGGGCGCCCTCAGTCCTTTCTCGAGGAGGCGACTGTGCACCCCCGTTTATTGACGCCCCGAACCCGTGCCATGCCGGTTGTGTGGTCTTGCTTTCAGCAGGGGGGCTGGTTTCCAAAACAGGACCCTTGCCTGTCGATTCCGACTCAGATACAACTGCTTCTGGCTCAGTTCCTCGCTCCACTTCGCGGACAACTTTTCCAGAGGGAGTGCCCACCGGGGGACTTTCGTGGGCCTCTTCAACGTTCTTCTCAACGACCCCCCCCGGCCGGGACGATCCCCCGGTCTCCTTCTGAGCAATTGTCTCCTCAGCGGCGTTAGCCTGAGGGCCCGCCTCTTTCACCGCCTCTTCCTTAAGCATCTCGACCGGCGCCTTGTCACTGTCCACGGACGTCCGATCGCCAGGATCGTTCGTTGTCTGGCCGTCCTTCTCTTCGGACGCCTCCGGCGTCCGCTTGGGACGTGTCTCCTCGTGCCCCGGATCCGATGCTTCCGCCGCCGCAGCTTCCGGTTCCACTCTCTTCCGCTCGCTCGCCTCCGCCCCCGGCTGCTCGCGCGCGCCATCACTCTCCTGCCCGCCATCTCCGGACGCATCTCCCGCCTCCGCACGGCCCTCGCTCTCGTTCTCCGCTTTGTCCGCGCGTCTCGCCTCTCTTCTCGCCCCCTTCCGCTCCCTCCGTTCCGCCCGCCGTTGCTTCCGTTCCTCTTCCGTCTCCCCGCGCTTCCGCTTATGCTTCCGGCGGCGGTGCTCCGACTCCGACTCCCCCTCGTCCCGGTGTTTGTGCCGCCGGTGCTTCCTCCCGTGCTTGTGCCGGCGCTTATGCTTGCCCCGGTGCTTCCTCCCATGCTCCTCCTCATCCGATTCTTCCCCCCTGCTCGCGCGCGCTTTCTCCTTCCGCCTCCGTTTCCGCGCGCGCTCCTCGTCTTCTCCCTCAGATTCTGCCGCCTTTCTCTTTACTTTGATCTCCTTCTCACCCTTCCGCTTCTTCCCTACGACCTCATCGTCAGACTCCGTTTCCATTGGCTGTTCGCGACTCTTGTCCTTCCGTCGGGCTAGCTTCCCCTTTGCCCCACTCATCGCTGCCTGCGTAGCACTCAATTCTCCCGAAAAGCGCCGCTTCTTCCCGCTCGAGTGAGGGGCTTTGTCCGTGTCTGCTGCTGGCGTCTCAACATTCCTACGCTTCTTTCCTGCCGTCCCCACCTTCGTCCTAATCTCCCCGGCTGCAATGCTGACGTCGGCAGCAGCGTCACTTCCTTGGCTGGCCCCTCTCCTGAGCCCCATCTTCCCAGCCTTGACTTCCTTTTTTCCGGCTTTCGCCACCTTCGCCCGAGCATCTACTGCCCCCTTCTTCTGCGGACCCGCTTTCAGACCGCCGCCACGTGTCGTGCGCCCAGTGGCCAACGGTGAGCCGTCCGTTCGGACGTCCGCCTCCAGCAGACTCTTCGTTGCCCCGGACTCCGTCGGAGCGTCCGGCTGGAGCCGCGGCTCTTCGGCACCTGGCACGGCGGAGGGGGCCTTCTTCCGCAGCCGATCCGTGCGCCGCAGCGGAGTGCGCTCGACCGCGAACCGGCGGGCCTTGGCCTCTTTCAGGATGGCGCGCTTCTGCACGCGCACCTCTTCGTCTGCAACAAGCATGAACCGAAGTCGGTCAGACCGGCCACGTGGCAGATGAGGAAATGAAGAGTCTGTACAGCCCCAGAACTAGGCCACTGGTATCTGCCTAGCGCGATCACCTTGCTTTAGTTCCCAAACCTGCCCACAGAGATTGAGCCAGATCCTGTGTGGAAATTCTGGTCTTGTGACTCAAGACTTGGACTGTCCGTATGCGAAGCTGACAAACCGCTCCTACAAAGGCACATCTGAAGATTGGGGGAGGTTGGAGTGTATGTCCTTTCACCGAAATGCATGATTTGTTTGTGACCTTAAGATTCGCTTTCCTTCTGAACCAGCTATGCAGAAACACATGAAGTTTCTGAATGGTGGCCAGAACATCAAAGATGGTATAGGGACGTACTAGGCTACGAAATGCCGTCACAAAGGTCAGATAAGCATGCTTCGTTCCCTAAACCACAAGCAAAGGCTGTGTAGACACCCCCAGCTCCACACTTTGGAAGGGTCTCCAATCAGAAACGAACTCCCAATCAGACCGAACCCTCTTGCTTGCATGCGGCACCCTCACCTTTCACGTACACGTCCCCCAACGGCTTCACCTTCCTCGCTCCCGCTTCCGGCGACGCAGCAGACTGTTCCTTCCGCTTCTCCGCAGCCAGTTCCGGCGGAAGGACGTTCTCCTTGCCGTTCGTCTTCGCAGTCGGCCTCTTCCTGGCCGCCCGTTTTCCCGTCACGCGCTTTTTCACGGGCGCCTTTGCCGGTTCTTTTTCCGGCGATAGCCCAGCTATCCCGACCGCATCGGCCGCGCCAACCTGCTCTTTGGCGGTCGCCTTTTCTGCCTCCTCTTCGCTGTCGTCTTTGACAAACCCGTCGGTGCGTCGCTCGACGGCGCGGCGCCCGGGAAGCCCCTCCCTCGCCTGCTTTGGTGTCAACTTGTCCGGCGGCTTGTCCGTACTCTTGGGCTTGACACCAGGCCTCGTCCCCGTCCGTTTCTTCCTTGGGACGGACTTCGCCTGTACCGGACTAAGCTTGACTGTCCTGGGGGATCCCCCAGGTTCTCCGCGCACTTGGGCGCTGATTCCGGCCGTGGCTACTCGTTCCGAGACTCCCGGTGCCAACTTTCCATCTGCCCCGGCCTGCACCTCCGGTTCCGGTACCCAGAACCGGGAGCCTGCTCCAGCGAAACCAGAGCCCTCATCGCTTTCCCGGGGTGCTTCCCCGAGCGGCTCCCCCTTCCCTACTTCCAGGTTCCTCGCTGCCTGCCGTTTCACCGCCGCCTCTAGGATCGACACTGACGGCCGCCGCCGTTTCTGCATTCCGGGATCGATTCTGGGTCCTGGCGCAGGGTTGTGTTTTGTCGAGGGAACCCGCTCTTTCGCCGTGGCCGGATCGTGAGCCGCAGCGGCTTTCTTTGCCGCGGCCTTCTCTGCCCGGAGCTTGGCGGCTGCGCGTCGGGCTAGGGCCTTGGCCTGGAGCGCCTCGAGGCGTTTCTGGCGGTTGGCCAGAGCGAAGGCCTTGTCGTCCTGCAGATTGTAAGGGAGGCGATGAATTTAAAGACCCTCAAACACGCAACACAGGCGAAGTCCGTCTGGGGCGTCAGAATCCTTGACTTGTCCAAACAATGGAGACATCTCATGATCTAGTGTGTCTGCAAAGCAAGGTCCGAGGCGCACTGGGAAAACTTTGACGTCTGGCGGAAATTCGCTGGCTGCCAGGCCTGCACGTTCCCATCAGTCATAACCAGAAGTGCCTTCGTTCCCTCAAAGAGGAGGGTACGAGTACACTGAAATCGACTGCAGTCAGCCCTTGAAGCAGCTCTATTTGCGGTGAACAGGTGCACAAAATCAGGTGCCCAAACGACACAGACTCGGTGAAAATTTCCAGCTCGTGTCTGAGTGCTGTCAGGGACGGCACGAAATGCCTTGCAGGAAAAGTGCACTGCACACGCAAGCTTGAGAAGGATGCGACCACATTCTTGTTACGCTCAATAAGGCAGGACGGCCTTGGAATCTCCAAAAACTTACGAAGCTTGCAAAAAATTGCCTCTAATCTCAGACTGCCGCTCGCCGCTTGGAACAGCAACTTCAAAGGACAAGAAGAAGGAAATCAGAGCCCACCTCTCCAGCCTTGGCCTTGCGTGCCTCGATCCGTCGCTTCCGCGCCTCCGCCGCCTGGTCCGCCGGCGCCGTCTTCAGCCGCCACAGCTTCCGGCTCCTCCGCAGGATGCTCGCGTTCTGCTCTTGCGCACGCGCGCGAGCCCTCACGCTCGTCCAGAACCGCTTCACCTTAGTTTTCAACCCCACTGCCCGGGGCTTCCTCGAACCGGGCGCTTTCTGCGGGGTCGAACGACCCCCAGGCCGCCCAACCGGCCTGCCGCGTTTCCTCGCAGGTTCCGAAGCGCCAGCCTGCTCTGCCGCTTTGGAAACAACGCGCCTGGGCCTCCCCCGCTCCCTGCGCTCGGGAATTCCATCCTGCTCCGACCCCCGAACCGGGGATGGTTTCACTCCCGTTTCGACCATCTGCTTTGCTGCAGAGACAGGGCTTGCATCCCCGTTTGAGCCACCGTTCTCCTTTATGGCTGACTCGGCAGCACCGCCCGCGCTGTTGGACGGCGTCTGAGCCGCTCCCTCGACCTCGCTCTCTGACTCCTCGCTGCTGGACGAATCGTCTCCGCTCCCGCTGCTGCTGCCGCTGCCCGAGTCACTCTCGCTGTCGTCATCGCTCGAGCTGTCGCTGTCCTCTTCCGCGCCGCGCCCCCTCCGGGCGGTCTCCTTCACCCGGGCTGCACCTGCGCCCCCTTGCGCCTTCACAGAATCGCTGTTGCTCCCAAGTGACGACCTGCGGGGCCCCACAACGTCATTCTCTTTGACAGCTTTCCGGCCGACATCTCCTTCCGTCTTCGTTTCACATCTCCGCCCAGACCCAGGCGCATTCGCAGTCCTCGCCTCGGCGGCCTTCCCCCTGGCTCTCTTTGCCCTGGAACGACGCTCGGAACCGCTGTCCGATTCGCTGCGCGTACCGCTCTGCGACCGAAGATGTCCCTTTTCATCCCGTTGGAAAATCCACTTCTCCTTGTTGGCCGACCCCTGAAGCCCCTCCAGAACTGTGACCTCAACCTCGTGCTCCAAAACTTCCCTCTCCTCAGCACCTTCTTGCTCCGCCTTCGGCCTGAAAACCGGTGCTCGCGGCCTGCCCTGCATCATGGGCGTGAAACGCACTCGCCTGCCCGTCCGCCTGGGCCGTATTGTTGTCTGTGTTTCCTCTCCCTGAGTACCCTTTTTCCTTCCCGCTACGGTCTGTGGAGCCTTGTCTACCCGGCTCTCTTTGAACCAATTCGAAGGAGGGATGCCCTCGCCCGGAGGGGTGGCACTCGGAGTTTTCGGGAGGGGGTCCGAGCTGTCAGTGGGGGTGGCTGTAGACCCCCCACTTGGAGGACTTGCAGACGTCTTTGAAGCATCCTCCTTGAGTGGCGTTCCATCCAGAGAATCGCGTCCTGCTGCAGCCCCACCTCCTTCCAACGGACCGTTCGGTACACGACTCGGCTTGTCTGACGGCTTGCTCGCAAGGGGTGTACTGGCACCAGCATGAGCAACCGACTCATCTGCAGCCGGCATCTGTTCCGCTGTGCCGTCAGAGACGCTCGCGGTTGCGGGCGTGGCATCTGCGCGTTCCGGGGTGATAGGAGGCAGATGCGCTCTCAGCAGGTCCTGGAACTCCCGCTTCTCCAGCAAGCCGTGCGAGTTCAGGCCGCGCTCCTTGAGTGCTTCCCTCAGCTGCCGGACGCTCATGGTCTCCACATCCTCTCCGCATGGCAGTGCTTTGAATGAGGTTCCAGACGGGGGATCCCTTGATGTTTGGGCTTGGGGAGGGGGGACAGAGCTGGCTGGGGTTTTGAATTGGGGCGCCGGGGAAGCTTCCCCAGGAGTCTTGGGGTCAGCAGCCTTGGACACCCCTGGGACCGGACTACTGGCGGCCGCCATGACACTGTTAGTCACAGGCTGGGGGGCCAGTCCTTAAAACTGGCCGCTGCAAGGGGGGGTCCCCGCTGGCCCGGCAGAGGTGACCCCCAAAACTCTGTCTCTTTGCAAGGGATGCACCAGGAGGGCCGCTTGAATGGGCACGTGCAGCTGCAGAAGAAAAATGGTCAGAGTTTGCCATTTTCCAATACTTATTTTCTGAGTGTTAAAAGTATAGCAGCACAGTACATTCATTGGCATGTCTGCTGTAGTGGGCAGTCTAACAATTTGGAAAGCTATACACCAGGCTGCGCTCTGGCTTTATTTAATCACAAGGATTGAGGCGAGCACGGTATACTGCTTGCATTTTGCAAACGATGAGTTTTAGATCGTAAATACCGCAGCATTTTACGCAGACCATTGCACCTTTAGAAGAGAGAGTATGCCATCTTAGCATGTATGAAGATCTGCTATCGTCTGCTGATAAGCTGGTATAGTACCAAAAAGCGTCCAGAACCCCCATAGACCCATGGAAGATTTTCTGTCTTGCTCATCTCTTACCTGCTTGCGTCAGTTGAACGCCTGCTCCTGTTGGCGCTCCTGGGCGAATGAACGCCAGGTTCGCACTGTGGTAGGTGGTCTGCAGCTCTGTCAGCAACAGCGAATCAAATGCATGTCTGTTGCCTAGTTTCTGCAAGAACAATCAGGGAGGTTATATGCCCCATGGATGTCACGATTGACGAAAGGAGCGAGATACAGATTGGACAGAGGGCAGCTCACATGCCTGTTATTGTCATGCGAAGGCAGGAATGCTGGTATCAGAAGCTGAGGTCCAATGACAAGTAATACTCCTAGAGGGTATACATGAAGAGGTCTCAGTCTCAAGGTGGACAACGTTTCCTCAAAAGCTCGCACGTGAGCCTTTTGTGAGAGCAGGCTGTACACTCATCCAGATTGTCTGGAGGCCACTCCAAGCTGTCTTGTAGCTGATAGTGGTGTCCAACAAGGATGTAAATCGTTGCGTAACCGGTGCTTGGAATGACAAAGAAACAAGAAGATACTACCTAGATGAAAGCACACTTACCCTCACTTCGTCTTGGTCTGTGGTTCCCCAGGAGCTCGGGTGCTGCTCCTGCAGGATTTTTGCCTCACTCTCCGTTTTCTTCACTCTTGTAGCCACAGACGAAGGCAGTGCCAGTTTTGAGAGTGTACCAGCTTTACTGTCTGCTGCAAATTTACAAGCTATCGCAGGGTGAGTGTCAACTACTGTTCAACTATCTTGCGCTGCAAATGCTGTTGGGTTCGGGAGCACGCATGAGCACCACACTCCATTTCCATTAGAACTGCCAACGTCAAGCGTCCGGCCAGGGCCCGGCTTTTGCTTCTGAGGTGCGCTTAAATCCAGGTAGGTAGACTGCTCAGATTCTTAGGCTACCTGTATTGAACTGTTCACTGTCCACCCCTGCACATCTCTGAGACTAGGTACCTAATCTCACTGGATCACCTACGGTACCTACCTACATGATGGTGGTGATCTGATCGCTCCCTTTTCAAACTTCAAAATGTGGCGGGAGTTTCCTCTGCAGGTCACATTCACGATGCTCAAGCAATTTTTAGGGCCAAGGCTCAAGCCCCTCGGATCGACCAGAGACTGAACTGGCAGTGAGTGCAGAGGAGTCCGGACTCATCGTTCGGCCGGCCGGACTCCGCGAGTCTAGGTCCAATCCGAAATCCCCGCAGGTCGGAACCCCCGGCTTGCACTCGCTGCTACCGTCGGCCGCGGTGCCGCCGCACCGTAGTCAGGTCGCCTGCCGCCGGGCGCGGCCATTGCGCGGCCATGTTGTCTTGGTACTGTACGCATGAATACTGGGTTGCCAGCTCTGCAAAGCATGCACGCAGAAGGCATGCGCTGGTGCCTATTCTGGTCGATGCATGTTCTCATGGCTGCGATCCATCTCCAAGTCACGTTTGAGCTGCGATGAATCCTTCGAAGTCTTCAGAATCATTGGACAGGCAGCGTCGACAAAGCAAGATGTCAAGACTCGACTTAAATGTCGGGCCTAAACTTCGAAGCTGCAACGAGTCGGTAAGGCAGAATAGCAGATTGAGGAAGTTTTGGGAGTCTGATGAGCGATCTTGAAGCAGTAACCGTGGTAGGTAGGGGTAGGCCTAGAGTGAACGCAGCCCCAGGAGACATCTTATTTCGCTCAAAAGTTGGAAAGAAGACTCATGGCAACAGCGGCTCGCGTCTTCCGCAGCACTCGCTCTTTGCTCACCTCTTTGCATGCGCCCCAAAGGCTGCAAAATAACGCCAGAAGCCTGTACTGGACCGCTCAGAGGTAAGCAAAGACAAAAGCCAACTGTTCTCTACATGAATCAGGATATACCGCTCGATCTTACCAATTACGACGCACTGCAAAGTTGTTTGAATTGTTGCTTTCTCTCAAGAAACACTTGAGCGACGGTTGAGATCCTCATGCTGTTCAAATCTTTGCATGCCTTGAAATCATTGAAGGGCTTTCCGCCGGTCCCGTATCGATATGCAGGCACCCTTTCGGGCCTGAAGGAGAGAAGACACTGCCAGCAATAGCTACCCGCTCCTTCTTTCCACCAATCATGCATACTGAAAGATGGATGCCAGCGTAGTCCGTCTTTCACGAGGTGCTGAATGTGATCTTGAATAGAAATTGGAAAGCAAGTGGCAATAGATGGGCACTAAAAGTACCCAGTTCGGCCACGAGTTCTGCAGCCGACCAAAAACGGGCATTGAAGCTTCTGATATCTTACGTCGGTTTACAAGTCGTGCATGCGCGGAGTAGGCGCCAGGAATTTCGTGTCATTGTTTCACGGATTCTCCAAGTTGGTGTTTTGAGGATGTGCTTACCATGCAGCATAGTAGGATCGATTTTTGACTTGACCGTTAGTGAGGACGTCTTTTCTGTCTTACAAAAGATCTGATAGTGTGTATGCGTTTTGTGCGAATTTTCTCAGATTCTCATGCTCTAGGTCTGCCGGCCATCTTCCGATCAGGTTTCTTGTAAGCCACAATACATCCTGCTACTCGCTGAGAGTCTGAACGCGAGCGCTATAATCTTTGCTGCATCTTTCACCGTTGACAGTCGAGGAATTCTGCTGTTTCTCGCATCTTCTGAAAATCTACAGCCCTGCCCAATTATTCGCTTCCGCATCTGCGTTTTAGAATTCTTCGACCTCCCTCCGTTTGCTTGCGCGAAACTCCCAAACCAGAGAGCCAATCCAGTTATACTTCTCCCGACAGGCACACCCACCCGCACGCGCACGGGCACGCGCACTCGCGCGCGCACGCACAGCCGCACGCGCAGTCCCACGCGCAGTTCGAGCCGCACGGCGTGCACACCGTCTCCGTGGAAGACGTGCCGGAGCTGCTCAGGCAGGGGCGGCCGTACGTCGACGTCCGTACACCGGAGGAGTACGCGGCTGGCCACCCGCCGGGAGCGGCCAACGTTCCTTACATGCTCAGGACGGCAAGGGGTAAGTGTCTTGGCTGAGGAAAGTCTCACGTGATTCCTCAGTAAGTTGGAGCCCAGAGATGGGGCGTGGGGGATGTGAGGTCTGATTTGCTGAAAGGTAGGATATGAGAATGGGGTGGGGTTCCCTGCCCTTTCCCTGGTGTCGCGGCTTTTGGTTTCTAAATGGGTTTGTTTACACCGTGATCTGGCGAGGAGAACTAAGGCAAGAAGCAACGGCACGACGGTGTCCAACTGTGGTCAGAAGCATCTCGAAGTGCTGAGTCTGTGAGTTTGTTAGGGAACGTCTTGGGCTGAGGTCCGAAGATACGCACACTCAGTCGACGTCTGCAGTTTCTTTGCCTTACGACAGCACCTTCGCCAGCTGATGATACGATGTCATTAAAACATTCCGACGTCTGTTGGAGCGGGGGAGGCCAATGAGACATGAACGCATCCTCTCACTCTGCTAACCAGAACTTCGACTTGTTGCGCAGGCATGACAAAGAATTCCAACTTCGAGCGTCAGATGAGGGAAGACTTCGACCCAAATAACGAGATCGTGCTGGTAAGCTGAGATCATCTTACCAATCCCTTCGTGTACGAAGCACATCTGAGACCTCTGCTTGCCGAATCTGATGCGCAAAGATAGCCGCTCATCTGATCCTGAGGTCTCGGTAAGCTTCTTGCTGAGTCCCTGCTACAATCCACGTCAAATAGCTCGTGTTGGCTTTCTTTCCTTTTGAGCAACGTTCTGTGCAACGGAGGGGTATGTTCGCACCCTGCTCGTATGTTGGAAGCGGAAAGGGCTGATTTGCTTCTCGTTTCGATGAAAAGATTAACGGATAACGTCATTTTTTGAGATTCTTGAGCAGAGCTTCTTGACGAAGCCTTTGTTATTTCTCCATTGCCAGTCTTCGAGAAACTTCGATTCAATTCCTCATGTATGATACATGCACCGTAACCAACTCCCAACCAGACAATCGTGATCAATACAGCACTGCGCCAACATTCTTTTCTCAGTCTCCTCCTGCCAATCTCGAATCGTTTGCGCTGACACCTTCTTGCAATTTGCAGGGCTGCCAGAGCGGATCCCGTTCGATGGCGGCCGCCGTCGACCTGTCTCAGCAGGTGGGAACGTCGCCCTGACAATTTGGCCCGATTAATTTTTTCCTTAACCCATCGCCATCCATTTTACTGCCTCAGATATACAGGGGCTTGGAATTCATTGCTTACAGAGAAGGGCCATGGATCTTTGTTGCGACGTTCTCAAATGAATCAGAAATCTGCAGCTATGTTGTTGAACGGCGAAAGTGAAGCGCTCCGCGAGAGAAGCGCTCGTGACTAGCCACGTGGTGTCCCTTCGCGCTCAATACGCAATAGCTTGAAACCTGAATTTGGGCCAGAAATGTTGTGGCGCCCAAAGTCACCGCACGGCTTTCAAGTTCGGTCAAGAATGCGGTACTTGAACCAGTGGGTCTTCTTGAAACAATCGTATTAAACCAAGTGACCCTCTGACCGTGTTTGCTAGTTAACTGCCCGTAACCATGTTCGTCGACTCAACGCGCTGAATCCGGTCAACGACTAACCTCCGTGCGCCCCTCTTCACACCTCAGGGCTTCCAGGACCTGGCCGTCCTTGAAGGAGGCTTCCGCGCGTGGGTGCTCGCGGGTCTGCCGGTCGAAACATCTCGCCCGGGCGCCCAGTAGTCTGCTTCAAATAGCCCGTACATAGTCGGCCAGGGAAATTAGACGCCGCAGGCTCAGACCCGTATATTCGACCAACAGGATTCAGCTGGCGGCAACAAGAAGGTAGACATCGAATTACAAAGCATCCTGGGGTAGAGGATCTGAGTCCAGTACTAAACGTAGAGGTTAGTAGCATGCAGTCATGGTACTATGTACACGTGCATGTGCGATGGGCTCATGCAGCTGAGAAGGAGCTGATGATTGGATGAGGATCATGTCTTTCGGGGGATTAAACAGCGCCGGGTAATCCGAAAGATCCCAATTGGAGGTACGTATGCGTTCTGACCATATGCAATTACTTCTTTTGTGCACGCGTTGAACGTACTTTTAACTGAGTGCATGATACATATTATCCACCCGAAACATCAATTGCGCACGTCAGTATGACCGTCGCGAGGTGGCGGCATGCAGGCGTTAGTAATAAAATGATATATATCGCGATCGTTGAGATCCTAATGGATGGATTTATCATTTCAGTATGTCTGCTGTCCGCCGAGCGAGGAGGCCGCTCTCTCTTGAACTTGATTCAAAGCTGAGTTTTTATGCAACACCAAGATGCAAATATCAGGTGAGACCCGGACGGTCATGTCGGATGTTGCCAGTTGCAAAGGGTCATGGGTTTGGCTGGCATGATTCAATCGACAACGGTGCCAGACAAGCAGGATACGAAATCATACAGTGCATCGATCCTTCAATGAACGAACAACATTGTACCGATAATGCGCTCTGGATTAAACAAGCTGCTGAAAGGAACCCAGGTGTTCAAAACAACGGAATGTAAGATTTTGAGATAGCATTGCGCCTAAGCTTTGGTTACAACGGCAGGAGCAGAAGATCCAAAAATGTTAATGCCTTCCAGCACTAAAGTCTGCCATGTCTTCTGGCGGCGGCGTGTAGTCATCGAGGCCCCTGCATCGCAGAATGCGTTCATCTCAAAATGAGCTTAGATTCGACGAGCAACAGCCTACGGACTCTACGCTCAAATCCGTTGAAACACAGAGCAGCTCTTTTTGGACCGGAAAAATTCCCAAAAGTCGTCCTTGAAAGGCGCGTAAACAGCCAATGAAAAGCTGACAGCCCATATGAATGGCAAAATATTTCGATCGGCTGATGTATTGCAAAACACGTCAGAGAACTTGGCTTTGGCACCAGTCGCCGTAGAAAGAGCGCAGCCCTTTTCCAGGTATTGCAAACCCGTGTTCCCGATGGGTGTCAGTTGTGAACTTGCTTACCCGTCGAGCTCCTCCAGGAGCGTATTCCGCGCATAGCGCTGCCCAAATAAGCGCTCCTTCACGCTGTTGAACGCGTTCACACCCGTATCCAAAGCCACGTCCACACTGTGGAAACAGGGCACAATCAGTGCCGAACATAAGTCGAAGCGGGGCCAACCTGCTGCAATCCGATGAGTGTACAACACAGAAAAGACAAAGCGGTTTCGCGAAAAATCCAACACGTTCTTGGGGGGATACTTTCCTGCTCAAACACGTACACGAAATGAGCATACGGCGCGGTCATTTCTCAACATCATGAGCGGGTTTTGATGGAGACACTTTCAAGAGCCTTCGAAGAGCCTTCAAGTTGCCGACGGTCTTAAAAGTAACTCTGCCAATCAGAATTCCAGCTCTCTCCAACAGAGAATGTCATTTGCTGAGTCTAAAGACCGGCAACAGATAGTCAATTCAAAGAGAAAGAACAAACTGTAACCACAATCAGCCAGCCACGGAAAGGATAGGAGAACGCTCCTTACAGTGGCGAGACGACCTCCCATCTTAGGTACACGAGATAACCGACGGCGCCCAACACCGCCAAGCCCAGGACAGTGATGAAAAATGCTGCATAAGACAAGAAAGGGCAAGTAGGTGAAAGGGTAGTCATCACTAAGACAGTCTTGTAGCTCTGAACATAGTTGACAGTACAGTATCGAGTCCATCGAGTGTCACAAGAGCCTGCTCCAGAAATGACGGTTGTGGCTTATTTAAGCTCCTCTGGGCGCGAACCAGTCGAGCTGTGAATAGAAGTTCGGGTCCGATGCGTGGGCGTTATCATCAGACTAGTACTTTCCTACAGCCTTTTGACCACAAGGACTGAAGGGTTCCAGGAATCAAGAGAAACCCTCGCAGGCAGTCAATTTAAGGGCGGACGAAGGAAATTTTCAGAAGCATGCAAGGAGCGTTTTGTTATTTCGACCGAGTACAGGCAAATCATGAATGGAGCCATTACTCACATGCCCATCGGAAGCCCTTCCGGCTGCCCCCTGGAGGGGGCTGCCCCCCTGTCGCAGCATACTCGCCAGCAGTGCTTATCTGCAATCGAAATACCGAGACGAATCATGTCAGAAGAGCTGAGAAGTGAAGCGTACAAGCTCTCAGAAAGAGCTGCTTAGCCGGCCTTCGAACCTGGACAATCACTATGACATGCCGCCACGCCTTGAACTAAACGGGCTTGTGCGTAAAAACACTTGGTCGCAGAACAACTCTGGTAGATCTGATTTCTCAGTGGTGCTGGACTGACCCATAAGGCGAACCACAAAGCTTGCAGACGAAAGAATCATCAGGGCTAACTAATACCAAATGGTCAGAAGCTTTTACGTTAGCGCAGCAAGCTCCTCGGTCAAGTATTTTGGGGAACAATATGATGTCCTCCGGAATACATGTACAAGCAATCTCCTCAGGTTGGAGCCATCCCGTGCGCAACTACACCAAGACAAAAGCTGCAAACAGTAGAGCAAGATCCCGAACTCACCAAAAACGTGGGCGGCCTTGTAAAGGAAAGGTGATTCCCGTACCGACCCACGTCCCGGGTGGCGAAACCCTGGCCCTCGTCGAAGGTCCAATACCCAGCCAGATCGCTGGTCGCCTGCAGCCGCATACATTCAATCGGTCAAGTTCACCACCAAAGCTTTTGACACATGAAAGGAGTATGAACGTATCCCACTTCCGGCAAAGATACGCTTTGTTCAAAGCCTTCAAGCTGATGAGAAGCAAGTATGTCAAAAGACAGAACGCCGTCGTCTGACATACAGCTGCGCGTCAGTTCCAGGCAATTTGGACGCAAGAACGCCACAAACGCCCGGTCCTTCCGTGTCAAACAGATGGAGGGCTTCCTTCAATTGCAAACGGGAAGACTCGTCTAACCTTGTCCATGAACAAGCTTGAAAAGAATCTCTCTCAACCCGTCCTGAAGTCACCTCCTCCAACGCAAACCATAACCACCTCCACCAACTTCCAAACACAACGCCATTCTTTCGACTGCAAACCAGAAACAGTTTGCTTACCTTGATATCAAACATCTTCCACCGGGCAGCAATGTCTGCCGCGCTGAGCGCCTTTCGCCAGAGTCGGATCTCGTCCAAGTCGCCCACGAAAGAGTCCCCGGGACTGATCGGGCTTGAGGAATTTATGCACCCGCCCACGCAGCCCAGGTGGCCGCCAATGGACAGCGTGCCCCCCTCCGCAATCGCCCTGCAAACGAGGGCCAAGAAACTTGCCTACACTATTTGAAACAACTAAAAGTCCACGATTAGACAGCTGTCAATACCTTTTGATTCGAAATCAAACCTGCTGGGACCAACGAACTATGCAGAAATTGAAGGCGGATCATGTGCGGTGCTTTGACGGTCGGCCGCTCCACCGTTGAGAAGCGCCCCCACAAGCAGCAACTGAAACAGTAGCGCATAAAAGAGGAGAGACAAACCACCATGTCGAGGTCCTAGAGGTCAGCAATCAAAAGCACCTAGATATAAACTCCCTCGGCGGACTACCAACTTCCATGCTTATTGCTTGAGAAACGCGCTCAGTTGACACAAGTCACCTAGCATTATAACAAACGCTATTCCTCTTAACCAGCAAAAGGAGCTCACTTTTGCTTCGAGAAGGTGTCCCGGAACACCTCCACCCCGTCGTTGTACATAATCGTCCTCCCGTCTGCAGAGTTCCACGTGACTGCGATGTGGTGCCACGTGCCGTCGGCAGCTCGCAGGCCAGTGCCTTTCACGTCCCCGTTCACAGCGATCTCGAGCCCCACCCGCAAATCGGATCGCCTGCAGAAAGCAAAGACAGAGACTAAGAGCAGAAGCCCTTCCAAGATCAGAGCGAAAACGCCCCTCTGCGAAAATAGTACGACAAGCTGCTTGAAAAGCTGTTGGTGGAAACCGCGAAATCGTGTGTGCTGCTTGTCAATTTGATATGCACAGAATACAAACTTGTACAAAACTATATACGATTAAGCAGAAGTTCTCAAAAAGGCGTCTGCAACCGCCGTCCGATGCCAAAAATGCATGCTCTTGTCCTCTTTGAACCTAGGGACAAGCGACGCCAAAAACAAAAATCCACCATGTGAAACAAAGCACCAAAAAGCAATGTTTTCGACGCTCACCTAATCAGATAGACTTGGTCCGCAGGTCCGTTACCAAAGCGGTACGAAAAGAGCGTGCCATCGTTGCACACGTCAATTGAGCGCATCCAGACCTCGAACGTAAACTGCAGAAACGAGACAAAGAGCTTGTTTCAACCACTTCTCGCGTCTGCTATGGGGCAAGAGAGTAAGAACTTCGCCACGCAAATCAGGCTTGAAAGGCGGGAAAGTAGATTGCTTTGACATCAGATCGATCGTCAGGAGTGGATAACTTTGACATTGCCATGAGCTTACCAAGTGTGGGAATAGCACCGCAAAGTGCTGTTTCACAATCAAGCCGACATTTGTTCCTTCATGCATTGTAAAACAAAGCGATACAGGAGGTCAGACAAGCAAACAAGCTGGAACCTGCATATCGCGAGCCGTAAAAGGATACTGAAACACATGGCCTGCACACACCATCAGCCCAGCAGAAACTTACCTGGTCATTAGCCAAACCCTTCACCGCCGTGGCTAGGAGGGCCTCTGTTCCGTCGAGGCTGGCGGCATATCCTTTCCTGTTCGGGGGTGGGCCTTTGGACTCGCCCTCCAGAGGACACGTGGATTCCTAAGAACACCATAAGCGAATTTTGTCGTGTTTGCCACTGGTCAAGAGGACATGCACGAACATATTGTTCTGACCTCAAAGCAACAGAATCGCGTCGGATCAATCCTAAGCAGAAGAATGACAGCAGCAGATTTTGAAAGAGACCCCACCATATTCATTGTCTAACGTCGCCAGAAAGATTCCTTAAGTGATCTGCACGCTTCCGAAAGCTCGTAGCTTGTCAAAGAAACGTGCTCGAAACGCAGTGCTTACAGGCGCCATCAAACGGCCACCCGGGCTCCTTGGTGTGGAATGTTTTGCGCCGCGTGTCAATATGAAGCAAGGACACCGACAACGGAGTCGGAAAGAGAACCGGGAAAGTGCGTTCCCTCTTTCTCAGCATACTTTTAACCGGATCTGGGAGTATCTTGCAACAGCAGCATGGCAACTTAACGGTGCAGACCACTTGAAGCTTACCTGCCAAAGGGGCGCTGCGCTCCCAAGAATGAGGTCATTGCCCTTGCCGGAAGCATCCACGATCATATACCGGGACTCTTGATCCCTGAGCAAGAAAAAATGCAAAAAGGTTTGGGCTCAAAGAGTGTCCATTCAAGTTCTTCAGCTTGGTAGCCACTCGACGTCTACATCAAGGGAAGCATCGCCAGCTGACCAGTTCGGTTCGTTCTTTTCTCAGTCAAGACGAGCAATTGTGTTTGATTGTATTACAGGTTCTTGCGTTTGACGCACAAGTTCATCCAAACGGAACGAAGACTGAGCAGAGGCCTTCCTTTTGGGGGACTTTTATTGAAGCCAAGCATTACCCAAACGATGGACCTCACAAGTCCGCTGTACAAGGCGGTGCCACGACCACAAAACCGTTTAGCTCTTAACTCTACCGATGGCAAAAAGAGTACCAAAGCTTTATGATGTCAGCGTTCTACATCTTAAAGCTGACAACACTTTGACGCCACATTTGTAGGAAAAGGCTGCAAAAAGCGAACTCGCACAATTAGACGGCAAGCAACGAGAAAACCGAGTGACACCCGATCTCAAACGACGGCCTTCATATTGATCCCACCTCTGGAAATCATAGTAGATTGCAAGGTCCTTCTCTGAGGCCGGATTCTGGATAGGCTGGTTGTAGTGGGCGCTAATCTGCAAACGCAGTGAAATCAAGGTCGTTGTCAGGTGGCCAGTAAGAGTGTTTGAAACCGGTGTCGCAAAATCCATTTGTGCCTTACTGTGAGCGAGCCAAACCAACGGAAATTGTAATTGCTGCCCCACATCGCCCCTCTGTTCGCACTCCTAGTAATAGACCTCGTTCCTCTGCATTGCTGTTCGGGTAGCGGCACCACCAGTATCAGCTCTGCTTCAACAAACTCCTCATGACGATGTTGCGCTGCAGTTGAGATGAGTTGCAAATCAAGCGAACCAGCAGGTTTCGCTCAAGCCAATGCGAAGCGGAGAAGAGTGCAGCGATCATTTATGTCACGACGTTCCGAACCAGGCGGTCACTTACGTCAGCGTCAGAGAGGACTTTATCCCACACCCGGACCTCTGCGAGCCCTCCGTGCAGGCTCTCCTCGCTGGCGAAACAACCGCCGCAGCAATGCTGGTTCTGCACAGAGGAAAGATGGGAATTGTGTCAAACCGATTTGCGAAGACAAAGAAGCCTCGGTTTGACATTCTTTATCTTCGCAATCCAATTTCTAGATCGCGCTCACACCAAGAGGGGGCCCTAGAACCCACGAAGACCTGCTTATTCCGCTCGACGGTGTTGAGAGAAGCGACGCAACCATACTGAAACCCCCGAAACATGGCTCCTCGGCAGATATGGCTAAGACTATGCAAACAAATACCGACAGCTCAACTGGCCTGGAGACCGAAAGTCGTAGAAAACGGACTTCAAGCCCGCTAAAGACAAGTTCTGGAGGAAGCGAAGCACTTTACAGGACTTTACTCGGGAGATGATTCGTACCTGCCCCAAAACGAGACACCCGTTGGCAGCTCGTGTCGCCCCTGCGTCGACACTGCCGTCCCACATCTTCTGCCCGTCCATGTAGAGGATCGCTACCCCGGTGGTTACGTCCCACGTCAGCGCGTAGTGGTGCCACTTGTGGTCTTCCGCAAACACTTCGGTGTCGCGAGAAACCATGGCTGCACGGGGGTTTTGCGCGCTAAGTAATTGATCGGCGCCCTTTGAAGCTGGGGTGAATAGATGGTGCCATGTTTTCAGATATCGGGTTTCAATTTCTGATGAATTTTGGGATTACGATCGAAGCTGCTAAAATGTCCAGCAATTCTTGAAACAGGGAGGTAAGGAAAAACTAAGTGTAAGCAGTTGCAGTCCCAACCTGAATTCATACGATAGCTTTTTGGAACCCGAAGGAAAATACTTTGCACACTACGCTTCCTGCATGGATACTCGACGAAACGCTGCTGGTCAAGTTTAAGTAAGGGAAACCGCCCGTGACGTTGGGTATTCTCACAGTTGATAACGACGCTCATGAGGTCGTCCGAGTTGTCCTTGTAGATCCAGACCGCCAGGGGCTCAAAGTGGCTGCCCGACTCATCTGGGGTGCTGACTTCGGCCGCGTATGAAAAGAGACTGCGCAGGTAAAAACCTCAATCCCGTCAGCCCTCTACCGTTTACTACCGATGTAGCAGGGCTGACCAAACAGCCGTTTGCATGCGCTTTTTCGCAACTTCCAACTTTCTCCGACCCTGAACAGTTCCGTCGAAGATACCTTCATTGAAAATGATGTTGCGAGATCGTACACAAGGGAGTAGAGTGAAGGCAGTCCTGCAAGTACTTTGAAAGTAAAGGGGAGCCATCGAGAAAGACAATCGGACACGTCGGGACTATGTATGCTGAAAGCCTAAATAGAATCTACAGCAAACGAGAGCGGCTCGAGGCCTTGCAATCCGCTAAATTTTGCGATGTTCTCGTTGAATTTCAACAGACTCTGCAGTCAGTGGTTGAACTACGGCTTGAAGGGAAAAGGACATACGACAGGCGTCCTCACGTGCTACGGCCCTCATTCACGTAGCCTGCGTCCAGGTTCTTCTGATCAACGGCCCACATCTCCACCGAAAAGCTGCACAACAAAAATCAAGCCCGATGAAGCGTGTTGCAAATTGCCAGCCAGGGCACGTTGTGGCTCTGCCCATGAGTTCAAATGAGTGCATTCCAAATCGAGAACGATTGGCGGACGAATGTGCCTTATGCGAGCTTCTAAAGGCCTTGGAAAGCCGGAAGAGCGCTGCAGGATGGATCATGTGAACCGGACCAATCAGAGGAGACCAAATCACGAGATTAGAAATTATGGAAGAATGTCAAAGGTGCTCTTTGACGGGACCGCTTTCGAAATTGCAAATGCGTCCTTCTTGCTCTTTCTCTGGAAAAGGCTGGGATTGGTGCAAAATAGACGAACCCTCAGGGCGACTTCAGTAAGCTTGGCGGCAGTCGGAGATGAGCCCCAAACTTTCGTACCTGCCCGTCGGGAACGTCTTCACAGCTGTGCTCCTTGCGAAGTTGTTGGAGAAGGCAAGGACTTTGTTCGTTGATCCCCTGAGCGGGAACATCTCGTTCGTGACGTTGTGAACGGGAGGGAATGTCAGGTTGAAGTTGTTGCCCCCTGCAGGAAGGCAAGCTCGTTGAGTGTTTGCTTCTAAAACGAAGGCACTGCGATGAAAAGCCTTTGTCATATATCAACAAAACTACAGCCTCTTGTCAAGCTACTTGACCAAAGTCCCAACGATTATAAGCTGATTAATTCATGCTGCTCTCGTCTACAACGTTTCTCTTTCCTGAAAACTATTCTAGACTTCAACAAAAGCCAGTCGCTGGTGTCACACGCAAATGCACATATCTCATTTCCGCCGACGCCGACTGATCTAAATTGGCAGGAAGCTCACCTCGATGGCTCTTGTCAAAAGTAATGTCCCCGCCTCTCTCATCAAGCGGCCAATAGCCCACCAGATTGTCCTTGGCTCCTGGCGCTGACAGAACTGGGTTACCTGTCCAGCGACGAGAGAGGGAAACAAAGTTCATAGGCTATGACGATGTGACGCGGACTGTACAAAAACAATCGAAACGCTTTGCAAAGCCTACACTTTCACGGCCCCCACATGACGATAAATGCGAGTATAGGAACGCCCGCTCGGTTCGACCTTCGCAGGCCTTCATGATTAAGGCGCCGGCCAATCAACGATCGTAGTAAGCCAAACGACAACACCAAAAGCTACACGCCGGATCCTTTTGCCTTCTTTCTTCCGCTAATGCCTCCGTTACCTCAATCTCCTCCACTAAGAAGGCTCCCAACCTTTGGCAACAAAGCACTCCAATCCATCTCTCGACCCGCAAGCTAGGCAACCAATTGACGTGTTCATGCGTATCACTCAAGTATCCACGTCCACGCACTGAATGTCAGGTGTACGAACAAACGAACAAACAAACTCTTCCAAGAAAATAAACCCCAAGTGCTGGAGTCATTTGTTGGCCCCAGTTGTACTGGATCATAGACCTTGCTTGAACTCCCTGCCATGCGTACAAACGCACGGACGAACAAACCCAAAGGTTTGATTCGAACTATTGAATCCGTTTGTGAAACCCAACTGGGCTGGATTAATGAACTCCCTTAGGAGAACGGACCTGACTGGTGCATCAACTGCAGAATCTCGGCCTGGCTCCGCTCCACCCTCCAGAGCCGGATCTCGTCCATGGCACCGTAATACGATTGGCCCGTCTCAAAGCAGCCGCCCACACAATCTGGAAGAACGACGGGGGTTACAGTTTGGGTATAGATTTTGAGCCCGGGAACGAGTACCAAATAGGGTCACTTCAAGGGAAAAGCGCAGGGGCTTTCCTGCTTATGTTTCTGTCAGACACCCCGCCATCCCTCCTCTCTCGAAATTTAGCCAATCGGAGTCAAACGCTTCTGACAACCGCAACAGCTGGTCGCTGCCGGACCCAACGGGGTTGATCCTGCGCTTTGGAAGCTATCCCTTCGATGGCGGATGGTGCGCACGGCCCCTCCTTCCTTGCTCTAACTGACTTTATCAAATAAGGATTTTTGCGTCATGACTGGCAGAAATCAGCGGTGAAGAGAAGGAAGGGTCTCGAAACAACCCCAGCAACATGCAACATTCCCTTCAAAAACGAGTTGAACAATCAACACTCAAACTGATACACCAAGTCGCAGACGACTTAGAGACGACCTGCTTCCCCTATCAAATCTCACGATGCTTCTTGCATTGGTCCTACTGCTTTGTGCAATGGGAAAATCTATCCCCAATCTGACCTATCCCCTCACCTTGTTCATTGCCAAGGACCATGATTCCGCCGCCCGGTAGCGGCCCCGTTTTGAAGGTGTCAAAGGCCTTCGCCAGCACCCCGTCCACGTAGATCATCACCCGGCCACTCTGCTCGCCATTCCAAGTGACCTGCAACAAGGAACATACAGTGGTTGTCGATCTCAAATCTGGATAAAGCTAGGAAAAATTGTGAAATTGCTCTAGGCTTGCAGTGGCTGAACCTGATCCATGAGACCTACCCATGAGACAAGGTGTTCCTTTCAGCTTACTGAGACTCTGCCTGTGCTCTACCAGCTTGATAAGAAAGTTGAGGAATCCCAGCTTGAACAGATCTTTTGTCCACGAAACTGCTGAATCAATGTTCCTCTCATCATAAACCAACTTGGTAAAAGACAGTCATGACATATCCTTGAAACCCCGACCGGACCGTTGGTTCCTGTTCATCTTGGATCCGCCTCGATTGCTCCTCCCAACCAGAGCAGGCTTGATGGGTTTGCATCCCCATGAGAAATCGATTTGACACTGGATCCTTGCATCTACGTCCAACTCCTGTCCTCACCGCCAGATGGTGCCAAAGCCCGTCCGAGAGGCCGACTTTGATCCCATTATCTTGCCACCCATAGCATGTTGGAACGATGTACAGCTCCTCTATGCAGATAATCATGTCATCGCCCGAGTCAAAGATGACAAATCCATTGCCGCCGGGACTGTTGGGGCCGCTGTAGGAGAACGGCGTGGACTTGTGGCAAGTCTGCGCGTGTCAGAGCAGGCAGAAAGATCAGGAGCGTTCCTTTGACAGTGTAAACTGAACCGACACTATACAAACCGATTCGCTTCTCCTAGAAACGCTTCTGCTTTGTTTGAAAACTGGAGAAGGGGAAGTAAAGAGATGGCTAGACAATTTCTGTCCTTTGAGTGGAGGTCAGTCAATGAAAGTAGACACCTGCCTGGCTTCAATTGCCTCAAGCAAGGGACTGACTTTTGAATCGTAAAAGCGTAGTGCAAATGCACCCAGCAACCCTGGGCACTGCTGGAGTACCTGGCGGCACACCTCAAAGTAGTCCGTGAGACTGAGTAACACTTCACGTCGGTGGAGAAGAAATGTCCAGCAAGAAAGCACACAGCTTTCAAAGAAAAGATTCATCGATGTCACAGCATTGCCAAAAATTAAATTCTTTGCAGTGAATGGATTCAATGTTCTGTAGAGCAACATGTCGCGCTTACCTTCAAAATACGAAAAGCATTGATAGTGAATTGATTTTACTATCATTCAACATTTCCCAGCACAGCACCAATGAACATTAGCATACTCACATCGTGCGACTTCAGCCACGTTTCAAAGGTCAGCTGCGTGGTGGGAAAGTTGGGGCCCGCTCTCGCCATCGCAACATGGTCGCCAAAGAGCAGCATTTGCGGCCCATCCGACTCTGAATCCAACAATGCACCAGCATGAGTACTTTTGCACACATCAGATAAGCAAGCAGCTGATGAGGTAACATGCACGCAAAGCTGGTTTCTGCAGCAGCTTGCTCAAGCCTATGAGCGGGTGAGCTTCGGAAAAGAATGACTTTTGAGGTTTATTCAATGAACTGGAACAACATAAAAAGCCTATGCCACTCATGCAAAACATGGCTACCACATTCTGACAAGATTCATACCACCCCACACAGGGACAGAGGGCACTCCCTCCTGCTCAAAGTGATAAAAGCTGGGTTTTTTGAAATGGTAAGGCAAAAGAGGTGTCAACACCATCTGATATGCGGTGTGTTTTGAGGCAATCGTAGCGTCTACCGCATCGTTTTGGTGAACAACAGAGAACAGACAAAGATCCTTGTCACATCGCTCCAGCTGTAGGCAACCCGGCCTTGACATAGTGAATGGATTTCCTGTGGGGCCGCTAGGCACTATGCATCGCACAAACAGACATACACACACACAAAGATACACACACGCACTATGCATCTCTAAGACTTGTAGCATGTGGTCGACCATTTGTTTTCAATCGATTGTGGCCTTTTTCGTGTCCAGATCACAGCAGCAAGCAGCTTTTCAAACCTGAGACAAAAGCTCGTCGATCGAGAAAGGCTAGCAGTCCAAACTTATAAGTGAGGTCCAAGCTCCCTGTTTGTCAACCCGTGAAAGCAAGCGTCCCGAATGGATGAGCAACCTCAAACTAAACTCACGTGCAAGTGCAGCTGAAAGCAGACTGCCCAAAAAGACAAGGAGCAAGCAGTGCGCAGAAACGCCTGCCATCAGGTTCAGACTCGCCAGCTTCGATCGAATCGCCGGCTGCGCTCTGCCTTGTACGCTATGCCCGATGGGTATGACAAAAAGCTGCGATGCACACTGTTGAATCCAACAAGCAAACCACGCTCCGACGTTTCCAAAGCAAAACTTTGGGTAAGTAGCTACGACTTTCACATGTCGCCCATGACGGCTAGCTGGTCGCTGACTAGCGCTATCTACCACCTAGCAAACGGTCCTCAGTCTCCAGCTCTTCTGCTCTGAGACTGCAGTGCCAGCGAGCTCGTTGAACCAATCATCAAGGAGTCTGAAAAGCAGACTTGCGTGGGCAGTGACCACGTGCATGTGCCACGTCATGAGTGATAGTTCCGCCGGACCCCTGAGAGGGGTGCCTGGTAGGCTGTCTACTAACCCCTAGGCCAAAATGGCAGAACGACGTGGCAGCTTGTAGAATTTCTATTGGCTGCAAGTTACAAAGTCGTCCCTGCTTACACCAATTGAACAATGTCGTGGGTTGGGACAGCTTCCCTGATGAATTTGAAACTCCAGTTCCATGCATGGCCCCCAATCTGGAGATCATAGCAAGGGCTTCCCCTCACGTCAGATGCGCTACTTCATTGGAATGTTCAACGGGTTGAGCGTTTGTGGGCCTTCAGATGCTAAAAGGCCTGTGGCGCATTAGCCAGCCGATTGACGAGGACGGAGGCAAATGGATGCATCTGATGTGCTTTGAAATCCAGGGGGGTGATTTACATTGTGGGTGATTACGCCTTAGCTTCAAGAACGAACAGCAAGGAGCTCTCTTAGAACTCCAGTCATGGCAGACGGACCTGAACACACTAAAGTTTTGGAATCTAAGAAGTCGGAGACTTACGAGAGGAGCAAGTCAGGGTCCTTCTCCTTGAAACCGGGGCACAGAAGGAAGCCGTCATGGCCGCTGAACGACTTCATCAACAAGCCTACCTTGCAGTTGGTGAGAAGAGCTTTGTTGGAGACTAGCTAGGAGAAGCGTTGGTCTGTGGAAGGAGGTTGGCTGATGGGCTTCTGAGTGAAGTTGCTGCCACGGATTGCGTTCAAGCTGATCTTATCAAGGGCTTGACTAGTGGCATGCAATCGACGTGGCTGCGTGTATTGAGTCTATGGTGATATGTTCAAGCTCTACTTCATGGAATGACAACATTCTGGATGAAGCAACAAGTGAAGCTGCGAAGAGGTCTGCTCTAAGCACAATCAAAAAAGTTCAATATGTTACATAGATGGAGCTCAGACACTCTGCGTGAACTTTGAGACTTGGGTGCGTAAATTGTCAGTGTTTTCTGCCCTATTTCAAAGATGAGGGGCATGAGCTGTTGTGCGCTGTCATTCCAGAGTTTACACGTTCAGCAGAACTGCCTACCTTCTGGCAGCATGCAAGTGCGACACGCTGCTGAAAGAGTAGACGAGTGCCCCTGACCCAAGAGATCCTACACTGGACCGTACAAAAGTTGCTCTGGTCACACCATTTGGCAGAAACTGATTGTTGCAAATCTGGGGGGGGGGAGTTCTGCAGCTAGCAACAAAGGGCGTGGCGCCCCCCAGCCTGGCGTGGCGGCGGAAGTTGAACCTGCCCGTCAGTCTGCTCAAGGAGTTCACGGTGACAGTCTCGGAGGCGTTCAAGATGGTGAGAGGTTCTGCGCCCGGCAAGTTTCTGGTTGGGGCTCGAAACAATGCATACTGCAACAACTCCGGCCAGGGGCAGAGTGCTTGCTCTGGGCCGTGGGGATGTGTCAAAGATTCTCAAAACATGTGAAGGTTGAACTGTACATGAATCATGCAGACTTCGTGACATTCTTTTTGACATGCCCCACCTTCCAGACAAATGGCGCTGATGAGCTTGCACCCAGTACTTTCAGGGACTACTCTGCCTCATGCATGGAGACTCTGCTGAGTCAACGCCCAAAGGTGTTGTCTCCAAGTTCAGAGTGTGTAAAAGAGGTATTGTAGCGTTGACGGCAGGTCTAAGTTCCTACTTATTTTCGCGTCACAGTCTGGTACTTAGGAGCTAAAACTTGGACCTTGACACTGGCCCCTCTGATATCCAGGCGCGACTGGGCCTGCGCTTGTACCGTCATGTCCTGGAAGAGCGCAGCCAGGGACGAGTGCCAATCATTGACCCGTTCAATAAGTCCGTCACGCGGCCACAGGCGTGCCACGGTGTCCCACTTGGGGGCATTGGGTGAGAGCTGTTTCCGTCAAACATTCCTTGCTGATGACTCTGTCAACAAACATCACTTTCAGTGCGGGTTTGATTGAGGAGATTGGGCAAAATTATCATCGCCACTGGTTTGGATGCGTATGAGGAAGAGACCTGTGGGGCTGAATGCAAGTGGGGTTTTGTCGTGCAGTTTTTGATCCTAGATTTGGATGGAAAGAAACAACAGACGATGGTTATGGAATCAGCTGACCAGATAGTAACGAATTGATGTATAAGTTCCAAGAAAAACGGTTGCCGTGGAAATAGCTGCCAGATACTGACGAATTGATGTGTTGATTCCAAGAAAGGTTCCTTATTGTTTCTCATGCTGTACAGGGGGGGAAGCATTGGCAGGGGCTGGCGGGGGGACTTCCGGCGATGGCAGCTTCAGCCGGGGATCTGTGACGAGGCGCCTGTGCTAGCTGATCAGTTTTCCGTGAGTCTTTTGCAAGGGGTTCGACGATTTGTTAGAGAGGAAGAGGCAGACAATTCGTAGTACCAGCTAAAATAATCGAAACGCATGGCTTGGACCGTTGAGTAGAGCCATGTGCTCACTGTCAGAATGTCTTTCGACAGGAAAAATATTGCGGCCAACTGCAGACGTGTCACATCCGACTTCATGAAAGGCTCAAGTAAATGTTTTCAAATGTAAAGAAGTGCAGAGGATTCGACACCACAGGACGCCTTTGTTGGCCCGCAAAAGGCTGGGTCGTTGCCTGGACGGCGGGTCATGTTTCCCAAGATTTGCTGATTGCCTCCAAGGCCTTCGCATCATCTTTCCTGAGGCGTTATCAATTCTCAGTTCGCTTTTCTTCACCGTAGGTTTTCATCAAGCGAGGAGCAGACGGGCACAAGAGGTTCTCCAGCGTGCTCTACCCCGGGCGCCCTGAGGAGCTGATGTGGGTGGTCAACTCAAATCTTTGGATCAGTGACGATATCTGGTCCCTATTTCTCAAGTAGTCATGTCAACAGGATTCCAACTCGTGCTGTATATCGCAAGCACTTACTTCGCCGCCACTATTGGTTCGCGCAACTAAGCGTGTCCCCTCGTTGCCAGGATGCATGCTTCAATTTTTGGCGACTGCTTCCTGCTTTCAATCAACGTTTCCTTGAGCGTGCTTGCTGCCCTCCTCCATCTGGGCCAAGCCTTGGAAAAATTTAATCTCAGGTTGTGAGGTGCGTACAAAGCAGACTGTTATCGTTGACAACTCGCATAACCTTCTTGCAGTCCCCCGAAGCCGAAGGACAAGAAGAAGGCGCCTGAGCCCCCGACGGGGATAGCCACATGGGGTTGGAATCTGAAAGGGGACAAGTCGACGTACCACGCGCTCTTTCCTCGCGCATGGACGGTTTACGATGGTAAGACTGATCTTTCGGTCTCCCCTTTTCTGTTAGTATAAGGTTGCGAAGTTGAAGCTCACCTGCATTGCCAACCTCCAGGAAAAGGAAATAAAGCCGTGGTTTGGCATTGGCATATTCGGAAGTGAAAGTCGAAGGGAAACCATCGACGCGGCTGAATGTCGACCGGGCTTCGGAGAGGAGAGCTTGTCCCCCTTTGCCCCAAGTTGCACGAACACCCCGTCTCAGGGGCCCATGTACGATAGATAAGTCCATTCTGTGCCTACCTGTCCGTTTCATCGTGACCTTCTTTTCAGTCCCTTGTTAGCTGTGTCTCAGTCTGTGGCCTCCCATACTTCACCGCAAGACGTCTGCTGGAGATGGAATGGATCCGAAGCACATGCGCAATCCTCATGACGCTGCGGCTTGTCTCGTACAGGCGAACCCGATCCAGAGTTGAAGATCTCGTGCCGCCAGGTGTCCCCTTTCCTTCCCCACAACTACAAGGACAGCAGCTACCCTGTTGCGGTCTTCTCCTACTTGGTGAGGGTCGACCAATAATCTGATGGTCTGGATGGCTCGATTCGAATGAGTCTGCTTAGAATCGTTGTTATGGGCATCTGGATGGCTCGACTCGAATAAGACTGCTTAGAATCGGTGTTATGGGCATCTGGATTGTAAGAAGACGGTTGTAGACAGACCTGCGAAGTTTCAGTTGAAGACAAACACCTGGCACAGGTTATACAAGGTTCTCTTTCAACCAAAGTAGAGAGCTACTTGTCTGGCATCCTGTTTACCCCGCTTGTATGCTGCCATTTAACCTTCACAAATTGAGCGTCCAGGAAACCCCAGGATGTTCTGAAACCTTGCGTGCTGCTTCATGCCGCTTCAAGCTGAGCATAGAAGCGATTTTGGTGTGTTACGAGGCATGGCTTGACGTTGGAGCTTTGGAGTCGTTTCTATATGCGTCCAGTTGTTGCTCGCTGTCCTCAAAAGACTGACCAGCTGTCTGTGGCGCATCTGCAGATTGCAAACACGGGCAAAGACGATGCTCAAGTGTCCGTCCTCTTCACGTTTGCGGTAAGTGCCATAGCTGGGTGGGCGAATCAACCAAACACTAATCACTCTGTCCGGGCAACAATTTTGGTTCGTCTGTCTCCTAGTGAATGTCTTTTTACTCGATACACAGCGCCCTACTTGCAACTATTTTGTGAAAAGCATTCGGCGCCACTGTTAGGAAGCTGAACTTAGAGCAGGACCGATCCATTCTGCGAGGATTTTCCTCAAGTCGTCGCATCCTTTTTGATTGCAGAACTCCACAGGGGGTGCTACCCACCTGTCCGGGGGCCACTCCAACTCGAGCTTTGAGGAGAAGGACGGGGTCACCGGCGTACTGCTCAATCACAAGTGAGTACCTCGCGGAAAACAAGTGAACCACCTCGAAGCAGCTGCTGAAGGAAATCGTTTCCCCCCATCTTATACAAACAAGGAAAAGGAGGTCTTCGCTTGGAACCAAGAATTCGTTTAGGTTTAGCACCTTGGGTAAACAATATAACCACCTCGAAGCAGCTGCCGAAGGAATTCTTCCCCCCCATCTTATACGAACAAGGGAAAGGAGGTCTTTGCTTGGAACCAAGAATTCGTTTAGTACCTTGGGAAAGCAATATAATCACCTCGAAGCAGCTGCCGAAGGAACTCTTTCCCCCCCACCTTATACGAACAAGGAAAAGGAGGTCTTTGCTTGGAACCGAATCATCCGTTTATTACCTCGCGGAGACCAAGTTAACCACCTCGAAGCAGCTGCTGAAGGAAGTCTTTCCTCCCCCATTCTTCATGAACAAGGAAAAGGAGGTCTTTGCTTGAAACTGAAAGTCCGTCTGGTACCTCGCGGAGAACAAGTTAACCACCTCGAAGCAGCTGCTGGAGGAATTCTTTTCCCCCCATGTTAACGAACAAGGAAAAGGAGGTCTTTGCTTGGAACAGAGAATCCGTCTAGTACCTTGCGAATTCTTAAGTAAACCACCTCGAAGCAGCTGCTGAAGGAATTCTTTCTCCCCATTCTATATGAACAAGGAAAAGGAGGTCTTTGCTCGGAACAGAAAATCCGTCGACCCTTCTCAACGATCTGGAATCTATTACTCTGCAAGGTCGTCGATATCACTATTCTTTTCCAGCCCCTTGGCTACTCTTGGTGAGGAAGGCCGTTGATAAGTACTGTCACTAAGCACTGATTCAGCACGTGTGGAACAACTTGTCATGCGGGCGTGTATTTACTGCAGGCTGAAGCACATGTCAGACAAGTTCACGTGGGCGATTGCTGCCCAGCAGAGTCAGGAGGTGGCGGTGACGACGTGCGAGACGTTCGACGTGGAGGGTAGCACGCCGTACGATGCCAAAGCGGTCTGGGACGAGATTGCGCATGTAAGTATCTTGCCGAAGTTTGCTCTGGTTGCTTGGCTCCTCTGTACGTGCGTCGTGATCTGGACAAGGCGACCAAGGAGTTGACCTGGGGTTAACCTGAGAGCGAAATTGACGACGATAAGTCCTAGGCGTGATTGTGGTGATAATCGATCTGGCTCGAAGGCAGAAGACATGCCAGCTACCTGGGGTAACTTGTAACCGCCCAACAGGGGAGCAGCGTATCTGCTTAACAGGGACGCAACTCATCACTGTCACTTAACTTTAGCAGAGGCAGTAGAGGCCACAGGCTCGTCGTGTTTTCTCATCTGAGTCCGTTGCATGCTGTTCCCTCCGGTGATCTGTGCCCAAAGCAAAGCATGCTTCTAATCTAATCAAATCTGACCGTTGAGGAAGCAGAAAATTTCTATTAAAACCCGCAGCACGGAAAATTCATTTCCATGGAAGCGCGGGGCACCGCAGTGTCAAAGACCTCCACTAAGTCCAAGCCTGGCAAGAGCATCGGGGCTGCAGTCTGCGCCACCGTAGTGGTTCCCCCTGGAGAGGAACGCGAGGTCGTCTTCTCTTTGGCGTGGGACGCTCCAGTTGTGCGCTTCTCAGAGGGGAGTGCCTACTGGAAGTGAGTGACGAAGTCTTCTAGCAGGAACTTTCTTTGATCCGTTCGGCTCGACTACGCAACAACATCTTGAGACTGCCCGTGCATTTTGGCAGGCTTGCCTGGAAGATGCAGCTTAGTCGTTGCGCCCAGTTGATGCGGTGAAGCTGCATCACATTCAATAATCCTAACCCGCCTTTATGAGCCAGGCCTCTTGATGGGAACATCTGCTTTTGCCTGCTTGCTTTCCAAGTGTACAGCTTCCAAGCATAAGACCCCAGCAGAATTTCACAACACTTCCTCGTCGAAGACGTGGTCGCATGTGGAACGCTCTAGGCGACGCATGTAGCGATTTTCGCAAATGCCAGTAGGGCGAAAAAAAAAGGCCGTCTCTGAAAGCGACTGGCGGTTATGCAGGCGGTACACCCAGTTTTTCGGACGGGCAGGCAACGCAGCTCCGAAGTTGGTGCACCATGCTATCCTCAGTAAGTCGTTGCTTGCGGGCATCAGTACTCTTCCTCTTGAGTTCCAACAGCTTTTCTGCGTCAGGAAAGGGTTTTTCTTCCTAAGCGGCAGCAGCCTCGAGTGATGCGAAGTAGGTTTTAATGTCTTCTGAACCAATGGGCACTCGGCTTCAACGTCTTCTGGACCAATCCGCACGAGAGAGAGAGAGCTGAAGATCCTGCAGTCTTTCTTTTGCATACCGCTTTGATGAAGTTTCTTGTCTGTTCCCTGTAGGTATTAGACCTCTACAGTGGGTGTTCACCTGCCGAAAGCAATCTTACCTCGTGCAGATCATCGGAGCTGGGAGGCTGCCATCGAGGAGTGGCAGAAGCCCATCATTGACGACGACACGGTACCGGAGTGGTACCGGATCACATTGTTCAACGAGCTGTACTACCTGGTTTCCGGAGGGACGGTTTGGACCGGTGAGGAATGAACATATGAAACGTCAGCTTAGCAAGCAGGAGTGGAGTGAATCCTGAAGAAGGGGATGTCCTGCTTATGTTTTTCTGCATGAGCAGGAAGCTTTTAGCAGGCTCGTAAGGCTAGGCCAGTATTTCTTCGTGTGCTCGAGATATTATGTTGTGCTTGAGATCCGCAGACGAAGGCCGAGCTCAGTCGCTCTCCTCTGTGTTTTTGTCCAGTCAAAGTTCTTCTACAGAGGTTTCACTATTTCAGTGCCGGCGTTTGGAGTTTCGGGGCGGGGGTTCTTTTCCAGGCAATATATGCATATAAATAGACAAAGAGCAACTTTGTTGGTTGCAGACGGGACTCCGAAGATCCGGGAAGGAGCGGAAAATGGGCGGGAGGTCACTCAAGAGCACCAGGCGCTGGCGGCGCCTCGAAAAGAAGTGCCCTTCAAGACCAGGGTAAGCAGGAGACATTGCTTAGGTTTGTCTTTGTCTCGTGAACTCAGAGGCCTCGAGTTTGAAGTACGTTACGTCAGACCTTCCAAAAGTTCATGGTTTGGATGCTGTGCTTATTGACAAGCGGCACACTTGTAGCAAGAAGTTTCAGAGTCGCGTGTCGCATAAGCTTGTTTCTTCTTTTGCGTTTCCTCTCATACTCAAACGAACGAGACGAAAGACGTTGATTTAAAAAAATAGGACGGAACAGTTTGGACTGACAAAGAGCAAAAGGCAGAGTGTCTGATCGTGCTGCCAAACACTCGAGGAAGCTGAAAACAAGATTCATGTCTTGGTTGATATTGGCAGGTGCTGATGAAGCTCACGGACGTGGTTCTCTCGGACGCCATCGATTCGGACCCAACTCCGTCCACCTCCCCCGTCCGCAGCCCCACCACGAGCCCGTCCGCAAAGAAACGGACGCCCAAAGCGAAGCACCGGGGGCACCGGCACAAAGAGGGGCGCACCCCGGTAGAGCCCATTCGGCGCTCGTTCAGCCTGGACCAGGTTTCGGACGGGGCCGAAGGGGGATCCCTCGGCGCGGAAGTTGGCAGAACTAGCAGCGGGCGGGGGTTAGCGGGGCTGCTACGGACAAGTAGCTGGCTGGGCAAGGTGGAAGAAAGGGACGGGGTGGCGCCCAGTTTGTCGCCGCTGAAAAATGGGGCGTCGGGAAAAACGCTGAGTCCTCCCGGGACGGTCTCTAGGTTGGGGGCGGTGAGTTTGGAAGAGTGGGCGGAGCAGGAGGGTGGGGCGGAACGGAAAGCTGGAGAAACGGAACGGAACGGAGGGCGGGGGGCGGAACCGGGCACGTCGCTGGAAGAGAACGACGGCGCCTTGCGGGACGCAGGTTTGGGCAGCCAGCGGATGTTCAGTGCGCACGGGTCGGTAGCTTCGGTTGGTAGTCAGGACGAAAGCTCGGAAGAGGGAAACGGGCTTGACGAGAGCCACAGAGATCCGGGGACGACTGGTGCGGAAACTGATAGGGGAGAGGCGCCTTTGGGCGGCGGGAGTGAGCAGGTTGGGGAGGGCCTGAGGGTTGCTCCGTCGAGTGCGCATGCTGCGGAAGGGACTGCGCAGCTTCGGCCAAGGGGGAAAGCTCCGGCGGCGTCTTTACCGGTGCGGATAGATGCCAGCGGCGCTGCAATTGGCTTGGGGGATGATTTGGGCGATGGGGAGGGGGCCGTAGGTAAGGCTCGCGCGACAGATGCAAGAGAGACTGCACGTCCAGCAGTCCATCTTTTGCACCCTCTTGCCGCAACAATCTCGTTTCTGTCAATTGGATATCCTGCTGATGTAAGTATGCAGTTTGATTACCTTCCCCGAGTGTTATTCCCCCTCTTTACAATCTATGTAGATAGGCCGCCCGGACAATATGCAGCTGTGAAGTTCGTCTCGCTATTGACTTCAGAATTCCAGTGATCGCGCGACACTTTTGATTTGTTTCTGACGCAAGCAGCCCACACTTTTGGGCATCAGCACCAAGAACGCCGGCACAAGGTAACGGCAAAGCCGTTCGTAGACACTCGAATGTACCGCTACGGAAGATGTATCGCTGCTTGCGAAAACTGGTCATCTTGTTTCTTCGTTATTCCAGACCCTTGTGTCTAAAACTATCTTCCTCCGCAGGCATCGAGCCGGTGCTAACAGTACCCGAGACGGAGCCGTTCGTCGACACGCACTACGGCGTCGGGCAGTTCCTGTACCTGGAGGGCGTGGAGTACGTCATGTGGAACACGTATGACGTCCACTTCTACGCCAGCTTCGCGCTGCTGAGCCTGTTCCCCAAGCTGGAGCTCAGCCTGCAGCGCGACTTTGCGGAGGCAACCATGATGGAGGTGAGAATGCGCCCCGATGACGTCATCTGAGATTACTGAGCTTGAAGTTTATTGTTTTGTTGGTGGATTCTGGAAAACCACGCTTGTTCTCTTCACCTGATGGCAGCAGGCACGTGGCCTCGAAATCCGGAAAAGGCCTCCCCAGCCGAAGTCCTGCAGCCTACGGATTGCTGTGTCAGGAAGGAAATGCTTGGACAGACGAGCTTTCTGCACGTCCGCTTGTTACAGTTGCGTTGTCTTCTGTCTGAGCGACTCGGTTTGCCATTTGGGATTCTGAATATTGTTCCCAGTCCGGATGAGACTTCCAGCTTGACCTGGGTTCCAAGTGAGCTTACATTCCTCTTTAAGTGGGCTTTAAAAGACACTGGAACCCTCCGACTATTCAGAGCGTCTGGCGGCCTTACCAACATTCATCTTTGTAAGAGGAACTGTGGTGGCTCTGAATTGCGGTGGCTTTGGACTGCGGTGTCTCTGGATCGACAATCCGTCTTTTGAAGGGTTGCTCCTCTCTTAACCCCACTTTCTCTCCTACACAGATCCCAGAGCGCATCAAGTTCTTGCACGAGGGCGACTACGGCCCGCGCAAGGTGGCTGGCGCGGTGCCGCACGACCTGGGCATCGACAACCCGTGGGTCGCCGTCAACGCGTACAACATCCACAACACCTCCACGTGGAAGGACCTCAACCCCAAGTTCGTGCTGCAGGTCAGCGGCGGGGGGGTCCTTCTTAAGCTAGATTTAGACCCCGGGTATGATCCCGGGTGGAGCACCGGGAAGAGGGTCCCCTTCAGCTCGTTTCAGCTCCTCCCGTAAAGATGTTCTGACGCATCACCCTTCTCGAAAGTTTGGACTCTAGATGGAAGGACCTCGTGCTGCAGGTCAGTGGGTGTCCTTCTTTAGCGGATTTCCAGCCGCCTCCCTACTGCGGAGGGAGCGGGTGTTTTTTGGTTCGCTGGATCACATCTTCGGGATTGATTAAGAAGATTGACTCTTTAAGTTCGTGCTGTAGGTCGGCGGCTGGGCGAGGGTGTCTTTATTGCCTTTTCTGAAACTTGTTTTAGTCCCCGTCAATGTGAACTTCCGCGAAAGGCTTCCGTACTAAGACCCAACATAAGCGACTCCCGTTCCAAGTTGATGCTGTAACCAGATGAGACTCCATTGGCACTTTTGCCACCAGAAGGCTTCCCAGCGTGCCTGTCATATGAAACAGAGCACGATTTCCAGAAAGCTTAACCTAGTAGCAACTTGAGACTGATTAGAGGGCCCTGTAATTTGGCAGGTGTACCGCGACTTTGTGGCGACCGGCGACATGAAGTTTGCGCGCGACTGCTGGGAGGCGGTGCGCTCCGCGATGGAGTACAGCATGCAGTTCGACACCGACGGGGACGGCCTGATTGAGAACGGGGGCTTCCCGGACCAGACCTACGATACCTGGTGAGAACCTATCTCTACTAGGGAGGCAATGGGGTGTCTGCATGTTGAGAGGATTGCTTTTACTTTGAGCTTTTCTGTAACCTTACTCATCTTGCGAGCATCGCTTTGCATGTGAGCTATTATGTGTACTTCTGTTGAAAGTCACTTCTTTTAAGGGACTTCGGGCTTCTATACCATCCACCCAAGGAGGCAAGAACAGTCTTGCGTGTCAGAATCCTTCTGCTTGTGTCGTCTTCTCTGCTTTCTGTGCTGATTTCAAAGCCTAAGCTGAGCCTGAATAACACCGAAACGTACAAGTTTCTGGTGTCAGTATTCAGTGCCGCTTAGGCCTTAGAAGTAGCTGGACCGCGAACAAGTGAACTGCTCGTCAGCTTCCGCTCTCTTTAATTCGGAGAATGGCCACCGCGCGGAATTTTGAATTTTGCGACCGGAGTCGCGTCGATCGTCGATGACCGTCCGATCGGCCGACTGAATTCCATCGGTCGGTCGGAGTTCTCGTGAAATTCACCCACAACCAGGCGGTTTCCCCGACCGCTTTATAAACCCGGACCCAGGCCCTGTTTCTTCACTTACCTGGCCGGGGTCAATCTGTGATCACGAAGGCGGATGGCCTGGGACGAGCTGCTTCCATTGCACTCCGGTCGCGGTGAATCCCAGTAACACCCTACGGGGTGTCTACACGGCACAATTTGTGGCAGCGGGGGCTCGCGTTCGCGCGGCCCCTGCCCAACAACACCCTCTCCATTTTCCACATTATTCACACCTCCAACTTTCAACCCCTTCCCTGACCCACAACCTTCCACGTCCAACACTTCACCTCTCACCCCCTTCCCTGTCCCACAACCTTCCACTACTCTCAACACATTTTCACGATTACTTACACCCTCCATGTCCAACACTCCCAACTCTTCCCTGCCCCACAAACCTTCCACAACCCTCATCTCCCCCTCCATGTCAAAAACTTCAAGTATTCCCCCTCATATTTGATCAATCTTGCAAACCACATGGCAACGACTTCGAATATTTGAATCTTGATACCCTCAACTTCTCCCCTCCATATCAATTCCAGATGTCCCCCTCAAACCACTCGGCAATGTTTCGGAACATTCGAACCCATACCCCTGCCAGTGCTTTCAGTCCGCATAAACTACCACCATCATCCCCAACCTTCATTGGCTATCAGACTTCGAGGATCCCTCACCTCGCTTTAAACTTCCTCAACTCCGTCAGCCCTCGACAGATTAACCACATCTCTGAAGACCTCAACTCAACCCCTGGCAGGTCACATTTGATCTGGTTAACCCATCAACTCAGTGACACAACCGGCCTTATCGCATTTTGTTTTCCGCAAGCGATTGCCATTTACAAACAACTCGACTGTATTCAACCGAATCACACTAAATACCCACACCGCCAAAATATCCATCCTTCAAAGCCCAACATTGCTCAAGCAGTCTGATTTGCCACGGTTTTTATCCATTGAAACTCTTTAAACTAGCTGTATCTAGCAAGCACCCATCACTTTCTTCAGATCATGCACTTTCAAAGTGAGTTCTGCTCCTACCAAACCTCCCATTAAGTCATGGACCAACAGCGTCGGTACCTGTCCGCTTGGACACCCCCACAAGATCCTGTTCATCATTTTTTGACGCAAGCTTTCTTGCCTTTCAGGTATTTGCAATGTCGAACCCTTTGTATATTACATTCAGAACAACCAATCCGTACACAGATCAATGCCTGTTACATCAAACAAATCAGTCCCAGTTTGTCTCAAGATGATTCAATTTTGCCACTTTGACCAGATTTTGTGGTTGAGAGTGTTTTCCAGTTGTGCGCTTTTCTGCTGTGCCTTATCAATCACACCCCTGGCTAATCCTTTGCAGAGCATACTCGTGTACACCAGTCTCCTTGTTTCGTTTGTATGTTACTCGCAGGTACTTTCAAGGGCCGTTTATTCGAATCTCACCCTTACTTCAGTCCAAGAAAGAACAAGTACGATCTGACTCGGATCTTGGCCAACTGAATTCCGTTTCTCCGCATAGTTTTCTCACAACTCCGCTTACTCGCCACAGGTCCGTTAAGGGCATCAGCGCCTACTGTGGGGGCCTTTGGCTCGCCGCCCTTCGTGCCGCTGCGGGCATGGCCGACGCTCTCGGCGAGTTTGAAGCCGCTCGCTGCTACCGCGCCATGTTCCGTAAGGGAAGCGCAAAGTACGAGCAGGTTCTGTGGAACGGGCGCTACTTCAAGTACGATGCGAGCGACAGCAGCAACAGCGCGTCCATCCAGGCGGACCAGCTAGCGGGGCAGTGGTGGGTTCGGATTTGGCATTGAGGTTTGAGGTTTGAATTTGGATTTTGGGGTTTCGTTTTGGGTTTGAGTTTAGGTTTGGTTCTGGAAATCAGAAGCTGAGGCTTGTGTGGTTAGATTCAGGGATGCTGAAAGGAACTTCCCAGCTTGTGAAACAGAGAGGGCGTTTGCTCCTGGGGCGTCTTAATTAAGGTCTGTAAGGACTCCTTGAAGTCTCGGTGTCGTTTGCGTTTGCTTCAAAGTTGTTCCTTGCTCTGATTCCGGATGTTACGTTCTGGGGCGTTCCTTTGGCAGTAAGGACTTTCGACATCGAATCGCAAGAGCTGTCTTCCCGACATCCGTCAAGTTGGTTCCAGAGGTGAAAAGCTTCCTATCCTAACCGGCTTTTGTCGAGTTCCTTAAGGCAATCTGCTGCCTGCACCTTGAGGAAACACTTTTCAGAGACTCGTCGGAAAGTCTGTGACCTTGAGGCCTCGCTCGATCCGCTCAACGCTGACGCGCTTGTCCTTTCTTGCCCAGGTACGCTTGGGCATGCGGGCTGCCCCCCCTGTTCCACGACTACCAGGCGCAGAGCGCGCTCAGGACCATTTTCGAGTACAACGTCATGAAGATCCGGAACGGAAAGATGGGGGCCGTCAACGGAATGGAGCTGTCCGGAAAGGTAGGCTTTTGTCTAGCCGAGTCCATTTCAATACGGCCCGTTGATCCAAGTCGTTGCCTCACTTTAAAGGTCCGAGGGCCTCTGTTTTTGGGATACGCCTTACGGAGCATCGCTTAGTTTGATGTCCACGTGTTCTTGTGCTGAGTTTGCAGTGCTTGAATTTTTCTATGTCCGCCGTTTCAAATAGAACAGAATAGATGAGGTTATTTGATTTTGGACGTGCGTACGAACCGCCATGGTGACAGGGGGCTACGACTTCTGCCTCCGTTCGCTCACAGGGCCCTCCTTTTCTCTGCAGGTCGACGACACGTGCATGCAGTCCCGCGAGGTGTGGACAGGTGTCACGTATGCGCTCTCCGCGACGATGCTGTACGAAGGCATGGCAGCGGAGGCGTTCAAAACAGCGGAGGGCGTGTTCCAGGTAATGTTCGGTCCAACGTATGTTCAGCCCAGCGAACAGTACTTTTCTTGTGCTACCACCATAATCTGAGAGATAGCTTCGTGCTTGCATATCCATGTCAAACGTGGCTGCCTGACCTGCTTTTAGATGTGACAGCCACGGAATTTGAGCGGTCCAGTCACCTGATTGCAAGCAACTTTTTCGAACTCAAAAGTCCATGCACCCCGCCCTCACAGATAACCTGACCACCTTACTAACCCCACCCGTGCCCGTTTCTGTAAACTGGGCTTACCACTCACTAACCCGATGAAAGTTTTCCAGGCCGGCTGGTGCGACCACGGCTACTGGTTTCAGACGCCCGAGGCGTGGACCGTCGACGGCCGCTTCCGTTCGCTGACGTACATGCGGCCGCTGGCCATCTGGGCGATGCAGGTAGGTGCCGCAGATTCAGGGCTGCGCCGCAGTTTTGGGATGTTTGTTAGGAAGTTTGGAGGGCGTCGGGCTCCGCTTATCTGAGTGGTATAAGGGGTGGTCTAAATACGGCAAGTGAAAGTACGTAAGCGAGCGACCGAGGCAGTGTAGTTCCTTTCGTGTGGTCTCCAAAGCGGGTTCCGGAAGATCGAGATGTCCTCTTTGGTGATTTCCCAAGCGGACTTTTTCGAAAGGGTTCGATCTGCCGCTCCAAAGTCAGGGCCATGTACAGAGTCGGTGGCATTCCTGGGAGCTTCTTCGTTGGAGGTGTTTACTTGAGATTCCAGCCGCTTCTGCGTTTGGAAATCATGGCCGTTCGCAGTCTGAGCAATGGAAGTGGGCGGCTGACCGGAGGGTTGGACTTCTGGAGGAGTCTGGTTTTTCTGTCGCTTATTCTGGATTGAGGACGAACAATGGGAGTCAGTTTGAAGCACTGAGGTTCTGACATTAGTACCTCACGTGCATTGTTTTCACCGTTGAACTTTTCTATGGATCATCACTCCCTCGAAGTCAGGCGTTGAGGACTGTCTCTGAAGATGGTTTCTGTCTGGTTTGCAGTTTGCCCTCAAGCCCCCACCGCTTACGGCGGCTGCCGCGGTCGCATCTAGGGAGGTACAGGAAGCACAGGCAGCGCTCAGCCCGATGCAGACGTTTGGGACTAGCCCCGCATCGTCTTTTAGTGGGGACTCCGTAAACGGCTCGCCAACGTCCAACGGTGCAAGGCAAAAGCGGCGAAAGGACAAGAAGGCCCTTTCGCCCAAAAGAGCCACGTGTTGCTCGGCGGACATAGGAGATGATGAGGCACAAAACTAGCATCGCACACGGCACTATGGAGACCGTACGGTAGTACTTTTCTTAAGTCTCGGGACGGGGGTTATGTAACATCTTTGGTATTGTTCCGTCCGCTCCACGTTTGTCTCTCGGGCCTGCCAAGTGAATCTGTTCGACGAGGTGCAGGATCCAAGTTCCTTTAAATTGGATGCATAGCATGTAAAGAGAGTTTTGAGAAGCAGCGCAAGTCACTTGTGTCGAATGTGGTCTGTTGGTCGATGTACGGTAGCGTCAGTTGGTTTCAATGAAGAAGGAATCCAAAGTGCTGTGAATTCGAAGCTTGAAGCTCCTATCATATAGCAAGCGTTGCACAAGTTAGTTGATCAACCTTGATCTGTGTAAGAACCCTTGTGTCGCTGGTCTCAGTCGGTCAAATTGCTGGTCAGTCCATTGGCGCTGCATCAGAGGTGGACTTCGCATGCAATCACTACCATACTACCAGCCCCGCCCAGCTGTGGTAGCTTGGGTTGACATGTCAGTCTTTCATATGCATGTCCTTACATCGATGGACCATGAAACTAGCATTCTTGAATGCGCACGCAATGTCGATGCATGATGCTGATAATGTACATCTATCCTAGTCCGGCGGCATTCCGTCAAGGAGGCTGTTGAACTAGGCAGGTATCTGGAAATACATACATACATCACATTATGAAGCCCGTACTCACCGTACCGAAGCATGGGATCAATCATCAATCTGCGTAGATCGGCGGATGAAAGAAACCATGTCTGGGCCGCAAGTTTCTTTGCGGTTATATGCTTGAGTAGGCATGGTTTGAGCCGTCCGATACTCCATACTTTGTTCATCGACGGGAAAAATGATCCCGGCGGCATTTGTGGGATCTCAACGGTGAACCAGCAATCATCATGCAATGAGCATCCGGCCATCATTCCATGATCCCATGGCCGTCTTGTCGTCGACGTGAGTCAGATCAGCATTTTCCTGCCACTGCAAGGCGCAAAGAAGTGGCACGTTTCAATCCTGGAGCAGGTCGGAATGTGGCACTCTGTTACTACGGTGTAGTGTGCTGAGTGCTCCGTTTCTGCAAAGCTTGGGGTCATATCATTGAACTTGAAGGCTTCTCGAGGCGCTTGAAACGTTTTTTTTCAATACCGAAGCAAATGTTGCACGCTTGCCGGCTACAATTGACCACCGGAGTCATTGACCCGTAGCTTGAAGGACAGTGCACACCTCAAAGGTTTCTCCTTCTGAGGCCGCGCAATAAGATGCGCTCGGTTAGACCCCTTTTGCCGCGCAATTTTCGGGTAGGGAACGCTATTCTTTTAGAGCGATAAACAACTCCGTTAGCCGCAGACTCTCTTTTGTAAAGCATGTCCCGTGTCTCGTCCGCTGTGGCCCACGCAGGGAGATCCGAGGGGCCTCACACACAGACCGATGATCACGACCAAGGACGAACCACATACCCTGGATCATGAGTCAGTCGTAGTGCAGCGTCCGCCCCCTCAAACCCCTCTGAATGGCCACCTGCAAAAGGCGTTTGTGGCCAACGGCCAAATTACAGAGCTCGGCCTTCCGGGAACTCCGGATGGAATTGAAGATGAGTTGCCGGATTCCTCTGTGCTTCCAGAGCACCATCCAATCATTAGCAGTGTTCCCCACGGGGACCCCCCTCCCCCACGGCTCGCATTTGAGACGCCAGAGACTTGCCCTTCTTCGCCGACGAGAGCTGGAAAGCTACCCCCACTGCCAGAACCTGTTTTCCTCAAGCCAGTACCGCCCGCACCGGTTGGGGGTTTGGCAAGTCCCAGCTCAATTGCAGAGAACGGGTCCAGACACATTTCGGAAGCGGTTGGGGGCGCACGGAATGTGCCGCGCAGCGGCGCAGGCGCAAAAACCGGTGTTTTGGCTGCTGTACGGTTTGCAGAGGCGGGGAAGAAGAAGGTCTCGTGGCCGGACCTCCATGGGTCATCACTGATTGCTGTGCGGGAGTTTGAGGCGAGGTGAGGTCTTTCGAGCAAAAGCCTAACCCTAATCCAGGTGATCTTGACGGTTGCAACAGACTTCGAGCAGGACGACGCTTGATCTGCGGTGTCATGGCCTTGCTAAGGGATTGGCATGGTTTTGATTCTGTTGCGAATTGAGCAGAAACGCTGGCTCATCGCGTCTTAAGTCGGTTGTGGAGCTCATGAGTTGTGGAAACTTCGCAGTCTGGCTCTTTCTTAAGAATTGCTTTCTGAGCCGTCCAGAATTTGCCCTTAACTTCTGACCAGAAGCTACTCAGCTCCCCCATGTTCTGAAGAGCAGCAGAAGTGCACTCCTTCACAGTATTACCGGAGTCCTGCCTTGACTGGGGTAATGTGCCGATGCTCATGTGACGGGGTTGTCTATATGCCAGCTGGGCCCATTTTTCGTGCCAGTCCGCAATCGTACACCTCCGTCTGCATGGTTGATAGTGGGGAAGGGAAATTGCAGGAACATGTGCATGTCGAATGTTCGGAAGGTTGCATCGTCGCATGGAAGCAACCTTTTCTACAGATGTCTCCTTGCTGGATGAGTCCAGTGGGGTTCTTCCTTTCCACGGTGGAGCAATTTTTGGAGAATAAATTTCGTCAAACTTCCGAACTTGCAAGCAGAGTGAGAGTGAGAGTAGGAGTGAAAGTCCACTCTGGGAAGTACGAAGTTGAGGTGCTTGAGTGGTTGGGCCTCTACTCTTGGCCACTCGTGGACCGACTTGCAGCAGCTTCACTGATTCATATGCAGCGCAAACTTCCTCCTTTGAACGAGTGCCCTTGGGACTGTCGATCTCACTCAAAAATGCATCATTTTACGTCGCACACTAGTGCAGCTTGGTGTTTGTGCAGCCCCCCAGGGCAGACTTTGTGTTTTTTCTGCCACTCGTGTTAGCATAAAACGATGCCCCTAACCTGGTCACATGCACTAATAAAGAACCTTGCCGTTGTGCAGCGACTCTGAGCTGAGCGACTCGGAGGGGGACGATGATGATAGTGAGGGCTCCCAGAGTTGCGCCTGCGTGATCCAATAAGTGGCCTGACAAAGAAGATAGTCAGTTCAATCCAGCGGGAAGGCCAGGTAACAGATTCGAAGATAGTCAGTTCAAAAAGGTAGTTCGTCTTCAGCTCTGAAACCGGATCATCAGATCAAGAGGGCTAAAGTCGTCTGTGGGGTGGCCTTTCAAGAGGCCCGTGCATTTGTATCAGTATACCGTAGCCCAGTTGTTTGTCACTTTCGTAGCACCTACAAGGGTGGGGGGTTGTGGTCCACAGTTCATCGGGATATGTTAGCAGAACGGTTTTGCTTTCTGTGCCGTCAATCCTGTTGCATACAACCTCAACTGTGTGATGCTGCTTTCGGGAACACGAGCCAATAGTCCCACTGAGGGGTTTCAGTGCAACAGAAGCTCGTGTACCTGACGCAGCCAGCTCTGAGGGATTCAACATCGAAGCCGCCAGCTTGGTCCGCCCAGAGCTGCTCCATCATCGCAGAGACAACTTTTTGTATAGTCACTCGGACTCTTGTTGCTCACAGATTCAATGTCGAGCCTCGGAGCTCATTGAATGCATGGTGCAAAATGGCTCGGGCGAAGTGGTACAGATTGTGGGGATGGTAGGTGCATAACACGCCGTTGCTTAGCTGTCTCTACGCACATCCAATGAGCTGCAATTTTGCACTTGAGTGCGGCCCCACCCTGAATTTGGCATGATCATGGCCGGATAAACACTTCCTTACTATTTTTTGCTAGCTTGCACACGGGACATGATGGGGCGGAACGATCCGACCATTCAACAATTCAACATTGATCCGATCGACTCGAAGCATTCGAGCTCATGATATATTCTGCATGCATAAAGCCCAGTTATAAATAGTACAGGCTACGTCTCATGCAACCCGGATGCATGATGATCGATGCACATGGCTGCATGCCATACATGCATGGGATCGAGCATCAAAGTCAGGAATGATTTGAATAAGCACATGTCGACCATGGTAGTGACCGTCAGTTGCATTCTTGCGGCCGGGCCCGGCGTGCAGGCTTTTAAGCATCATTGAGTTTTTCGAGTACATAAGCCTGAGCTATGCACGTCCGATACATGCATGTAATATCCTGAAGAACGTTGTAAGCTCGACTCTTCTGTGCTCGATCCCACTATAGTGGCACGATCGAAATAAACCGTGCGAGACAAAACTCCTGCCTTACTAATCAAGGCATAGCGAATTACAACTCAAACTCTTTTGTTTGAGCACAGTCATCGATATCAACCTTCGCCAAACCTGGTCTTTGCAGTGCATGTCAATCCTTGCACTTGTATACACATGGGCAGTGCAGTCCTTGCCATGGCTCCAATCAAAAGGAAGCCATACCAGCAGAAATCCAGTGCATCCCGTCACTTCAATCCAGAAAAACCAGGACCCTTTCGTACCAAAACCCAAGCTTCCCCAATCTAGAAGAATCCAAACCCACCCCCGGCCGAAGCAAACAAGCTGTATTCCCCTTGTCCCCCCTCGTTCTCCCGCTTCCCACCATCCCCCCGACCCCCGACCCTGCTTTCCGACGGCGCCGCAAAACTGAACAGCGAAAAGTCCGGGCCCCATATGTGGCCGTCACTCGGCGGGGCAAACCCGTTCGCCCCTCCCTTCACCCCATTCGCGCCAATCCCCAACGGCCTCCCATCCGAAGCTCCCAACCCTTTGACGCCCTGGCTCGCAAACGGCTGCTGCCCCGCGAGTGGCCCCAGCGACGGCGAGCAATGCCCCCCGTCTCGTTCCAAGCTCCGCGGGCCAAACGCAACCCCCACCCGCCCGCTCTCGGCCCGCATGCCTCCGTCCATATCTAACGGAAGAGATCCAATAACTGCACGCACGCCGGCGCCTAACTGATCTCCTCCCTCCAGGGCGGCCGTCCCTGGGGGGCTGCCCCTCAATGCGCCCTCAGTTGCAGACATGCTCCTCTGGAAATTGCTCAGCAACCCCCCAATTTGGTAGGGCGCGGTCACACTAGCGTGCCCCAATGCAAACGGTGCCGGCTCCGTGGGGGCCTGCGCGTCACTCTCCCCCGACCTGCTTGCCAGCCACGGGGAGCTGTGCCCAGAGAGCGGACCCCCCTGCGACGGCGTCACTACTGCGGGGGGGCTGGGCACAGGCTGAACTCTCCCCCCTGGAGAGGCACCCGTCACTGCCGCTGCTGCCACCCCAGACGCCGTCCCGGGGGGGCTCTTTGCCTGGCCTCCATACCCCCCAAGCGTGGCAGCGCTCGCGCTGTTCGCCCTGCTCAGCAAAACATTTCCCGCCACTGAAGCCCCCGGCCCTGCCCCTACCCGGATGACCTTGTTGTTCAACAGGGCGGGGTTGCGAATCCCAGATGCCCAAGTAGTCAACCGGCTACCCGCCCCAACAACTCGCCCATTCACACCTGTTGACGCCTGCCCATTCACACCCGTCGACGCCTGCCCGTTCACGTTCGCTGGCCCGTTCAAACTACCCAACACTTGCCCGCTCAACGTTTTCGCCGGTGCTTCCGCCGCACTCGCGGCAGGCCCGTTCGCTCCCCCCGGATTGGCTCCCAGCTTTACCCCTCCGTTTGCACCCGCATGATTAAGTCCTGGGTTAACGCTCGGGTTAACGCTCGGCCGCTTTGTCGCCACGGTGACGCCCGGCGCAACCTGCGTTACGATCGTCGTCGTTCCCCCTCCTCCGCCCCCATTCAAACTGCTGATGACCGCTCCCCCCGGGAGCGACGTCGCCCTTATCACTTGCGGGCCGGCCCGCAAGACGCTCCCCACCGATACAGCGGCCCCCGTTGACCCGTTCTTAACCACTGGGGTCGACCCGTTAACTCCGCTAGACCCAATCACCCCACTTCGCAACGCGCCCGTCGTGCCATTCACCACACTCCGCAGAATGGGCGTTGGCGCACCTGCCCCCCGCCCACCAGCCACTATCTTTGCGCCACCTGGCGCTGCCCCGTTGGCCACACCGTTCATCCCATTCGCACTCACCACAATGCGCTGCGCCGTTATCTTTCCCCCCAGTCCACCTTTCGCAGCGCCCCCCCCAGCCGTCGTCCCTCCCTTAACCGTCGCCGGCGCACCACTCGACGCGCCCTTCGCAACACCTGTGCCCTTTCCCCCCGAAACGTTTCCTCCCCCCTTGGGCCCTGTCTTCCCCGCCCCCGCTTTCGTGTTGGTGCTCGCTAGAACGGACGGAATCGACCTCACGAGGATCTTCACCCCCCCGGTCCCGGAACTGCTCACGATCGGCGCCGACGACTTTGCCTTCGGCAGCTTTGCGCCAGCTGTCCGGCCGTTCTCCTTGCCAACGTGCTCCATCCCACCGCGCTTCTCCAGCTCCAGATCCGCCACTTTCTTCCCCACCGCATTCACCTGCCGGTCCAAAATCACCCCCCCCGACTTGCCCTGCAGAAGCACCCCCCCTCGGGGCGCAACTTCCTCGACCTTTGCCCCCCTCCCAGACTCTCCCCCTTCTCTGTGCGCCACGCCCCCGGAAGACGCATCCGCCGCAACCGGCTTCTCTTCGAAATCCGTCAACCCCTCCAAAATCTCAGCCTCCCCGTCCCTCTCCACATCGGGGCTCCCAGTCTCCTCCCCGGTTGCATTTTCCGGTCCCCGTTCTTCCGCCCCCGTTTCTTCACCCCCCCGGGGGGTGTCATCACCGCCCTTCCCATCTTCGCTCTGTGCATCCGCCGTAACAGATTCGCTATCCTTGTCCTTCTGTTCCCTGTCCTTGCCCTTGCGGCGCTGCTTCTTCTCGCGGTCCTTGAGCCGCTTGCGCTCCCGCCGTTCCTCTTCTTCCTTCTTCTCCTCTTCCTCCTCCAACAGCAGCAGATCCTGCAAACGGAATTGGAGCCCAATCACTCTACTTGGAAACAAAGAAACTGATGGTATTCCTAAAGGCCTGCAAGGCATCTTCACATCAGATGGCCAAATTTTCCTCTTCCTCCTCCAACAGCAGCAGATCCTGCAACGGAATTGGAGCCCAAGCACTCTACTTGGAATCAAAGAAACTGATGGTATTCCTAAAGGCCTGCAAGGCATCTTCAAATCAGATCGCCAAAGCAGTTTTCCAAATCTGGACTCCTCCTAGTGCGGCATGCCTGTTTGTGAAGAGGATGCCCATTGAGGAAGGGCCCCGGAAGTAAGTTGACCGAAAAAGATTCAAAACTTTTTGAAGTCAAGGAAGTACGGCCCCCAAAAGAAGGAAACCCCTTGCCTCTCAGAGACTAAAGTCGCTCAAAGGGATTCAGCAGATCATCGAAGTTAGACACGGCTCCTTACCTGCTTCCGGAGCGCCGCAATCTCCCTACAGGCCACCTTGAGCTTCTCCTCTAGGAGGCTCAGCGAAAGGTGTACAAAGATGGAGTGCGCGTTTTGCCGTGCTGTCCCCTCCCGAAACGCCTTCTCAACCTGCGGGACATGTAGCTCGCTATGAGTCGACTGAGGCGTTTTGCAAACCCAGACAGCAACAATATACCGCATTGCCTGGAAACTTGACACTGGAAGGCGGCATTTACAAAACATACACAAGCTAGCGGCGTAATGCGTGATCTTTCTGGCCATTGAGAACACTTTCCTAGTGAGCTTCTAAGAACTGTCTTTCATCTGAAGATTAACCACCTTCTCGTGACTGGTAACTTGTCAGGTGAACTCGAAGCAGTCGTACTGTGCGAGTTGTCACGAGAAAGTCAGCAATTGCTAAGAAAAGAAGCTCAGCTGAGGTGTGGCACGCACCTGCTCCTTGAAGATGACCGTCGCCGCGTCCAGCAGAAAGTCGCGCGCCAGCTCGGGGCTCTTGGCGTGCTTCTGCTGCCGCGGCGCGTCCGGGTCTAACAGGTCTGCGCCACTCTCGCTCAGCTCGTCGTCCTCTTGCAGCCACTGGAAAAAGACAACGCTACTTCATTACTGGGACTCCGTTTTTCCATTCCTCTGCACCTCCCATCGTTTCTTCCTGTCTTCTCTCGATCTTTGAAGTCCGCGTAGGACAAAGCCGGTGACGTCGCCACAATGCGCAACGGCATGACGTTAGCATCGTCCGAAGATGAAGTCATGCTTGCCTGCCGTCCGATCGGAGGTGCAGCCGCAAGGGCAGGCGCCCAAATCAAGGACGTCGTTTGCTTGCACAATGCCAGCACCTCAGAAACCTCATAAGAACCTCCGAACCAGATGCGTTTCTTCCAGAAAACAGGCTTCGCTCCGTAATCCAAGCAGAGGAAGACAGCGCGCCCAAACGACGAGGAAATATCGACAAAGCAAATCGCCACTCACGTCCTCGTCGGCCTCCTCCGCCTTCTCAAAGAACCGCTGGATGCTCTCCCCCTTGTTGATCGCCACGTACCCGTCCCCAACCCACAGCCGCCGGTGCACGCACGGGCCCCCCTTGGTGACCGGTGACGCCTTCGCAAACAGCTCCACGCACCGCCCGTCTCGCTTCCAGCCCCGCACGCTCAGCCAACACGGCGTCATCACGAAATCGCCCAAGTCTAAATTTCCGAGGGTCGCGGAATCGGCGGTTCCCACGTCCTCGAACGGGAACAGGTCGTCGTTGCCTTCGCTCGTCCCAAGGCCCCATTGGAAGCGCGCGTACTCCTCGCGCGCGTCCTCGCCGAAGCTGCCGGCCCAGCTTGCATACGCGCCGGAGTCAGTGATCTGCAAGGGATGAGTAGAAGGAACTAAGTAAATATTTTGCTGTGGGCAGTAGTACCAACCACTTACTAAAAAACAAAAACGGCGAGTTGATAGTCTCATCCATCTTCCGGCTTCGTCTGTACTGGGGCCTTTTGAGCTCTGTGGAGGGGGCTGACCATTTCTGCCGTCAACAAAGCTCGTGAAACCAAAATGCAAGGAGCTTACGGAAGCTTCCCGAACGGCATGTCGCACCTCCTACTGTTCTCGGCCGCTTTTCTGGCAACGGTTTGCAGCAAACATCCGTGTTCTGCTGAGGAAAGGCTTATTTTTGCTCAGCCTTCGCTCAGCAAAATATTAACAGGTGAAGGAAAGCAGGACACAAGTTCTTGGCCACTTGACAGCGGGCGGAGTGCCAAGGCTGCGTACCTCATAGTGCGCGAGCGTAGTGTCGGCCATGCAGAACCAGGCATTGCAGCGCGTCTCCCGCCGTGCCCTGCGCAGCTCCTTCATCTCCTTGAACTCCTTCAGAACGTTCCGCCGACAATCCCGGCAGAAACGCTTCGACTCGAACCTACGCATTCGATTGGGCCAGATTGCATTTGGATGTTGGAGACTCTCACGGGAGGATGAAAATGGCTTTGGTAGATTCTTGCAGCACACCTGGTTCTACAATTTTAGATCCGGCAGAAAGAGGACCGTAAATTGCTCCTACAAGTACCTATCTTGCTTGAATGAAAATATGCACCGGGGAGGACGGCACGCGAATGTTCAAATCAAGAAGCTAAGCACTTGTAGTCTCCAATTTCTCAAGAGAGTGCACTTATTGCAAAACATCAGCAGAAGTACGCAAAAAGAAAGAAGTCAAAATTTTGTCAGGTTGATCTTAAGAAGCATGAATCAGGAATAGTCTCCAATGACAAACTGTTGTTCCAGAGCACTTCCAAAACGCAACGTACTTCGTCAAACTCCAGACCAAAGTGTTTTACTGTCCATCAGAAGGGATGTGCAAAGGTTTAAGCCAGTCTCAAAACAACAACACGACCGCGGAAAAGTACCAGAAAATCCACATAGATGCTTCAGAGAACGGATTAAACCTACTTCATTGCCCAAGGAGCTCGACGCTCTCTGAGAACCAGAGAGCGGGTTTGTTTTATTTATGTTCTCATCACAAGCCAGTAACCGAAGTCAGACAAAGCCGAACCGCAAAAGTACTATTTCAGATAACCACATACATCAACAGCAGTCCTGAAGCGAAAGTCACGGAACATTTAGGAATCTGAAGAGCATGTCCAGCGCAACCCGCGTGTGCTTTAATACATAACCGGACCTAAGCATGGAGGGCGTTTCTGCCCAAAAGCAGCGGCCCTACTTTTCCGAATCCCCACAGAGGCTATACACAAACCCACGCTCCAACGGAGCCCTTCATGATCCAGGTATGTTAGCCGGTCAATGTCCGACTAGACGAAACTGCAAGCTCAAAAGTCCTCCACTGACACCTTTATCCGCAGTCCAAGAGAAACGCTTGACATCCAAGCATTCAGGTTGTCAAGCCAGAAGCCCACCTCTTGATGAGCCGCTCGATAAAGTCCTCCTCCTTCATGCGCAGCAGGCTGGCCCGCGTCTCCTCCCCCAGCGCTCCCCAAAAGTCCACAAGCGCCTCGCAGCTCAGCTTCGCCTTGTGGAGCGCGCAGCTCTCCTTGGGGTTGTGGTGCCGTGGTGCGCACTGCGATGGCTCCTTCCCAGGGCTCCACAGCTGCAGAGGACAATATATCGTCGGCAAACAGCAAAGATGACATCCTCAAACAGCATCGTTCTCCTTTAGGAACAAAGGGGCACCACTGGGACGGAGTCTTCCGGGGGCTCCAGAGCTGCAGAAGGGGGAATGACGTCAGCGGACCGCCCTGGCTCCCTAAAAGGTAAGGAAGAATTTCCTTTGTTGATATCAGTTTGGATGGGAAGCGACAACGAAAGCTCCTTCTTGCGGATCCACAGCTGCAGCCGGTAAAAACCACCCAAGTAATGCCCAAATCCTCCACAAGCAACCAGACAACCTTGTAAAATTTGAAAGCTCCTTCACCATCAACTGCTTTGACCCTGCCCTTCGAGAAACCCCTCCTTGCCTGTACAACCAGCATTAGAACCGCAATCTTGTCAACTGATATTCGAAGTTCAACACTCATGTCAAGGGAAGATGGTCTCATAGTCTACTCACCGTCACCTTGCTTCCCCCCTGCCCCTTGAACCCCCCACACGCATCCGGGTACAGCAACTCCCGTTCCCTCTCCCGTACCCGCGAGCTCTCAAACACCACCGTCGGCGCGTCCCCCCTCAGAAAGCAATCCAAAATCGTCAGCACGCTGTCCTTCGCCGCCGTCAGCCCCCCCCACGGGTGAACCAACGGGTCCTTACAATGCTCTTCCAGCCCGTTCACCAACTCAACCCCGCCTCCCTCTGTCATTCGCGCCGCGCCCCCTGCGCCAAACACAAACCCCCCCGCCCCCGTGGGGGAGTTCATAAGGTACTCTCCGTCTGGCCCGTTGAGAAACTGCCCGTTCTGCAGCGTGCGGTTGTAGAGGAGGAGCTGCGTGAAGCCCTCGACGAGGAGGCCGTGGCACTTGCAGCAGTAGAGGTTCTTGCGCACCGTCTCGAACAGCGTGGCCTTGTCCACCCGCAGCAGCGCGCGCCGCTGCGCCAGGGACAGGCCCTTCCAGAACTGGGGAGATGAGTGGGGCTCCATGAGGAAATAGAAACATCTGACGCTTCTTGATTACATGAAAGGATGAGTTATCCATGGAGGGTGAGCGCCATGAGAAGTGACAGCAACACTTGATCGAAAACCTTAGCCGGAAGTCCACACGCTCCGCACCCGTACCCACCCTAACCCCCAAGCTAACTCCATCCATCCCAGTTACCCTTCCTGGCGCTTGACTCTTTGCGAAGTTGATGGACATACATATTCAAAGGGCCCGATGAAGGAGCCGCAGGCCGACGGCCAGGAATGGAATATCTTGCTTCCGCTAGTGACATGGTTCCCCCAGCCGACCAGCACAACATGGTAACATCAGCAACAGTTGAGCACAACTTTGCTGCCCTGGGGCTTCAGCAATGACTGAGCCGATCATTCCTTCACCAACGTCATTCTGACGTGCTGGGTAAAGTTGTCGGAGCTTTTGGAAGGGCCAGCTCGCGCAAGAAAGGGAAGCAAGTGCTGTTAACTGATCACCCACTGGCAATGGCTGAGATGCTGGAAACGACCAACGGATCAGCAAAGAACGAACAAAAGCTTGGGGGACCAAACCCATGGGAGTTACACACCCAACAGAACTGGGAGCTTTGTGTAAGAATCGCAGTTCAAGGAGCGGGGCCACAAACCCTAACCGAAACCACTATATCTATCAAATTGACAAAAGATGTTCATGACAACATGCTCACAACCCTAAATCACTCCGTACACTTGTTGACGCAAACCCTCTAAGGCTTCAATGCGGCCGCATTTTGGGGCACCAGAGGGGGCACCAGAGATTCCTGTAATCATAAAGAAAACCTCCACAGCAAGGGTGACGCTTTTAACCTTTAGTAGTTGGGCCCTCCCTGCACTGAGACAACCCTGATTTGATCAAGCAGCACAACAAGAACACAACTAACTCCAAAGACGTCTCACCTCTTGAACATCGTCGGAATCAACGTCCGCCCCTTTCTTCCTCCATGGCTTCTGCGACGAAGGGCCCATGGATTCCTCACATAGGACCGAAGCTCCGGCCGATCATCAAGATGATCTCCCCAGCTGCGTTGCACTAGTGCTAAAAACCTACGTCCAAGGCTTGCGTATCCAGCCACTCAGTGATCTCCAGAGCCCGTTCCCGCTATTCTCCTGCCAACAGGGATTACCCCTGAATCCAGACAACTCAGCTGACTAGCACTAGCCCGTCACCGTGCAGAAACAGCCTCCCGCGCCATCCCACCCCCTCAACATCGTGCAATATTTGTGCAGCTACTTGACGGCCTCGCACCATCTTGCCAGGTTATAGCAGGAGGTAACGTCATCTCTGGGGTCGCCACAAACCATTCCATTTCAAAAAGAGCTCTCACGCAAATCCTTTCGAAAGCAAAAGGCCACATCGTGTCCCCCTGAAGGCGATGCCGTGCACCTGCAAAGCACCTTCTGAGCTGATTTGCCGCCTGCTCTCCTTGACAGCAAGTCTCTTCCGGCCTGTGCACAGCTGGTAGTGCAGGGCAGCCTGTGCTTGCCACTGCTTGGTCCTTTCCTTGGGAAGTCAGCAGGCCAGCAGGGTTAGAGACCTCATTAGCGTAACCCGATGTGACCCGATGTAATGTTCTGAGCTTTCGAAAACCAATATTATGAACACCGATACATACGGCGTTACACCACTGTGAGCTTGACGTGACGGATGTACCTAGGTAGGTTTTCGAGGGCACAGAGGCAAGGAGGAGATCTTGGTAACAACGGCCTGAGCCTGAGGCTGTTGTCTGGAGGTGAAGACACTCGCACACGTTCAGTGGCAGGAGGCGCTTCCATCCTGTCAAGGACTGCAACTGTGCAAGGGCTCTTTGGTGTGCAGCATCACCGTCTCTTGGCCAGGACTCGCAAAGATCTGAAGCACGGCGGAAGTTTAACAAACAATCCACCTGCACGCCGTCACAACTGGTGCTCGGTCAAATATACATTGAATCTACATCAGGATTTGAAGAGAGGAAACCCATCAAGTGAGATTTGACTGACTGACTGCAGCCATGGGGGACCGGGCTCCCGCTTCGCAGTTGATGGAGGGGGCTTACCGGGTTTTGATGAAGCGAAATTCTGTTTATGTGGCATTCATTCTGGTGGGAGCTCTGGCAGGGGAAAGAGTGAGTGCTTGGCAGGGTCTGGATTCTGCAGTGCTTGGGAAGATCATCAAGGTGGTTGTTGGTATGGCTTTGCACTGGTGCTGTAGTTTCTCGTTCAACTCGCAAGGTGCTGAATGCTCTTATCGTATGCAAGGGGAGGTCTGCAGCGCATGGAATTGTTTGGCTTTTATGCTTCCCTCTTTCAACGCTACTGCTTGCATTGCAATGATGGACATTTTGTCGATACATCACTTGGTGTCAGACGTTCGTTTCACGTGGTACCAACTTAAGATAGAGGTATTCTCTAGTCTTTATGGTTGTGCCATGCTCGGTTCAAGATATCAATGCCTGGCGCTTCGTGCTGCAAAAGTTACTAGGGACAGTTGCGTTGATCAGTCTCGTCGTTCTGTGATTTTGAGCTAGCTTCCGTCATGGACGGATGGAATTCACAGCAGCAATCGATCCCTTATGGTGGCCGTTTGCTCATTCATACCATCAGATGTCAGCCCTTAAAAATCTTAGAGTTCCACACAATGGGGTGTAAGTTCAGGTGCTCAGCTGGATGCAGTTGTTCAGGATGCTTCCCTTCAGGACTTGGTCTGGTCATGTGTTTCGCATGCATTGAACACTCCCCATCGTTGCGAATGCTCAATTCAGCACTCCGTTTCCACCAGAGAAACCACCATCGTGGTTCACAGCACTTAAGTCGCTTCCGCTTTTCTAAATTGATCCTCTTTCCTCTGTCCCCAGGTTATCAACTATTCAATAGACAAGGTTTGGGAAGCAAACAACAAAGGGGTGAGCTTCAGCTGGCCTTCTGCTGCTCTAGAGAAACGTGCTTTCTGTGGTGCAATTGTCTTAACAGTATATTATGTAGGCATGTGCTGATTTGACACCGCTTTACGCTTCCTGGCAATCGTGGCATGTCTAACAGTCAACCTTTCGGTGCATCGCTTGGATCCGATTTTGATGGTGGTGAAGAAATGCCGGTCAACAGCATTGAGTTGAGGGGGAGAAAAACGTCTTAATCAAGTTACGAAGTCTTCTCCTGAATCAATCCGTACCCTATGTGCAGAAACGGTTTGAGGACATTCCAAATCTTGGTCAGAAAACAGGTGACGATGAATAATCTATAGTGACACGGAGTTTAGAGACCATTGGTGGACCAATTGTCTCGCCGTTCATTCTGACCTTCAAGCCTACGTCCTTCCCGCTGCGGGCCAATCTCAGAAGATACTGATTTCATGCATGTAGTCGCAAGCCTTGCTGATCTGGTCCTGGTGCGACTGTAAACAGTTGAGGTGACGGTCGGCCCAATCACCTCACGTCATCCTCTGCATATTTTGACTGTCGGCACCGGCACCTGTGATTTCAGCAAATCAACCTGGTCCTTGAAGCAGATCTTAGTATTTGCACCTGAACAACAGTTCGTGGGCCATTCCACTGTAAAACGAAGGTTGGAACCGAGCTGATTCCCTTGGTGTTTTGGGCGTGCATGAATTGTTTGCCAATGTGTACTTATAATCCTGTCTCGACAACCGTCAACTTGCACATGTAAGTGCTTTGCAAGCTGAACGATCATGCGTCAGTTGCTGTGCACACTGGGTAGTGATACACGATCCAACGTAAGTCAGCCTACCAGATTAAGTGGCCTAGTAGGTGGAGGCGGCCTAATTCATCAGTTCTGCGCAGTGATCACTTCGGTCGACAGCCACTCAAAATGATAAACGCGTATGTGTAGTTCGACCTGGTTCCACTCCGTGGCCATGCACCTTTTTTTTTGTAGGAACCTCATTCATGAGAAGTGAAGCTAGTTATTGCGCTTTCTACTCACTGGCATTTAGATACATGAAGTTGATTGGGACCTATACTATACTATACTATGCTATATATACCGGCTATATACACTATGCTGCTATGAAAGTGCCTGCAGCATTCAAGCTAGAGGTATGAACATTCACACACTGGCATGCACCAGATACATACGATCGAGCCAACGTTTGAATGTATAAATCGAGTTTATTTACATGCATGCAGTGCGAACCTTGGAAGAGGAAACGGGTGTCTGACCTCTTCCTCAAAAAGGATCGCTCTTGCCATCTTGGGCCGACGTCACAAATAGCGCGCGAGTGTGCTTTTGAGATCGCGCCCTGCCTTTCAAGCAAATTCTAAGTTGACGGAAGCACGCGGCCGCCTCCTTCCGGCCTCGCACTTAAGCCTTGAATATAGAAGGTGAAGTGGGCCGCGGGTGTTTGTATCGCACGACAGAGGAGCGACGGTGATCCCATATAGCAAGCTGGCACAGCTCTTAGACCTGCCAGTGAATTGTCATTGAATCCCAAATGCTCACTTGCCTATTAATTGATTGCAGTTCCTTTGCACCTCCACCCAACCATGCACTGAAACTCATGCAGGGCGGAAGGTTTATATGCATGCTGTTTGTGTTCCTGTGCCAACCGGCCAGCGCTCAATTGTCCAGCTATTTCTTATTTTTGCTGCGATATCAATACGGCTGATTCGTGCACAACCCCCATTCGATTCTGCAGACTCTCTATGGTCAGATTCTGCGAGATTGTGTCACGTGACACATGCGCGTCTCGTCAAAGGCATGCACCTTCTTTTGTCAGCTTGTATAAGCACGTGAGGCCAAGAGTCTCTGTCTCTAAGCACGCCTGCTGAAGCCGAAAAATCACCGACTTGGCGCTTTAGGGCGCCCGTGCATGCTATATTCAGAGGAGCCAGCATGCTCTTCGCCCGCTGATCATCAATTCGCTTGCTTCGCGACCCGGAACGACCAGCGGCCAACTGGTTGAGTTTGCGAATCAACCCTTGATTGAGGAGCTCGTCGAATGCTAAGAGCGAGATGATTCCCTGCCAATGCAGCTTTTAGATCTAATCTTACGTGTTTCAGACGTGGAAGCTTCCAGAAAGTGCTCATCCTGATTTCCAACCAGGCCTGCTTGACTCTGCGAAGGACAGCGCGGCTAGCCGACTTCAGTAGGTAATATTTCTACAGTCTAGTCAAGAGCAACTTTCCTTCTTGGATTGCTGCTGCCGTTTTCCTTCCCAACGACCTCTAGTAAGCTCCTTGCGTGCGAAGCAGGAACTTCGCCCCTCGTGCTTTGCAGATTGCTTCCTGCCACTCATCTATCCCAGCGTCCGACCTTTGATTCCACTCTGCAGTCATGGGTAGCAAGGCTCCAGCTGTGGGGATCGATCTAGGAACCACGTACAGTTGCGTGGGAGTATGGCAGCATGATCGGGTTGAGGTAAGGATGAAAAGGCTTTGGGAATTGCTGACGTCTCTGCATTGCCTTTCTTCTTATGTGAAAATCGAGTGAGCACGCGAAACAAACAGAGGCAAGTGCTGACCTTTGGCATCTTTGATCTTAATGGAAAGTGTGAGGAGCTGCCACATCTGACAAAGCAAGAGCTTTCGATTTTGCAAAGCTTTCGGAGCTGAGAGGTGTAAATTACAGGAAAGCATCTGATCAACAAATTTCCAAACAACCTTCAAGAAGAAGTTCAAGCATGAAACAAGCTCCTGCATTGCTTTCAACATTCATGCAAGTGGACAAGGAACAAAGCCTTTGTTTGTGCATGGCTGACATCAGTCTGTGTTTTGCAGATCATTCCGAACGATCAGGGTAACAGGACAACTCCCTCGGTTGTTGCCTTCACTGAGAATGGAGAGCGGTTGGTCGGCGAGGCTGCCAAGAACCAGGCGGCCATCAACCCTCAGAACACCGTGAGTGGAAAGGAGTTGTTTTCTTGTTATTAGATAAGCAGTCCTGCAGACAATTCTTTCAGTGGTTTTGAACATCTTACGTGACTCTATACGTGAAGTGAGCAAAGGGTTGCTGTCTCCATGCCTGTGCATGGAGATCGAGGTCTAAAATTAGGGGCATTGGAAGAGGTTGCCATGCCTGAGGGGTAGTTACATATGCAAATAATGCATCAAGGGCCAATCGAGAGAGCCCTGCTTTGTAAGATCCTTCCTCGGATCGGCAATCAAGTCCTTACCAATGCCTGTCGTTGGGGTTTGCTGCGTTGCATCGCTACAGTCTCTTGGATGTATTGCTGAAGTCAACTCTCACCGTTTGCCCGATTGAAGAGTCCGTGCATTTTGCTTTCCCCAAGATTGGTGGATATTGAAACTTCGACGAGACTCGATAAGCTGAAAGCGCGCAACTCTTTGAATACGACCTTCCGCGGCCCTGGCCTTTTGTTTGCGACTCGATGCAATGTAAGCGGGATAGGTTTTTGGCTGTCTTGCTGAGATGCCTCTTTCAGAGCGAAGGAAACTGACGAATCAATCAAATATCTTGAAACTTCGAGATCCTGGAAGACCAGACACTTTTTACAAATTCTTCTTAGGTAGCCGCCTTTGCAGATCTTCGAGGTCAAGCGGCTCATCGGGCCCATGTTCTACCAGTCCGTACAAAACATGGTGACAACAAGATGCAAACTGCTCCAGAGCTGGTGACGATAAGCTGACGTAGCTAAACTGGTCTTCTTAACCCCTTTGCAGATGTTTTGAGGTGAAGCTGCTCAACGGGCAAAGCTTCCGGACAGCAGTCTCTCAGCCGCAGGAAAGCGCTTCACAAATTGGTAACATAGACTGACCTCATTTCATAATTCTTTCCCACTGCAGATCTTCCAGGTCAAGCGGCTTATCGGGCGCAAGTAATCAGACCACATTCGATCAACGTCATGAGCGGGAACCTTGCTGACAACATCCTGACAGTATGCCAAGATCGTCTCCTTCTGCAGATTCTTCGAGGTCAAGCGGCTCATCGGGCTTCAGATTCTCAGACCACGTTCATCAAGCTGAGTTGTGCTTCATAGCTGGTGACAACGATCCGACAAAAAAGCTGAAACATCCTCCGAAACTGATGACAATACTCTGACGTCATGCCACCCCTTTCGCAGATCTTCGAGGTCAAGCGGCTCATTGGGCGCAAGTACACGGACCCGACCGTCCAGGCGGACATCAAGATGTGGCCCTTCCACGTCGTCCGCGGTCCGGACGACAAGCCCATGATCGAGGTCGAGTTCAAGGGCGAGAAGAAGCGCTTCTCGCCGGAGGAGATCAGCGCCATGATCCTTGCCAAGATGAAGGAGTACGCGGAGGCGTACTTGGCAAAGACCGTAAGCGATGCGGTCGTGACGGTCCCGGCATACTTTAACGACTCGCAGCGCCAGTCGACCAAGGACGCAGGTGAGCGCGTCGGGTTTGTAATCATCCTGGTGACGGATTTGTTGTGCGGACCTTGCTTTGGAAAGGTTTTGAACATAATGTTCGATCATGCTGGCAATGATGAGCAGTTTCCTGGCACTGCCACGATTACTGCCAATGTGCTCTGATGCCAGAGAATCAGCTTGTGGAGCTACGATAAAATAGTCAACGACTTCGCCTCGTGGGAATGTCTCCAGGTTATGCCATGAAGCGCCTCTGCTTGCTTTTCTTGCACTCTCCTTTCACATCTCTGCTGGATCGTGTTTGCTGTCGTGCCTCAGGGGTTGCGCAGTCATTATTTTACGCTGGAAACGCATCCTCTTCAAGATGATTCGTCTACATCTGACTATGGAAGACTCTTCTCAAAGACCTTCAGAAATGTCTTGGGAGTGTTCCCTAAAAGTCTGCCAGTCAGGAATGACCCACACCACCGGATTATTAGTCAAGAGTAAAGATAAGTGCGAGTTGTGCTCTTTTGCAACTTGGATCGGTTCAAGTGCGATCCCTTTTCCCAGGCACCATCGCGTCCCTGAACGTCATCCGCATCATCAACGAGCCGACCGCGGCCGCGATCGCGTACGGCCTCGACAAGAAGGCGGCCAACAAGGGCGAGCAGAACGTGCTCATCTTCGATCTTGGGGGAGGTACCTTCGACGTGTCACTGCTAACGATCGAGGAGGGAATCTTCGAAGTGAAAGCGACTGCGGGAGATACGCACTTGGGCGGGGAGGACTTCGACAACCGGTTGGTCAAGTGGGCGGTTGGGGAGTTCAAGCGGAAGTACAAGAAGGACATCAGCGGCAATGCACGGTGAGACTTCGACGCTGCTTCAAGACGGACCTACTTGCTTACTGCAATGGGCTTCTTAGTTGGAGAGTGTGTCAAACATTTGTTCCAAGAGCTTAGGGGTCCCTGCTTTCTTACGTGGAGTCAAAAGGCGTCAAGCGATTCAAACGCATGGCCGCCAAAATTCATTAAATCTGTTGAAGATTTTCAGACTTAATATTCCGACTCTGTCAAATCTGCACCCTTCCAAGGCCAGATGAGCCGAGGCCAAGCTCAATCTGGGGCGAATCAATGGGCGGCTTCGTCTTTCTTTCGTGACCTCATATTTTCTGACGGAACATGGACTGTTCTCCCCCTGTTCAAACTAAGGGAAGGAACCATGGGCCGTTTAACGGGCTCTTGGGTCTGATGTTCAACGATTCCGAGACCTGGTAACAGGTTTTTCGGGAAGCAATTGGCCAAGTACTCGTAAATTTGTTAAGCACGACTATCACTTCCTGTCTTCCTCATCAAAACGGTTCCGCTCCGTCTGCAGGGCCATCCGCCGGCTCAAGAACGCGTGCGAGCGCGCGAAGCGCGCGCTCTCGGCGACCACCCAGACCACGATCGAGGTCGACTCGCTGTACGAGGGCATCGACTTCGCTGCCGTCATCACGCGCGCGCGCTTCGAGGAGCTGTGCATGGACCTGTTCCAGCGGTGCATGGACCCGGTAGAGAAGGTCCTGAGGGACGCCAAGCTGGACAAGGGCAAGGTGGACGAGGTCGTACTGGTCGGTGAGTGGCGCCTCGGTCGCAAGAAGGTGCCCCTGTGCAAAGTGCATATTTGGTGGATTTGAATAGATAGAGAAGTTGGGCTGATTGGCGCAAGAGAGCACCCAGGTTAAAGCAGAGTTTTGATTGCATCGACTCTTAAGTCGATCTTGTGCGTAGTGGATCCCGCCCTTTTGATGATTGGTCTTTCGTCAAGCACTTGGAGCGGTGCGTTTAGCCTTCGGTTTGCTGCATCTACTGAAAAGAGATTAGGTTCGCCCCCCTCCTTTGCGGACAAAAAATGCCGTTTGTCCGGACTTTCGATCCGTAGTGTCCAACAGTACTGCCGATGCTTCTCATTTAACCGTTCTTTGGAACCCTCGTAACCATTGCGGACAATATTACCTACTTTTGGTGAGGGTGCAATTCCTCGCTCCCAAGGAATGGGAGAGAGGCGCGCCTCCAAGATCCACCAGAAGCTCCTCCACCTTACTCTTACGTGCCTGGCTTACGGACTCACCCTCCTCCTCTGACGTAACCTCCCTCTCGTGCTCGCGTCATGTTCTCCCCTGCAGGTGGCTTGATGCTCACTCCCCAAGATCCAGCAGATGCTTCGCCAGTCCACTTTCACGTTACCTGCTGACGTCACTCGCTATTCCTGCTCACGTTACTCATCTCCTCCGCAGCGACTCGACGCGCATCTCCAAGATCCAGCAGTTGGTACCCAACCTCATATCCCCATCACCTGCTGACGTCACCCTCCTGTCCTGCTGATCTCAATCGCCCCCTCCTGCCGACGTACTTCCCTCTCCCCGCAGGCGGCAACGAAGCGCATCCCCAAGATCCAGCAGCTACGTCCACCACCTAGTCTGAAGTCCTCTCACCTTTGCTGCTAACCTCTTAAGTCGTTAGTGCTGACGTCGAGCCTTTCCCCGCAGGCGGCTCGACGCGCATCCCCAGGTCCAGCAGATGCTGACCGACTTATTTGCGGGCAAGCAGCTGAACAAGAGCGTAAACTCCGACGTTCCTCCCCTCAAGACAACGCTGACTTTACTCGCCTCCCCTGCTGACGTCACTCCCTCCCCCTTCTGAGACGGCTCGACGCGCATCCCCAAGATCCAGCAGATGCTGACTCCTTCGCGGGCAAGCAGTTGAACAAGAGCATTAACCCGACGAGACCCTTCCCACTTCATTCTCACAACACCCTCTGACTTTACTCGTCCCCTCCGCTGACGTCACGCAGGCGGCTCGACGCGCATCCCCAAGATCCAGCCGATGCTCACCAAATTATCCGCGGGCAAGCAGCTAAACAAGAGCGTCGGAATCGAGGGGACCTTCCGCCGCTCACCCCTCGTGCTGACGTCACCCCTTCCTTTTCTCAGGCGGCTCGACGCGCATCCCCAAGATCCAGCAGATGCTGACCGACTTCTTCGCGGGCAAGCAGCTGAACAAGAGCATCAACCCCGACGAGGCGGTCGCGTACGGCGCCGCGGTGCAGGCCGCGATCCTGAGCGGCGCGGGCGACAGCAAAGTCCAGGATCTGCTCCTGCTGGACGTCACGCCGCTCTCGTTGGGGTTGGAAACCGCGGGCGGAATCATGACGACGCTCATCCCGCGGAACACCACCATCCCCACGCGCAAGGAGCAGGTGGGGGATCCCTTCAGTAGTCGGTCCGTTCTCGTTTTTGGGCTTGGCGGCAGGAAAGTTGGCCCCTTTTCTCACTTCTTTTTGGCTTGGCGTTGGGAGATTGGCTTCTTTTCTTATCAGAATGGGGCTTGGCAGTTGGAAGGCTTTGAACCATCCCGACAGTCACGGACTGTTACTGTGTCAATTATTTCCTTCTCTCGAAGGCCTCAGGAAACGCATCGAGCACCATCCTTCCTTCTTTGGGACATTTTGCATATCTCTAAGTTGTCTTGAGTAAGAATTGGGATCTGATAAGTCCTGTTGATTTATTCTAGTAAAAGCTGGAAGAGACCGAGTTCAATCAAATTCCTGATGCAGCCGCGTTTAAAAGCTATAGAATTCACCAGATTCTGCATGATTGAAGAATAACAAGAAGGGCATGATAGATTGGGAAAATGGGTTTCAAAACTGCGTAAGGGAAGGCTTCAAAGATGGCTTTATCAGCTTAATGAGCCCGCTTCATACTGCCACCTTTCTTCTTTCTATGGGGGGATTCTTGTTCAGGTCCTGGTGCTCCAAGTTTCTCTCCCCGCCTGAACCGGCAGCTGATTCAGACGTGTCGTTCTGGAATCGAGCAATGGAACTGTGCAGCAATGAGGATTAGGCCGCTACTGGGAGAAATAAATAGCTGCAGCTTCCACGGAAGGAGGTCCGATGCTGCGAACATGATGGATCATTGCATTTCTTTCATTTCTCGGTGCCTTCATCTCTTCACCTCGGTAGTTTCGAAATGAATCTTTCTTCTAAAATTCAAGTTGCTTTGAGGCTTCAGTCAAAACACACTTGGATTTTGAACAACATCCTGCCAGCCGTCAGCCTGAAGTGGCGGCTACTCTAGACATGTCGCTTTGAGCGATGGAAGTGTGCAGCAATGAGGAATATGCCGCAAGTGGGAGAAAGTGGTTAGCTACTTCTCCCAAAGGTTCTGACACGAGAACTTGATGCTGCCAGTATCGCGACGTCCCTACCTTTGATTTCCGTTTCTCGTTGCCTTTGTTTCTTATACTGTATATCCCTGATTCTCTATTTTCGATGTTAAGATTGCGATCAGCATTCGGTCCGGATAAGCTTTCCGTAACCGCGTAATGCCAGCCATGACTTCATTCGTCAACCATGCAGGCTTCCAGCGCAATGGGCGGAAAACTCTCGCCCTGAGCGAAGACTTTTTCTCCGCAGATCTGAGCGCAACCTCTCCAAAAATCTTCGTTTAGTGCAAAGAAAAACACACTCTCATTCTTTGCAGGTTTTCTCGACGTACTCGGACAACCAGCCGGGCGTCCTGATCCAGGTGTACGAAGGCGAGCGCGCGCGCACCACGCAGAACAACCTGCTCGGCAAGTTCGAGCTCTCGGGGATTCCCCCGGCGCCACGTGGCGTCCCGCAGATCAACGTTACCTTCGACATCGACGCGTGAGGCTGCTGTAGCGCGATTTCCCCCCCCCTCTTCCGCATTATCCCATTATTTTTGCAGGTAATCCGACGTTCTTTGAATCGACATGAGCAGGTCCTACCTGGCTGCTTTTGGAATCTGGGTTTTATTGTTTTGGTCCTGCAGTTGAATCTGGTCGGAGGACACAGCATGCAATCTTTTCCTTCTTATTTCTATGTGTTAAAGGGGAACGGGAATCCGAACAATCCACCACATGTCCGGAGGGCGCAGCTTGAGGTTACCGCTTGAGAATAAGCTTCCGTTCGTTTTTCCAATATCAGAATTTGAATCAGCACTCAAGGAGCCATTGCTTCTTCTTCTACACTAGCAGAATTCCGTGGCCACGTCTGATCGAGCACGTTCAACCGTTCGGACCGTCCTGAATTTCGGAGGGACTGCACACCGCAAAGGTCTCGATATTGCGGATTCTATTAGGGCCTCGCTCATTGATATACCATCTTCTGATTTGAAGCGTTTTTGGGCCTTGCAGCAACGGCATCCTGAACGTGAATGCGGAAGATAAGACCACGGGAAAGACGCAGAAGATCACCATCACCAACGAGAAGGGCAGGTGGGCTGCCCAGCATTCGCGCCTTAAAGAGCCTGTCTGAATCTAGTTTGTCCATTGTTTGGGTCGGGAATTGGTGAAAGACTTCTGAACGGATTTCCAAAAGCACTATATTTCAAGACTTGCCTCTTTTCCACCCCGAGACACTGCTACTCTGGAGAACATCCTCAGAACGCTTCACAATCGATCCGTAAGCTTCCTGTCAGGTTCATGATAGCCATAATCATGTTTGAGAGGCGCAAGACTTGACCAAAAACTCCGCTGATCCGTTGCAGCTGGCAGTCATTCCAAGAGAAGAGAACTAACGCATGATGAAGGGAATTCTTTACGGTCTTGCACACAGTCCCCGCACAATTCGTTGTAAGCACTTTATCATTTTGAAGACTGCTTTCCCTCCCCTCGAAACGCCCCGCTCACAAGCTCCGCTGCTGCGCTCAGGCGGTCCAAGGAGCAGATTGAGCGCACGGTGAAGGCATTTATCTGAAGCTTCGCTCATTATTCCCCCTGGTTTACTCGCCTGGGATAAAAGCCTCTAACCCGCCGGTAGATTCCCCCAATCAGATTCCTTCAACGAATGATCTGAATGAGAGCCTCAGAAAAGCTTAAATCGCTGCGGCTTGGCAGGCTGTCCATGGAGGAGATTGAGCGCTTAATGAAGGAGATTCTCTGCGACTGTGCCCAAGGTCCCCCCGAAACTAAAGTTTAGTCTTCCCCGCTTACAAGATCCCCTCAAAGCCGCCCGCTCACAATCCTCGTTGCTGCTCTCAGGCTGTCCAAGGAGGAGATCGAGCGCATGGTGAAGGAGGCGGAGCAGTTCAAGTCGGAGGACGAGGAGGCCAAGCGGAAGGTGGAGGCCAAAAACTCGTTTGAGAACTACGTGTGAGTGCCGCCGCTCTAGTTCCTGCCCAAGTTCGAATTTCGCCGTTCTCATTTGCCCTTTTCCGTCTCGTAGTATCGGAGAAAGCATTTATCTGTTTTGAGGCCAGCAGTCACGTGTGAGCTAGCGGCTTCACTCTCTTGCTGACGTGTCTTGAGTTTTGGTTTCTCGGATCAAGTTTCCTGGTTGACACAGAGTAATCCGCTAATCCACCTAAAGTAGCATCTTCGCCTTCGAGGGGTGCCTCGCCTGGGCTCTTTCCAATTGCTATTTTTTTCTGATAAGGCCGCTGAACTTTGAAGCTTCTAGTGCTTTTGGTGCTACCATTGCTTGAAAAACTTGACTCCACAACCCTTGAGGAGGATTGAAAGGAGACCTAATGATTGGGTCTTGCGCCTGTCTCCTCCACTTGGCTGACTCCGGCTCCTAATCCAAACAAAAGTCACCTGCAATTTCCCGGTTTGCTGATTATTTTGAACTGAGCGCTATGCGAACCTTGCAGGTCCCATGAGAGTTGCCCTGATCTCCTGATTGCCCGTGCCGTGCCACAACCACTCAGCAAAACAGATAGGGCGCTATTGTCTCCTTTTTCTATCACGGCTCAGAATAAGTCGACGTGGGAAGCTTAGAGGTCCCTGTTCTTCGGCCTGGCGCAGGTACAACCTCCGCAACTCTTTAAGGGACCCGAACGTGGGCGGCAAGCTGGACCCGGCTGACAAGGAGCGCCTGGAGAAGGAGATCGAGGACGCCATCCAGTGGCTCGACAACAACCAGCTCGCTGACGTAAGCTGACGTCAGCAGGCCTTTTCGTGCTGTGCTTCTCACCCTTGCTTCTGCCCTCGTCTGACTCAGCGGGGTGAAGGGGTTCGGCAAGAAGTGAGCCGCTACACGGTTTCATCAACTGATCCGCTGAAAACCCGTGCAACGATCGGGAAAAGTAGACGTTGAGTCTCAGCGTCACTGTAGAAGGCTGCAGTCCTGATCACAGCTGCCGTTCTGTTTAAGAGCTGCCTTACAGGCAAAAGAGTTTGAAAAGTGGAGGCACCACCGCCGTAACTCTGGTTCCGACATCGATTCGGATTCAAATCCTTTTTCAACCTTTTGAACTTAATCTCTTAATCAACCCTTGTTTCTGGATTTTCAACAAATTATCGCAACGTAAGCGCGCCCTTGTAAGGCAATAAGCGAGCGAGACTCGAGCCTTGTAAATCTGGGTTACTTTCATTTCGCGGTCTTCATCAAATCGCAAATACATTTCTCCAACGTGATCAGCCCACGAGCAAAGCGGGGACCGCCTGCCAGGTGTGCACTTATTATCTTCAAAGATTGAAGCTATATTCCCCGGTCACGAATTCAAACCTGGGCCTTCTTTTCTGCGTGCAGACGGAGGAGTTCGAGGAGAAGCAGCGCGAGCTGGAGAATGTGGCGAACCCCATCATGCAGAAGATGTACGGCGGCGGGGGTGGCGCGCCGGGGGGCGAAGATATGGGGGGAGGGATGCCCGGGGGAACCACCGGGCCCGGACCCAAGGTGGAGGAAGTCGACTAAAAGTCTATAAACTGATGTAGAACATATTATAGAAAGTAGTAGGAAAGTGGAGCGGGGATGAGCAACTTTGATCCTTTGTGATGAGGACAATGACAGTAGGTGGATCCAAGGCGTAGAGGAGGAAAGAGGAAGTTTGATTCTTAAATGCAGGCATGTGCGGAAGCGGGGTCGTGCCATCAATATTGTCAGATGTAAGCCCCGGGGAGCTTTGCTCCTTCCTCGGCTCTCGCGGCCTGTAAAAGCTACCTTCATTCCTTGTACAGTGCATGGCGGATGATCAAAAGATGGTCGAAATAAAGAGAGAAATCTGCAAAGACGGCACTTGTCCTATCATTTTGCGTCCATATTCTCCAGACTCATGCTCGAGGTTACATAAAGCAAGGCTTTTCAGGTTACTAACCCCGGCCTCCACGCGGTATCTGTCCGGTGTGGGGAGTTCTCGTAATTACATATTATGGTGGCACTCAAAAACCTCATTCTTTCTCATGTTGTGCTTCAATGGCAATATAGATATGATAAAGCTCGTGCAATTCTAGGGCGACGCAATGACCACTATGTATGAAAATCCTACAGGCAGAGCACATGAAAATCCTACAGGCAGAGCACATGAAAATCCTACAGGCAGAGCACATGAAAATCCTACAGGCAGAGCACATGAAGCAAGTTAATACAGATGTAAGAGTCTGCCCAGTGATCAAACGGCTCAATTATTGTACATGGTGACGCGCTTTGCAGCGGTAGCGTTTCTACAGTGAGGGCGCACGATCTAACTTATAAGCACTGACTTAAGGACGTCCATCGTCTTCCTTCTTCAAAGGCCGGTACGGCAGAGTGTTTGTGCTGCGAACAGGTTCTCCGAATCTCTCGAACAACAAGCACGTGCTAGCCACTTCAAAGGATGATCCAAGCCCTACAGCAAATCCTACTAAAGCTATACATATGATCTATTATCGAAGGGTTAATACGCCTAACTTAACAACTTCTGGCGAATAGACTACATGCGCAAACGATACTGCGGCCGCAAGCAAAAACCCCCCGGCCTCAGGCTGGCTGCTGACGATGGTACAAGGCGGTCGTTAAGGGACGGCGGACAGCGGAGCGAACGGAATAGGTCTGCGCTCTGCACGATGCATTAAAGAACAAAGTTTCAGAAAAGCTGGGAAAATCGACAAGAAAAGCGATGGCAAAACTTTGCCCTGGAGTTGAAATTTGTCAGCTAAAGAAAACCCTCCAACTGGTGAGGATAAAATGCAAACTCTTGCGCCAGACTTGCATGGCAAATAATCTGGTTAACACCCGTGATCTTATATGAAGCGTGATGCTCTGTCAATTCGAAACAACAGAACCACAACATCTGGTGAGCTGCTCAAGTCCACTGATCGATGAGGGTAGCTTTTCTGGTGGAAGAGCAACCCGCACGAAGATCTATAACACGTGTCTCCTTTAATGTGTGCCGATGGTCTCCTTGGCCGGTGCCCTTTCGCTACCACAAAAGAGAAGCATTGCACCGAATCATTTTTCTGTTGATCAAACCTCAGTTTCCCACCGTCGCAAAAACACGAATTGACAAAATGCAAACCAAGGGAAATGGAGACAACCCACCTTGCCTAAGGGTTAGGAATGGGGTTAGGGTTGAGGATGGTGGGCAGCCTGGTTTCCTCGCCGGGAACCAGGGTAGGAACCGGGGCGATCGACGGCTGGATCACGATCGGGGGCGGCGTGGTCGGGCCGAAATTGGCGGGAGAGTTGGTCGGGAAAGGAAGGCCGACCACGGTGGCGGTCGGCAGAGGGAGGGGAATAGTGGTCGGGAAAGTGACCGGGGGAGCCGTGCTGCAGGAACAAAAGTAGGACGTAATCATTCTCTGTTCCAATCCGAATACCAATCACAATTCCATCTCCCTAGTACAAGAGTCGTTGAAGCAACACTTGTTCTGGCTGAGCAGTGACAGAGGCCACATTCCGATGAACTACTGCTTATAATGATGTTCAGGTTGCCACTATCTGACTCACCCTTCTCCAGTGGGAAGGGGGATGAGAGGGGTAGTCGGTAGAGGGATCGGAATAAAGGTCGGGAGAGGGGCGATAGGGATGTTCGGGGGAATTGTCGGGAGCGGAGCGATGGGAGTCTCGGTGGGAAGGGGAATGGGAGGGAAAGGCAGCGGAGGGAAGGTCGACGGAGCGGCGATTGGGCCGGTAGGAGTGGTCGGGAGAGGGGGGATCGGCGCGATTGTTGGGCCCGGAGCCGGTAAGAAGGGCAAAGGAGGAAGCGTGGGAATTTCACTCGGTAGAGGGGCGATCGTCACGGGAGGAACTACGAAGGGGACGGTCGGAAGAGGAGTGACCGGGGGAAGACCGGTCGGGGCAAAAGCGGCCGGGGCAGGAGCAAGCAGCACCGGAGGGATGGTCGGGAGAGGAGGAGTGACTGGTGCGGAGGCGATCGGGAGGGGAACGGTTGGAGCAGGAGCGGTCGGGGCGAGCGTGGTTACACCGGGAGTGGTCGGGGCTGGCGCGGGTTGGCCGGGAGTGGTCGGGGCGGGAGTAGCCGGTTCAGCGGCCGTGCAGTCAATGATTGATTCGTTTTCCCCCGGGCACTGGTTGGGGCAGCAGAGGAAGCGGGTCCCCGCCAGGAGGCCAAACGTGGGGCACACGAAGGCCTGGTCGGGACACGTGGCGGCTGCAGGAGAAAGAAAGGCGTGGTTTGCACTGGAACCCAGGTGTCGATTTCTGATGCGAAGCGAACGCTTTAGGAATCTGTCTGGAGCAGGAGCGCCTGCGGAGCTTGAGCAAAACTTTATCAAACTTTGATCCAGAGGTTTGGGAACCAGTTCCGCTGAAACGAAGATACCCTAAAGGCTGGGTAAATGGTAAGCGACTACAACGGGGGGCAGAGGTGCCGCAGAGCCTAATCGCTCTTTACTGGGAAGCTTCTAAGGTTTCTTGAAATTTTTGGTAAAAAGTCCGCAACAATCCATTGCTATTTTTCTTCATTGCTCTACCATCTTACCAACTGAACCAGAGTTACGCCACACAAAACAATTCCTCAAAGCATCAAACCTAGTAGATGTCAGCTGGCGCTTTTGGGCTCGTCTGTTTTCAGCTTACACAATGGCGCTGGGGTGGTCGGAGGGGGCGTAGTCGGTCGGGGGTTGAACACCGTAGGCCCCGAACATTTGGCATAGGTAGATGTTCCTAGCTCGGGGCAACCCCCCGCGCAACAGAGAAAGTCTGTCGTGCCGACTTGGGGGCAGGCCGTGTTGAAGGGGGGGGCGCACCCAAAGGGGGAAGGGGTTGGAGCTGCAATCGCGTACGGGTGTCAGCTTGAGTTGACAAGGCAGAGATACTGAGGTGAGGACCTTCAAGATGGTTAGCAAGGTAACGTCAAGAAGGGAGGCAACAACGAGACGTGCTTTGTGCAGGAATGGTGGATTGGTAACAGAAGGGTGGCAATGCCAAGATCAGCTTTGTGCACAGATACTTTGGGCAGCAGGCAGTCCGGCACTACGAGGGGCTTGAAGTCTGCAGGAAGCATGATTTGATATGCAGCCTGAACGTTGGCTGGTGACCAGAGATCGTTGCCAGCTGAGCCATCTACTCAAATCGGACATGTCCAATCTTGCGTCCAACACAGAGAGGAAGCCACAGTTAGCGCAACGAACAGATGGGAGGCCGTTGTTCCAAGCGAGACAAAGAATGCTAAAACTGACCTTGCAAAAGCTTCCGAGGAGCCTTCAGACCGGCCAACACACGGGCCTGGAGAACGGAGGCATCCTCCGAAGCGATGACCTGCGAAAAACGAGAAGTCAGCCAGAGCTTTGAGAGAGGTGAACATTTGAGAAGCTGACTGGCGATGCGTTTCATGGTGTTAGCCGCAGACTGCTGAAAATCCATTCAACGCAAGCGCTTAAAACTTAAAGTCAATCATCCGGCAGTGCTTCCGTTGCAACAAACAGTCTACTGATGAGTCAACCTTGGAGGTTCCTGTAACCCGCAGTCTGGATCTCACAAACTTTCCAGAATCACGATCTGAATCATCACGCTGATGCTAGCACGCCCCATCAGCAACAAACCACAAACCAGACGGGATATAGAGGAGCACCACGATCGAAACGGGAGGCTGATGCAGTTTTTTTCAAGGGGTGTCCGAATCACCGTTCCAACCGCGCAGGCGAGAAGCACGAGGCCCAAAATGGGAACAGCAGATCCGCGTCCCGCCATCTTTGGCGTCCGCCTTCGTCGAGCAGGTGGGTTTGAGGTTCTAGCAGGGAGCTCGTGCGGTTCTCTGGAATGGAGATGCTTCGAAGTGCGAGAATTGTCAAACTGCCGAATTGCGAGGGCTTTTGTAGGCACCTGCTGCGGGCACAAAAGCTCCTAGACGCGCTAATGCATCCGAAGCAGTCCGTATAGCTCTTGCAATCTCACCTACAGAGTGAAGACTGAAAGTGAAGAGACCGCGCGAGACAGTCTGTCCCTGCCCGATTGTGCCTGTGGAATCGTTACGAGGTTTGGGAAGCGGCAGAGGGCGCCCCTTAGTCGACCCTTCATACATAGTTCACTTCTCTGGGAAGCCGGGACGTCCTCGTCGCTTCGTCTTTACAGCGAGGTGTACACGTGGCTACCATCTAGGCAGCCAGCAGCCATCCGAGCGCCTCGACGGTCTTGCTGCGCGGGTTGGGATTGTCGACCTTCGGTAGAAACCATTATCGGCTCGGCTCTTAAATGACTTCTCCGTCTGGCTAACAATCTCAGAGTCCGGTGTCGCCCTCGTAGGGCGTGGAGTGACATCATAGTATCGAAAACTGCCCTTAACACCAATGATCACTTGAACCGGTGGTACATGGAGCTCTATTCTCAACAACAAATGGTTGGAGGGCTCACTAAGTGAACCTGGTAACTCTGCTGTGGCTTAACCGCGGTGTGCCTGCCTGGAAGAACTGGTGGGGATATTCCGGAGGTAAGGGTGGCTTTGGGTACGTAGCGCACAACTTTCGGGCTAGAGTTTCTAGTACTTTTTGCTCGTCTTGAGCGGGCATGTCTCGCATCAGATCGACGGGGGCGACAGTGACTGTGTCAGCGGCCATTTCTGATTGGTCCTTACACTTCGTACCGGATCGGGATGAGACCTTTCTACTCCTCGGGAGCGCCGGCGTGCCACGTTGACTTTATGGCCGAGGTCGGGAACAATGAAGATTGTTGGACGGACTCCTATCTAAATGATACTTCCTCGTACTCCGAACAAGCGAACGGTCGATTTGACATCAGAAGCTGTTCGGGCATATCTAGCACATCTAGCAAGACGTCCGGCTCTAGTTTGAAGAACAACCTTAACCTGTAACTTGAAGTAGCACATTTTTGGCAAGCCTTGATTCCGCCATCATTTTTTTTCGTCTTTCTGAAGAATCGACTTTAACTCTATTCCCTTGGAGCGCCTCGCTTTGCGAGTTTTTCGCGTTGGATCAGCAGTAAGGTCACGGGACTGACGGGAGGAGACTTTCTGGCTGCTTTGCATTAGGAGACGTACGGCCTCTTTTGGGTCACAAGGGGGAAGGGCGTCAAGAACCGCCATCTGCGGAGTCTGATTCTCGACTCTCAAGTTCGATGCCTTCCTCTTATCTCGGCTCGCCAGAATCTTTGGGAAAGTCGTCCCTTTACGACGTTGCAGTATCAGAGCCACGTGCTTCGCACCTATTCGTCAAAAGCATACTTCCTGCCGCGCCCAAACGACTGGATCCCGGTACTTAAGAACTGACAGGTGTTTCCTCGCAACTTTCGTGAAGAGGGGCACCGGCGCGCGCATTAACCTGACGACCACTGGCGACCGTGTGCGGCAGCTTGGCAAGTTGTTGCGCAGATTGACCTGACGATTCAGCCCGCGCGAAGGAGAACGCGTGCACAATCTTTCGAAGGCAGGAACATCAACTTCAAAGAGCCTGTCTGCGCTCAGTATGCATGCAGAGCGCGCTAAGAGGTGGAAAGGAACGCCCAGCAGATACTGCCATGTCGCAACACTGCTGCTCAACCGGGGCTGGCGCGGAACTTTGTCTGATTTCTTGACATCAGCGTCGGGTAATATCTATCTGACGATTTTACCACAGAATCATACAAGCCTAGTTGCCGCGATCGATCTCGACGTATATAGCGGCCCACGCGACCGTCCGCGGGCGGGCGGCCTCAGTCCCCTGGCGAGGTTTAGCACAGGGTTTGCCACCCGCGAGTTAGCGACGCCGCACGCTGCGCGCGCGCGGCAGAACTCCAGGAAAGCACTGAAGCAGCTACTAGTACTAGTACTACCCAGTAAGGGCTGAGGCCCAGGGTTCCCTCATTCAGCTAGCCGATCTTTCGTCCAAGCAGGAAAGCAGGCGCCACTGTTTCTGGACCCTCAGGACAGCGGTTCATGACTCCTCAAAGGGAAAGCAGAGGGGCACCATGGACCCAGTGGTCATAGAAGAAGGGGCGAGCCCCCAGCTGAATCTTCTGAGGGCCCAGATAGCAGCCCTTCAGTCGGAGTACGATCGCTTACAAGAGCAAGCTGCTAATGACGAGCCACATGAATGCAACATAGGTAGTTGTCCGCTGCCAGATTTCCATATGAGGGATGAGGCCATTCTGGATTTGACAAGCAGTGCAAATGAAGGCAGCCGGGATATAATTGATCTAACGCAAGTGGGGAGAGGAGTGGACGCAGTCATTGACAAAGACACTTTGAAAGCAATGCTGAGGAGAGAACATGAGCTTCGGCACAGTCCAGCCACGCAGAAGAAGTATGCTGAGGCAGAAAAGATGGAGGTGACAGACTGGATGGATGTGACAATTGAGCTCCAAAAACAGGTCTGAGCAGTCGCTGATCTTCTAGTTTGTTCTTCAAGCAGAAGCATTGCATCCCTCTATTCTTCAGCTCAATGCGCAGATAGACTCGGTTGTTAGCTGGACTGAATTGGCTCATCGTCAAGGCCCTGGACTGGCTTTGACTATAACATATTGGTTGAGGTACTTCCAGGCGAATGAAAGCGCTTGTAATTTTGGCCTGACCAGTATCTATATATCTTCACCCTGCATTTTGTTGAGACCGCTAAGCCAGTTTTGCAAAAGTGTAATCTGAGAAACATGGACAAGTGGAAGGATGGCCCCGACAAACTTGTCAATCTCAAGCTCCCTGCCAGTCAACTATCTCGCAGCTGCTTGTTTCAAATCTTCTCAACTCCAGCAGTCACTGTTCGCAGCCCCTGCAGACTTCTCAAGCCGGACAAGACCACAATATTTCGCTCTCACTTTATCTGCAGGTAGTGCGAGAGTTTGGACTGGAAGGAAACATGGAGTCCGCCTTGCTGCAACTCCGCACCGCAGCCAGGACATATCCCGATGACCCTGACTTCAGGGAGCTCCCTCTCTACGTCAAGTACCAGCGCTCTCGGGCCGGACACCTGAAGCCTGGAGACTCGGTGCCTGACATCATGCTGATGAAGCTGGATGGAGCTTTGCAGAGACTAAAGGACTTGGCAGCAGGGGCACGGCCACTGGTTCTCCTGGCAGGTAAGCCAAAGAAAGGCCGACACTTGAAGTTCACTAATCCAATGTTGCTAGCAGATGGAATATTCAGGAGTCCTCTGAGAGAAGAGTCCATACTGCTCGGCAGAAGTAATCAGGAGCAAAAGAGGAAGACGTCGGGTGGATGTGCAACATGGCGAAGGATTCGACCAATCTGTCCAGGGATGGATTACAATCTTCCAAATCACAGATTATGACCCTTTCAGAACTTTTTCATTCGTAGCAGCAGCTATGAAGTACTCAAAAGTACATCTCTTGACCCAGGTTCGATGACGTGACCCCCGTACCGAGGCTTGGTACCGACCTTCCACTCCCTCTCTCGGGAGTTCGAGGGACGGGCCAAGTTTCTGGGGGTGTACATAACGGAGGCTCATGCAGCGGATGAGTGGCCCATCAACTCAGGGCGGTTCAACGGTCCTGGAAATAGCATTGTCCAACCACAAACCACGGTAATATCCTGCTTCATTCGAGGATTGACAGCGTCAGCCATTGGTGCAGCGCTGACAGACAACGAAGATTCGGTAGAGCCTTGACCTTGGACGACGGGGCAACTGCAGTGACCATGAGATGCCCAAACTCTAAAAGCGGTTTAATCTCTCTTTGACATCTAAGTTCTGTCGGCCAAGTCGGATCTGTGAGCAATTGCGAAGGAGTCCGGCACAGCGCTGCTCCTGCTCGGTCACATTTCCTTTGGCTTTGATAGAACTCTGTCAATCCGCGTTTGGTGGATTCAAACATCTCCAAGGTGCTTCGGGTTTCAACTTCTGTCTGCCGATCAAACCTCTGCTACTATAGCAACAAAGTGGAGCGCGTAAGAATCAAGACGAATGACGAAGTTTCTCGGGACGAGTTTTGGAATGATCTAGGAGAACAGCAGGCAGGAGAGAGTCCTATTGATGGACTACATGCATTTCTAACTATGCGACGGGCATTTTGGTAGGGACACAGCTGCGTCTATTTTCCCCCATGAGCTTCTTCTTGTTTCATCTGGCCCCTCGTAACCTTAAGAGCGCCGTTTCAATCTTTTCTGGTTTCAATGCGAAAGGGAGCTACGCCGCTGTCAACATGAAGTAAGAAAAGCGTCGAAGCTGCTCGAGTATTTGAGTATTTCAACCTACTCTTACGGCAAACTCATCGTGCTTTTTGATGCCCGAGATTAACGAACCTACCTTCTCTCGTTTCTGTACAGAAAATGAGCACCTTCTCAACAGTACTCGAACATTTCGATAACAATAGACGATCTTTTTCTTGCAGGCGGAGCGCAGCCTGTTGGCCCAGCAGTTTGTGGACAAGTTTTCTTTCGCCATCGAAATGGTCGTGGACACGCTGCCCGACAACCCGTTCGACACCGAGTTCTCCCCATGGCCCCTGCGGTTCTATATTTTGCACGAAGACCGGGTGGCTTTCATCGCTCAACCGCGCAACTGTACATACGACGTGTCTGCACTGCGCAGTGCGCTTCTCAAACTGCTTTAGCCGGACGAGACTTCCATGTTGGTGACAGGATACTTGAGACAAGTCAGCAAGACGGATGCATACGCTGCGTGTACGTGTAAGTGCTTAGGCTGGTGATTCATGTTTACTTCGCTTACTCATGGGGGCACCCTCTGCAGCTTCTGTGACGGTGCTGCTGCGAAACTGCTCTGCAGGCATCAGACCCCGATTAAGCTGTGGTGGCTGGCTTCTTACGAGGTGAAGAGGAATGCTCATGCCATGAAAGTAATGAGATTGACTTTCCAAAACTCAATTTCATGCGGCTTCCAGTTCCGCTTTAATCAGAAGACTCACTTGTCTATGACGGTTTTGGCATGAGGAAAAGGAGATCTTGTGAATATCAATACAATCGCATATACTTGAGGGTTTGATCTGTATGCATGACCAGCTAGAGACCGGTTCCGTCCTAAGGTGCACACCAACTTAGCTCCGAGATCATTTCGCGCAGCCGATCATGGCATGAGGTGTAGGGTTCACTTTCTGGCAAAATCCAATGTTTTGCTTCGTCGTGTTCGATATGACGTACTAAATACCATGCCCATATGACATTTGGTGTTGTTGCGGCCGTGCTGTGTAAGATCTTGTCACAGTGAGCCCAGGCGCGGCGGCCTTGACGCGGCAACCGTCCAGTCAATGACGAACCGCGTTGTTCGAGTCGAGATCGTAGTTTACATGCAGGCGTTTCCGATCATTGCGTGATGTCATGCTTGACGGTTCAATATGTGTGAGCAAAGTTAATGATTGAGTCTAAGTACTTGCACCTTGACATGGATTCACACATGGAAATGAATCCAATATGCCGCGCCGCTGCCGCGCGCCCCATCATAATTCTTGGCGCTTGTCGCCATAGTTTCAATTATGTGAACTCAATGTTATTCTTGAGTCTCTTTTTGCAGCTCTTGCACTGGACCATGCAAAGATTGCATATCATTAACAAAGACTACGGTATATACTAAATACTTGGACGATGGTGACCGTCCATAATTCTTAGTGCTCTCCAAGTCTAACTGCGCGGCACTGTCCGGAGACCGTCGGTGTAATGGGTGACCCCTACGTCTTGATCTCTCCATGCATCATGCCTCTGAAATGCTAGGGCTCCGTATGCAGAGCAATGATGGACGGGCGGGCCGCCAGCCGCGTAGGCCAGGCTAGTGGCGGCCTGCCGCCGCGGAACTTGCCGCCGGCGCAAATTGGCGCCCCGCGGGCTGGCCGGCCGCGGCACCATTCTGAGTTTTAGACGTCCGCATTATTGAAAGGCGTTCTGGCCAGTGGCAAGGCAGGCTTCGCACGGTGACGGTCCGACACGTTGAATGCACTCGGACGTCCGGTTATTTGTTGAAACCCTAAAAATCCTTCTCTCAGCTGAGCCATGCAACCAGCGCTCAAGAGCTGGGGAGGAGGCTGCATGATGGCGGCATCGCATTTTTGGGCGCATGCGCGAGTTGATTAGGGAGTTTGGCAGCTGCAGCATGCTGCTTCTCACACCTTCGAACAATGTGATGCAATCATTAATGTGGGCAATCGAGGACTTATGAATTGACGCAATCAACTGAAAAGGAAAAGTACGTAGGTAGGCATTTGAAGAATTGTGTGGTTAGATATCAAATCAGTGAATTTTGGCCACAGAATGATCAAGCACAGCTCTTTAGGAGGTCAATGATGAAGACGATAGCGCACCCTCTAAAAATCCTACAGTACCTGGAGGCTTTTAAGAAAACACTATCCGCTTGGAGACTCAACTCAGTTTCAGTATGCTGAAGGTCTTCTTCAGGGATGCATCAGGGAAGGGCTCTGGAGACAGCCATGTGCAGCATGGGCAGGCGGCTCTGCTTCTGGTTGATACTCCTTGTGCTGCAAAGTAAGCTCCAATCCGGGATGTCTGTGGCACACGCATCAGGACTCTCTAGACGTTGCGAGCTGCACTTTCGTGTGAGGCTTTGATCCGTTGAGCTGGAGCACAAAGTTGTAAACACTCATTATCCAACAACAGTTTCTGGGGGCATTTGAAACCCACACTCGACAGTTGTGAAAGGACTTACCTCAGTAGGCCACTTGCAACGTTTGGCACCTTCTCAGATCGACCATACTTTACAGAAGAAGTGGCTGATCATGGTACATTCTTAGAATGAGATGAGCTGCCAATCTGGAGACAGGTAGAGAACAGCGTTTCCTTGTTTCTTTGATTGCACCCAAGCCCCGCAAGCAAATCTGTGCGCAGGTCTCACGGCAGATGGGCATGTGGCATGGGAGGTTGGATACAACACCCCAAACCAGCATCAGTGTGTCCATGACACGCACGTGGTGCCGCATGTATTGCGAGTGTCTAATGGTCAGAGAAGGTGAGTGCGCTTCCATACTGGTGGCAGAGGTCAAATAGAAGCCCAAATTTCAATGGAAGGGTAGTTGTCAGTCTGACGTGGACTATAGGAGTGACAACAAGTGTGATGGCAGTAGGGGTGAAAGCTTCAGCTTCCCAAGAAGGTAAGTGCACTCCAATAGGTGGTAGCACACCTGGATTAGTAGCTGAGCAGACACGGAAGGGAAGGGCACTTTTCAAGTTGGTTTAGATTAAGGAGTGACGATAGGCCTAGTGGTGGTAGTACGGTATATCTACAAGGTCAGGGTTAAGTTTATCGGGCTAGATAGAAATCCGAATCTTCTCTTGTAGCAAGTCAGTACTAGAGCCGTCAACTGAGATCCATGTACCAATGTTAATCAAGATCCGTCAAATACAAGATGAGTCGCTTCACGGTACCTCTGTTAATATCCACGTTCAAAGTAGAAGCTCCTTCAAACAGCCCATCCCCCTTTCTTGGCTGGACCAAGTAACTAGGTCAGCCTACAGCTTTGGTGGTCGTCGATAAAGGGCAAGTAGCGAGGATCCTTTGGATTGAGAAATCTATATTCAAGAAGCATTGGTCCATGATTGCCACTAGACATCTAATTCAATTCTCCGCTTTGTACAGGCTTGACACTGGAGCTTCCCATGACTCCCGGAGGCAGCTTCTGGCGGCAAGTCCGGCTCCCTCGCCAATCCGCATCACTCCAGTAAGCTTCCACCCAAGCTAGGCTCAGCTGTGCAACTTGCTACCTCAATCCTTCTTCCTTTTCATACTATTGAAGTGGGTAGAGAAAACGCGTGTCTATTCCAGGCGCCTTACGGGGCCGAAACTTCATTTCGATTTGTCGAAAACGACTCAGACTCGCCGATCGTGCGTTCCCCGTCATGAAGTTGAAGTTCGAACCCAGGTTCTTTGCCCATGTCTCTTGACAAACAAAACCACTTATATATTGGGACTGGATCTAAAGTGAGGACTCCTGCGCAGCACAATTTCCCTAAGACTCTCTATTCGTTTCTTGCAGGTCTTTCAGATTGACAATCTCGACATCCCCCGCCGCTCTTTCCTTTCGACCGTCCTTGTGCCCGCAGCCACCAGGTAAGCCTTTTAGGTTTCCAAACTATTTCCGGATATTCCATGCGGTTCCGCCGAAGCAGATTGCACTGTCGACCTTACCTTGAAAGAACACATACAAGATGTTCGTCGGTTGCGAACATCTTCTTGATGTCGGACTGACGTCCCGCATGTCCTGTTGCCGTTGGAGCCGTTGACTAAAAATAGTGTCTCGAAACTCGGCCCGACGTTACACTTCAGATGTTGAAGACTGATCTGTTGTTTGACATCAGTGACGGCTAAATTCAAAACCCTTTGCACCGCTGTCAAGGCAGACCGGAGTGCTGACCAGAAATATTTAGCAGAGACACGAAATTTCCCTTCAAAGGACACATACAATCTGGCATCCTGGCCCGTTCACTCCAAACGAGTGCATTCTTTGAAGCCCGATTCCCCATCACGCTACTTCCAACCAGAGGGTCCTCACTTTTTCCTCCCCGCTCTCGTTGCCTGTGCAGGTACTTGCAGCGTATGTACAAGGTCAAGTACCCGGTCTCCGGTTCGCTCCTGCTCAAGCGTTCGTGCGAGCAGGTTCTGACCGGCCAGTGGAGCAACGGGAGCACCGTTACTGCGTGCTCGCGCTGGGCGCCCCTCACGTGCCTGGTAAGCTCTTAAATCTTTACGTGGCGTTTTTAGAAATGTTTTTCGTGTGTGAGTGGACTCCGTTCTCTGACGAGCAGATGTATGGGCAGGATACAGGGGAGAGCTGGAAGACAGACTTGTTCGTCAGCTTCATAAGGGGACAGCAAAATGAAACGGTCGGGTCACGCCGCACTCGTTTGCTGGCACTCCTCCTTTTGGTTAAAGTAGGCATAGGACTCGCGTGTCCACTGCAGGTCATCTGCGGTTGTGGGGGCCCAAACGACCAAATTTTGATCTGGTCCGTCCAAAAAGGACTCAGAGCACTGAAGTTCGCCTTCCCCGAGCTTGAAATCCGACGCCCACTTCGAGCTATCGGTGGATTTGGCGATAGCTCCTTCGAAATTCCAGAAAACGAGACTGCGTTGAAAGACATTTTGGACTACTCGCAGGAGAGTACTCTGGACTTGGACCACTTCGCTGCCTACACGACATGTGACGCCCGTTCGGTCTGTACCGCCACGCCAGCTGGCGCGGGGCTCGCCAGCACGGACTTCATTCTGTACGTCACTGCGAAGGTGCGTCCACTATGAATGCTATGTTCACTGGAAGAAATCAAACTCAAGACACTTCCTTTGCCTTCTCTTGATCTGCACGTGCGCCATTGAGCCCTTTGTTCCTTGAGGTTTGTTTCTGCGAATACCGACTCGTATCGCCAAACAGGGCTTATTTTGCTTGGAAAGACGAGAGCTCTTCTGACTCCTGAGGCACACTCTAGTAGGGTGCTTTTGGAAACAAAGACCGGCTTGCTTTTAGTCGCAGAAATGATAAGTTGGGAAAAACCAGCATCCGAACCGCCTCTAGGCTGTTTTTCTGTTGAAAACACCCTCTAGTGACCCAACGTTTGCTGCATAAGCAGTCAAACTTATCCAGTTCGCCCTCTGCAGAACACGTCCGTTTGCCAGACGGGCACGATCGCGTATGCCAGCTTCTGCACGCAAGACGACGCCACCGATCGGCCCACCTCCGGCAGTGCCAACTTCTGCCCCGACCAGATTCACCCCCTCCTCAACTGGGCGTTCCAAGTGAGACTGTGCACTTGCCAGTCTTACGACTGGGTAGAAGCGCAGACTTGATTAAACTGTCATAGGCTTTCTTCCGTACGGACGTGGTGACTGTCGAGTCCCTGAATAGTGAGGTCTAGCGACGGTAGGAATCTCAGAGACCCTACCTCACCTCTTACCGGCTGCGGCATTGTAACTCATCCTTAACCCCCTCCCCTCACACTCAAGCTGGTGACCCTCTGAATCCTAGGGCTTTATTTTCTGATAAATCGAGACCAATCTGATAAACAGTGAGGTAGTAAAGCAAGACCATCTGACCCACCACTTCTCTTTCAAGAACCGAGAGGCCGGAAGGGACGGACGAAAGCGACACCAAAACGCCTCAGAAACGCTCGGCTGCCAGTAGCATTGCATCCTTGCCACGTTTCCCTTGAGCACATTGCGTTGGCCTGGCTAGGGGCAGCTACCTGGGCGGCTCGCACAAATCTGCTTCGATTCTCTTAATACCAGACTGTAAGCCGCCCAGTGTATGGAAAAATATGTGTACTACGAAATACATTTAGAAAAGGTCTGGTGACGGCTCGGTAGCAAGAAGTAGTGTCAAGTTTGTAACCCGCGAACTCGTGCTCTGCAGCTTGACACAGCGGTGCACGAGCTGACGCACGCCCTCGGCTTCAGCGCCGCGCTCTTCAAGTACTACCGGGACGCGAACAGTGAGCAATATCTCTTGACCTTCCGTTAGTGTGTTCAAAGGTCTTCTTCCTGGAATGCCCCTTGGTTGCAAGTCGCGTCAAAGCTTTGACTTTAAGTTGCTAGTTTTGGATCAAAAGATTGTCGGATAATGAATCTGAAGCCATTCCACCCCACAAAGAAGGCTGCAAAGGCTACTCAGCTGGCTTGACGGCGTGGTCAGATGTCGTTACGCAGATGCGGATTCTCCTGATTCGAAAAAGTCTGATCCCAATCGAGATTGACTGTTGAGTATCCAGTTGGGACGCTCGGACCCAAATGATGAACTGATGCCCTCTCTGCGCCCAGGCGACCGTTTCGTTTCCTTGCTTAAGCCATAAAGACAACCCATTGTCACGCGCAAGCAGTCAACAATACTTCGAACCAGAAGTGCTAATATAAACGGTAAAACCCGAAGCTTCTTCTCTTCGCAGACGTTCCGCTCGTGCCGCGGGATGCGGACGGTTCCATTCCGCAGCAGGCGGACCTATCCGCAGTCGTCCGAACGTTCGAAGAAAGGGGCACGACGGCCACTAAGCTGGTTACCCCAAAGGTGAGCCACAGGATCGAAATCTCAGGCGCTCCCCATCACTCAGGTGATGTTGGATTTGCAAAATTCTTTCGTTTTGCTAGATACTTTGAAAAACGAACCCAATGGTCGCACATTCCGTCGTTGGAGCAGTAAGCACTCCTATCAGTAAAAGGAAGTAGAACCCGCCACATGGGACAGAGGGGAGTAAAATTTTACAATCGCAGTTCTCTAGTCCTTCATTATAGCTCTCACCTGACTCCAACTAGCCGTTCGGCACTGCACGGGGTATCTCCCCACCCTCCCCAAGGGTCCTCACAGAACGAACAGAACTGAACATATTGTGAAGCTTGACTGTCGACCCGGTGACGTCATCCATTCTCAGGTGACGCAAGCAGCCTGTGACCAATTTGGATGCGCGACGCTGAACGGTGCCGAGCTCGAGAACGACGGAGGCACTGGGACCGCCGGCAGCCACTGGGAGGAACGGATCTTCCACGGGGAGCTTATGGTGAGTTGCCTCAGTTTTTGATCAACCGGGTACTGGCAGTTTTTGGTCAAACGGTCGCCTTTTGCGGAAGTTGCTGCGAGGGGTGCATGCTGCCTGTTTTGATTTGCCTGTGGCCCCGTTTGTCGTTTTGGGCGGTCTGGGGGACGGACATGCGTTGATGAAGTCGCCCAATTCTGAGAAGCAGACGGCACTGCGGGGGGGGACCCTTCAACGGGCAATCTGGGTAAAGTCTCTGCGCTTGCCGTAAGTTGGGAAAAAGAGGTCGCCGGGAATTTTAGACCAAACCGTCCAAGCATTGCGGGATCGTTCATCGAGCAGTGCTTTTTAGATCGGCGCTATTAGAAGATTTCCTTGCGACGTTCTGCCCAAACTCGTTTTAGCTAGCCCAAGGTCACGTTCGCAAAAGTTCCATCCTCCTGCATCTCGAGAATGCGCAGCTGCAAGTCATCGAGTCGCCCTTCCACAATACGCTTCCAAACGTCAACCCGAGCATTGAATCAACAACAAATGACTCTTTCTTGTTTGAACAGACCGCCGTCAGTCAAGCGCGGCCGGTATACTCCAAGCTTACGGCAGCAACGCTGGAGGACAGCGGGTGGTACGTGCCCACATATGACGTCACGCAGCCCCTGTTGTGGGGCCAGGGGCGAGGCTGCGCGTTCCCGCTCGCGGCATGCGCCCCAGGTAACGCGAGCGCCGCGTCCCATGCAAAGGCGCGCGAGGTTGCACATCTTAACAAAGATTAAAATTCGGCTAGAAATAGCTCATTCAGAACTTCTTCTCCGTTTCCCTGCAATAGCTATGCGGCCCGTGTCGCCTCAGATTTATCGAATTAATTTATTGATTTCAAGCTTCAGGCTTTCTGCTAGTGACTTCTTGTGCGAACCTGGCTCTGTCAGATTGTCGCTTACCGCTTCTTTCACCAGCAAACCAAAAATTGCAAAGTCTGTCATATTCTCGTAATCTCAAGGCATGATGTGCTCTCGAGACGGGGTCCTCATTGAGGGCTGTTGTGATTCGCAGGGGGCGCGGTGCCCGTCGATTCTGCGTTCTCCGGCTTCTACTGCGGCACGGGGTTCCGCAGCTGGACGGATGACGGCGGGGTGACGTCAGCCCTGGTAAGCGGCTCTGGACGGAGTCAGCACCGCAACGGGGGCAAAGATTCTTCGCTGTCACGACACTTCAAATGCTGTGGGAGCACCCTTTCTCCAACCTAAATGCTTCCGTAATTTTAGGACCAGCTATATAGCAAGGACCTTAATCTGCAGCAGAGACCGCTTGAATTCGTTCAACAATCGTCTAATGTTTGTGGAACGGGACGGATCCCGGGGGGGTCGAATTTCGACAAAATTTTGCGAAGGTCCGTTCAGAAAGTACTGCTTCTGGAAAAAAGGACACATATGCCCATGCAACATTGTTTTTCAGTCAAACAAAGCCGTACATTTCATCACTTTGCTCTCTGGGTCAACAGCCCTAGCGACGCCTTGCAATCACAATGTATGAACTGACGCGCGCAGGACCACACGTGCACGGACGATGAGACGGCGGTCGGGTACTGCCAGGCGTGCAGCGCAACGGACGGCACCTGCTTCACGGACGGCTGCATGCCCATCGTTCCGTACGTCCAATGCCTCACTTACGTTTTTGGAGCTTGCTCAATACTTTTGACACTTGTGCGGCCGCTCTATCACACGGTGCTTCCAAAGAAACCCCTTGGTTCAGGTCGTACTTCAACTTTCATTAGGCAGGTGGGTAATCGGCTCTGTATTAAGCTCACGAGTGCGTGCCACATGAGGACCCTGCAGGTTTAAGAGCAGACAGACTTTCAACGGGTTGTGTGTACTGTTCGGCAAAACTCGCCATCTGGGCATTGACGTACTATTGAAGTTTTTCTGGTGGAGCAGTCTGTACAAAGGCGGACCCTATTGCTTCCATTATAGGGCGCTGCCGATTTCCCTCACCCTTCCACTCACAGCACCTAGCAAACGCTTTCCACTCGTCGTTCTCAGTTGCTGACTCCACTTGCTGTATACACGGCACTTCTTGGGTCTTTAGCAGTCGCCTCAACCCTCACCTTGCCGCCTGATGTTAGGCTGATGTCTGCTCTCGATGTTACATTCTTGACATATCTGCAGAATTTTTTGAATCATCGCAGAACAGACTTCTGCACAAGTATTCTGTATCAGTCTGCAAGTTTCAAATGAAGTGTCGATCGTAGTAACATGATTCTGCAGTTGGCTGCGGTCAGGAATGGAGGATGAAACAATATCTTTGCATATTTTTGCAGACTGTCCAACTATGTGTGTACGGACGCGTCTTTGGGGTCCGATTCGGACGCTTCCAACTCGAGCAGCCTGGCGTACTGGGGCCAAGCTTTCGGCGTCGGTTCCAAGTGCGTTGCGGACGGGTCCGAAGCCTGGAGTAAAAACGGATTCGAACGTCCGCCGGTGGGGGGCGGGTGCTTCCGCTACCAATGCAGCTGGGATGTCACCGGAACGCAGGTAAATGTTTTCCTGCTTTTTGTTTCTGGATCCAGATCGAGATAGGCTCTTAGATGCGAAGTTGTTTCTTCGCAGACGACGACTATCTTGCAGAACACTTACTTTCGTTTTCGCAGATTTTGGTCTGGAAGCTGGAATTTGGTTGTGATTATTCCGGAAGCTTGCAATGCCCCGAGAATAATTTCCGGTTCCCCGCCGCCAGGAATACAAACGGCAGCTACAACCAAAAAGCTCCTCTGAAAGTTCGAATGGCTTGCTGCCAAATGGCTTTAGACATGATGAACGGATGTAAAGCGCGTCTGCCTCACGTGCTTTGAAGCAGTACGTATTTCAGAGTCATTCAATGTTGAAGTCGCTGCCAGTTTGACCGAAATGACGTCCTGAGCGACTCTAAAAGGCATAGTCGGGCATTGGGTCGCCGAGGTGGACTTGTTTCCCAGATGCCTCTTCTAAAAGTAACCTGATTGCCACAGGCCACACTTATGATTATGGTGGGCGATCAAGCCGTGACCTGCATCGACGGTCGAGAAGTGCCGCTGTCAGCCGCCGGCTTCGATTCCGGCAGCATCGGTCCGTGCCCCGCCGCGAACGCCTTCTGCGAGAGCGGGGGGTGCGTGAACGACTGTGCCAACCAAGGCAAGCTCCCCCCCCAGCACTGAAGAATGCGCTTGAGACTTTGATTTCAAACAAGGCGCTGCGTTGCTTCGAGGAGCTGGCAACCGATACTTGCTTCTGCTGGAAAGCCAGAAAGAGAGTCATAGGGTTTGTTGAAAAGTGATTACGACCAGCGTTTGGGACTGTTGAGGCGGTGTTCTGCTTAACCGCTTTCTGCATGTTTGTTTTGCTGTGAGCAGTATGTTGACCGTAAAGCAGTCGCAAAGCAAAGCAGAAACCTTCATTGAAGGCAATGTACTGCAACGAGGCTTGAGAGAATCATCTGCATTCCTAGCGCTTACAACTTTTCCGATGGATCTGACATGATCAAAGGAGGTAATCGTTCGATGACGGCAAGGACGTAGAAGAGCCCGTTGGATCACCCACTGAAATTTGCGTTTCTTTGAGATCTCCCAACAGAAGGAAAGACCGAAAAACGAAGGTTGCGCTTTGACCGATCTTATGTTCGAAAGACGCCCCAAAGCCCGCCGTCTCAGAGAAAGGCATTTTGATGCAGGCGTCTGCGTGGGGGGCACCTGCAAATGCCTTATCGGCTGGGCAGGCACGGACTGTTCTCAGGTAAGGCTCGCGTGTCTCCCTGCGCTGACTTGCTGCTCATTTCCTCCGCAAGACAAGCAGCCTCGCACTCCCTCCAGACACATCAATCTTTGTGCTCGCTCCTTTGCAAACTCTGCCAGAGGCGCGGAATCTTACAAGCAGATATTTCCACTTTCCCTGGCAAGACTCCGAACCGACAGCATTTCGATCGCCTTACTCTATCAATGCCTTGCCAACGAGACAGTACAGGGCTCCGAGAATGTTACTAAAACTCCTGAATCCTCCGCGTCTGCAGCTGCAATGCAACGACGGCGTCTGCCCCACCGGCTACACCTGCGACCCGGTCTCGGGCGTCTGCCTCACGGCGACCGCGTTCCCGTCGCCCTCACCTTCCGCGTCGCCCGCAAGCCCCGTCCAGCCCGCCCCTTCCTTCTCCCCGATCCCCTCCCGTTCCCCATCGCCTTCGGCGTCCGCATCGCCGTCCGCATCGGCCCTCCCGCCGTCCGCATCCCCCAGCCCGTCCGTACAGCCGTCGCCGTCCGCGCGGCCGCTCACGGCACCATCAGTTGGTGAGGGTGCGGCGTGACGGCCTCTATCTGTCGAACTCTAATTGAAGCAATTGCTGCGTTTCTAGTTTCTAGAATGTTTTCTGGTTACCGTCCGAATCGCTCTTTCGGCGTCTGCATATTCAGACCATCTAATCAGCCATCGGCGTTAGGGCGGCCGCTCATGGCGCCAGTGACAGGTGAGTCGCCTTTCTTCAACTCGTGGAAAAGGGCCTCAATCCGATGTTAGGGAGTATGGGCCTCATCAAGGTAAAGTACACCGACTAAAGGAGTTGCGTCCAGAAAGGGAGCCTCTCTGAAAAGTAACTCACAGCAGTTCATCTGTAGTTTAAACGCGCGCCGATCGAGCACGTACTCGGGTCTTCTAATTCTGATCTTTCGGTTGATGAAGTAAACTGGGGATGTTTAGGAACCACTTTTGAACTCAGTTCTCGTTTGCTTGCAGTATCCGGCATTGTGTACTATGGCTACCTGGCCAACTGCACGCTGTGCATGGACGCAAACGGCAATCGTCGGTGCGATCTGGGGGAGGCGACGACCATTACGAACGCGACTGGCGGCTTCGAGTTTCGACAGGTAAGTTCCTCACGCAGAAACCAGTCGTACTCACGGATCGTAGGTGCCCATGTTTTGACTCAATCGATTGGGATTTGAGGACAATCACACTTTGTGTGGAATTCGGCGTTGTAAACGAAAAGATTAATGCGCGGAAGATGACAGGAGTTCACGAAAGGCCCTGCTCGAATTGTTAAGTCTACTGAGCCAAGTGGTTACTATTCAAACCATTATCAGCACAGAAGCAACGCGCAAGCATCTGCTGAAAGGCGGCTACTAATGTTTCACCATGTCCTTCGCTCCGTTTTCAGGTGACAATCCAAAACTACGGGCCAGTCATGCTCCGTCTCGGCGACCCGTCTTGCGTCGACAGCCTTACAAACCTCTTCCCCACCACGATCATGGTCGCCCCCCTGGGTTCCGCCGTGGTTAGCCCGCTAACCACCTTCGTCCAAGCGCTGATGGACGTCGGTTTCGTGACTGAGAGCCAAGCAGAATCGGCGGTCAGGAACGCTCTGCGGCTGCCATCGACGGCTCAGATCACGTCAGGAGATCCGATCCAGGGAGTACTGGCGGGAACTGCGGGGAGCTTAGAGGTACTCAAGGCGGTAGGGTATCTAAACAACGTGGCAGCGCAGGTGAGAGAGTCCGGTTCCGCCAGTTGCACTCCGCTTCATGTTCGGTCCAATAGATAAACGGTGTCAAACCTGGCATGCTTCTCCTTTCCTTGCGTTTCTGCTTAAGAGCTACTCTCCTTCCGCGTATTGCAAATATGTGGAACGACAGGGTTTCTTCCCGCTGGCGAGAGTCTGCTGTGAGTCGTGGCTTACGGTTAACGACACTTCTGAAGTCTGATTGGAATTGGGATTCGCAAGCTCTGTCGCTTGGAAGGGCCCAGGCAGGTATACATGACGCAGCAGAGCAGAGATAAGGATTGCAGTCTACTTTTTGTCTCAGACTTTGCTTGATGCCAGTGTTCATAGCTTCATCAAATTACGCGTCTCCTCTTGCCTCCTTGACTCTGTCAAGAGCATGCATGGATTAAGGTTTGTGTCCTATCTGCAGCCCACGCTAGCGATGCTGCAAGTCAAAAGCCGAGAAAAACAGCAAATGGGAATCAAGCCCACACAAGCAGCATACCGTTCCACATTGGACCCATGACAGGCGCAATCATGTCAACGCATCTCACTCAAAAATCAGGAAGTGCAAATATGCAAACAAGACCTCTCACTTTGCGCCGTGCAGTTCGGTTCCCTCCTTGCTGGAGCGACCACAACTCGGTCGCCATCCGTCGATCTGGCCCTCTCCCGGTCCGTGTACCGCGCCATGGCGACCTTCCTCCTCGAAAACCAGGCTCTGCCGTCGCCGGCAAAAGCCAGCCGCGTTCCGTCCTCCGCATTCGCTGACTCGGCGCCAACCTATGCTGTGACGTCACTCCTCGACGTCAGCACCTGCTCGGAATTGGCGGGGTGGCCGGGGAGCTGCTCGGTTGGACCAACCCCGGTCATGGTTAGCGAAAACCGGGAAACTAACCCGGGCATGGGATTGATCGTTCCACGAAGGGCGGCCGAGCAAGCGAGCCTTTACGACGCAAGCTCCTCGTCATCCCTGAACCTGACTGACGTCAGCACTCTCGAGGGCATCGTGGACCTATCCGTCAGCGACGCCGTTTCCGCGGGAGCCCTTCCGTCCGGCGCCGACGTCAGCGCCAACGTGGCGGCGTCCGTGGTGCGCCTCGCGGCCGCGTCGAACGCGATGGTGGCCGCGATCGGCGCGGGCAACGGCACCCAAACCCTCCAAACCCTAAGCCAGGCCGCGGCGACGGCGCGCGGGTCCGTGCTCGACTCGATCCAAGAGATGAGCGCCGGAAACATCACCGTCGCGACTTTCACGGCGAACAGCGCGCCGGAACGGCTGGCGCTGATCGCATCCACCATGCGGGTCGCCGCGGTGACGTCACCAAGCGCGGACGCGCCCGCGAGCGCGCCAGTCGCGCCGCCCCCGCCCGCGGCCGTTGCGCCGGCGGTTACGGTGGTGCAAACGGCGGGAAACGGAGTGTACTTAATCGGAGGTTTATTGGTGGGTTTGTTTTTGGTACTGGGCGGAACGATCGGGTTCATTTTCTGGAGGTGGCGGCGGATGCAACTAGAGAGGGAGAAGAATCCTGACGGCTGGAACGCGGATACAGTCGGCAGGACTACGCGGGGCTCGAAGCGATCGCGGTCGAAACGTCGGTCGAGAAAAGTCACGGGCGAAGCGGAAGAGGGAGTAAACTCTGGGGCTCACACGGGAGAGGAGAACGGGGACCGGAAGGAAGGCGAGGAGGAGTTGAACGGGTCCGGATCGGAGCGGAACGGAACTGTGAGCGAGAGTGTCGTTTCCGACGGGGACGCGAGCGTTACTCAGAGCGAAACAGAGCCTGAGGACCATGGGCGACGTCACGGCAGAGGCGCCGGACGTCAGCAACGGATTGACGGAGAGTATTCCGACGGTTCTGGCGAGTCCGATGGGCAGTCGGACGAGGAAGACGTCGGCAACCGGTCTCAGAGGCACCGTCAAAAGCAGTCGACACGGGGGAGGCCCCGTTTGGCGAGCGGTCGTCGGTCTTCGGCGGGGGAAAGCGAGAGTGAGGAGCTGGACAAGGCCCTGGTTTTGAACCGGGGCGAGAGCACCGCTGTCCAGCTTTCGAAGAACGGCCGCAGACCGCAGGGTCTAAGAGGATCTCAAGAGGAACCGGGACTCGAGTCGCAAAACAGCGGTTCGTACATCTACGCCCCACAACAGATCATCATCATCAACCAAGGGAACGGCGCCGAAGGCGACGCGCGGCCGCACGCGCGCGGGCAAACCCCTCAAACCCCGAGGTACGGGCCGCAGCGCAACGTGCCGCAGATCGCGGCGACCACAACCGCGACGCTCGCGCTCGAGGCGGCGCCGCACAATGCTGACGAGGAGCCCTACGTCACGGTGCCGTCAGAAGACGACGGGAGGGGCAATGGGTTCTCGGTGACAGAGGTAATGGACGAGTCCGCTTCCGAGAGCGCAACGGACGGATCGGAACGGTTGGAATGGGCGAAACGGATGGTGAGTTCGCCCCGAGCCGGCGCAGAGCTGTCAGGTGACAGTAAGGGAAAGCTGGTTAACCAAACCTCGCCTTCGGTCAAGGAGAGCTTTTCCACGACGGAAGACGGATCGCTCTTTAGCACGTCGTTGTCGCCACCCTACGTGAACCAATCTCCTCCGCCCGCCTCAAGAAAAAAAGTTCCGACAAGCAAACCGGCGCCTCCCTCACAAAAGGCTATGCCCGTCAACGAGAGCTTTGCGCCTACAGAAAATGAACTCATGGTTAGCACGGTCAGTGCCCCGGTTGGCGGCAACCCACCTCGGGTTAGGCAGAACCCAGAGCGCGCCCCGGTTGACAACGTTCCGGTCCGCCAAAAACCAACGCAGCCGCGAAACGCTCAACCGGTGCAAGAGAGCTTTTTGGTCGCCGAAACCTCTAGCGGCAGCCTACCGCAAACGAGAGCGGCTCCTGCGAAGAAACCGGTGTCCGCTTCCCCGCAAGCCACGAGAACCGCGCCAGCTTCTGATGGGCGGCGGCCCAATGACGGTGCGCCACGTGAGCAAGACGAGCCCGGGGTTCAGGGTTTGGGACCCGCGCGAGCCGCGTCGCCCGCGAAGAGGCCGGTCCCACAAAGGGCGGCCCCGGTTCCTACCGGGCAGGTTCCGCCGCTCTCCGGGCCAGGCGCTGCGCCCACCGGGGCTGCCATCAGGAAGCCGGTGTCCTCCCCGATCAGGCCTGACTCCGCTCCAGCCAGGCCGGATTCCGCTCCCATCCGACCGGCCGGCGAAGGCGCCCCGAGGGTCGCGGCGCCCAGGCCGCAAAGCGCAGTGGCGCCCGGCGACACGTTGAGCTCAAACGCGCGGCAGCCGTCGCCCAAAAAACAAATTGTCCGGGCCCCTTCAAAGCCGGCATGGGAGGAGAGCCAGACGGTCGAAGGCGGGGAGTTCCGACCGGTAGAAGGGGTCGGGGGAGCCGGGACTAGTGGAACTGATCGGAAAGTAAGCCCGGTGCGTACCAAAAGCGGAGGGAATACCGCGGGGGCGAAGCAGCCGTCACCCCCGCAGAAGGGGGTTCCGGTCACGCACGCGCGGCCCCCCCCAACGGCGTCGACCAGCGCGTTCACATTCGAAGTCGATGCGCCGGAGGAAGGATCCGGTAGCCAATTGAATCGCTCTCCAAGCGGGAAGACGGCAGCTCGACCCGGTTCTGCAAACCCGGCTGCCCCTAACCCTCCCGCTTCAAGCGGGTTCGCGTCGATCTCTCTCGCGTTGATGAAGAAGGGCGCGCCCCCTGACGTCAGCAAGCAGGCGTCGAAAGGACGTCAGCCGGGGTCGCGCAAGGAGCCGGTGTTGGAGCGACAGGCGAGCACTGAGATACCCGTCACAGTCCTCTCTGCTAGTCGGAGCAAGACTCCTCAGAGGGGGGATCCGTCGCAGGCACAAGAGCCCCCCAGCCCGCGGACTAGGGATATGATGAGCGCGGCTGGTAGCGACCAAAGCGCTCGGGTTGGCTCCCCGAGAGCCGTTCCTGGAGGAGGGGCGACCATCAAGCGTGCCCCGGGGCCGCCCGGAGGAGCGAACGGGAAAAGTGCGCCCGTTGCCGACGTTGTGATTGACCTTAGTCGCAAAGGTGCGAGGTAGCTTTGAATTCAGTAGATGATGAGATGGTCTTGTGTGGGCAGTCAAAATTGCATGTGATCTGGTTGGCCAAGCTCTGTTTTGGGCAGAGCTCTTGCGACAGCTTTAGGCTGGAGGTCAACGAAGCAGTTAGTAACGCGTCTTGCACAGCTCTTGCACAGCTCCTGCAAGAACTGCTGCTCGTGTAGAGCTTTTCCTGAACAAGCTGCAGATAACATCTTGAAGCTCCTCCGACATGGGGGCTTGAACACCGATGGTAACTGTGTATGAATCCAATTTAAGCCCGCCTTTTGAGCTTGTGCAGGAGTAAAAACTCTTCAGAAGATGCAACGATAGCTTCAGGTAGACTATGGCATTTAAGTATGTACAGCTCAAATCCCGACCGATCTAGACATAAGCTGTCATGGAATCTGGATTGTGCTCATGTGATTTCCTCAATGCGTGGACGCGACCAGGAGTGTTGGACCTACCGCAATCAAGTTTCAAGAATGAATGCGGCTTGATTGCCGTTCAATTTGCAACCAGATTAGAGTATCTAGAAACGAAGGCCGCATGCACGTTTCTGCATTGAAGTGACCAAAATATCTTTTTATATGATGCAAATCGAACGTGTGTTGCGTGTAGCGCATAGTACTTCACCTGGAGTAGATTCAAGGTTCTAGCATTCAAGCACGGCTGGACTCAAAATCGATGGGAAGCTGCGAGCCTGGACATAGCGGGCCATAATTTATCAGCAATCAATACAGCGTGCTTCAGCAGACATATAATCAAGTCAACCTAAAGGTCTTGTAAAATGATGCTAACAAGACTGTCAACTTGCTCTCGTTGTACTCCTCGAGCACCCGCTCCCTGTCATTGAATCCAGTCCAGTTTTGGTGAGTTAGCTGCCGCCCAAACGCGACACCGTCAACATCAACGTCGATTCCAAACGGCTCCAAGAACTCAAGGACTCGGAGCTTGATCGCAAGGTCGGTTCTTCCTTCGACCGTGTCACTCTCTAGACTTCCTTTTGCCTCAACAACCCCCGAAAGGATCCCAACGCGCGTCTTGGCATGTTCAAGCGCTTCTACAAAATTAGCCGTGATCTGCCTCTTTGCCGAAGCAACCGCTGGTAGGCTTTCGCACAAAAAGCATGGATGCGAGAACGCAATATTGAAGGCGGCAATCAACCGAGTATCTGCATCCCCATCCTGAAACAGCCCCATCCTTTCGATGTCGAGAGTGTAAAATCCCGACTGGTCCGCCTTCATACCCTCAATAATCTCGTGCAATTTTACGTCCTCAAGACCCTTCCACACCGCTTCCATGACCTGCTCCCGGCAGTCGGCTTGTCTTGACACCACATCTCCAATCGAACCATCTTTTTGAATGTTTCTACACGGAAACTGCTCAAAGAGCCAGCCGATCGCAGCGTCCACGGTGTCAAAGAGCGCCATATATTCGGAGGGGTTGTCGCGGATCACGAAGCCATAGCTTATGAGCAGGTCGTCGTTGCCTCTCCTGCCATACGAGTCGCAGACTTCCTCGCCCTTGGAGATGTGCCGGGCTGCTTTTAGCTGGGTTGAGCGGCCGTCAGGGGCGGTCTCCCAAAACGCCTGTAACAGTAAGAAGGCGCTAGAGCAGTCAGGATACACTCTGGCCCTATTTAAGCCGTATTAGAGGAAGCTTTAAGAACACGGTTCTCGGATTCTCCTTTAGTCTGCCGGTTTGGAAGCACAGTACCTGCAATTAATAGCGTGAAGCAGCAGGCAAACACTTTTGACGGCTTCAACATTCAAGACGTTTCACTTAGACGCAGGCTGGCAAACTGGAAAAGTGCTCCACAAGCTCCTAACCAGGATCAGCAGGGAACCCAACGGAACGAAGCTTGCAAGCACAGCCACGCTCGTTCCGCTCGCCAACGTTCCTTTCCGCCCGAGTGGAAACGGAAACCAGTATTCCGTGCGTGCTTACGTTGAACCAAGCGTTGTGGTTGAGAAGGTCCATCAGCGGCACCAGCCCGCTGCCGTCACCCCGCCGATCTGCTGACGTCGCTCCTTCTGCAGACTGCATCAACGGGGAGTATAAGCCATATCAGCAATTGGGGCGGCCAGAAGAACAAGCGCTACAACCCTGCTGCTTTTTTGGGCGCTCCGTTCTGCCAACTCTTGCGCATGGGAGAGGCACGATCAAAAACCAACTAAATTTTTGCCGAATGAAAGCCTAATGGAGACGCCACCTAATAAGGCCTGCAAATTGGGTCAACTTCGAGCCCGTCCGGAATCATTCCGTCTCCATGTTGCGTTGCGCTACCGGTTTGTTGCACGTTCGGTCAAACCTGGCCGCCTGACCCGAGTCCGATTTCAACCGATCACAGAAGTTTGCCCGATGCGCAGACTCTGCAGCCTTCGATCACAGGGATGTTACAATCGAACGGCTCAAGTTCTGCGGGTTCGACCAAGTTCTGCAATCGGTCCTATCGAACTTGGGTCAGGCGGGCAGGGTTTGGCCGTGACCGAATGCGCAATTAAAAAGCCCCACCTCGAGGCGCACTCCCTTGAGCGCGAACGACCGGCTGAGCACCACAGCCACCGCCCACCGGAACTCGTGCCAGCTGGCATGCGCAATAAGGTCAGGAGCCTCTCTCGAGCAGCGGCGGTGAAGAGTCTGCATCCACGGACGCTGTGCCGCCAGCTTCGTACGTCCAATCTCGTACTTGACCTGCGTCGACAACAAACTGCATCGTTCGTGGTGCTTTTCTGTGTTGCTCTCGTTCAGCCGGTCTACCTTCGGACTTCGTCGGCTACGAGAGTCTAGATTCTTTCGTGTGGACGGTAGTTTTGCGTTCGCACGTTCGGATCCTTGCTCATCCTGCTGCAAGAGCAACTTCTTGCTCTAGCTCTGAGGATCATCGGGCCGTTGTTCGGTGCTTTTCTTGGAATCCTTGAGTATGTGATCGTCAAAGGCAATCACAGTGGCGAGATGCCGTTCCACTGGGCGGTCGCGGCTGTTCCCTTCGCCACGGCTTCCGTTGAAGGCGAGGGTAGCAACTCTCTAACATGCTACTCAAAACTTCATCTGCTCTCCCTAATTCTCCGCCTGGCGCAAAGGATCTCGGGAGTCGACCAGACACCTTTTTCTCACCCTTTTCAGGTCTTCGTCGTCCAGCGAGACCGCTGCGAGGACCTCGTCGGGCAGCGATTGGATGTAGTAGTAGAAGGGCGAGGCGGGACCCTTGGCCTTCTCCCGCAGGAGTGCGGACGCCAGCCGGACCGGCCATTGCGCATCGGACGTACACGCGGGCTGGGGCTGGCCCTCAACGGTGAAGAGCGTCTGATTGAACTGCACATTTGAAGCTTCACCCCGATCAACCTGCCAGTTGTTAGTGTCATCTAATCTTGACTGATTTCACTCAGCAACAGATTGACTAAGTTATACTAATATTTTCACTAAGATCGGGAGGCTGCTCGGAAGAAGCTGTAAGAGATGACAATCAAAGGTGACTAGAGGTCAGCGCGGTAGGGTGGAGAGGGTACAGCAGAAAGCTTTTTGACAGGTCAGTGGTCTCTCGACGCAACGAGGGTCTGGCCGGACCACGTGATCGACGAAAAGGTCAACGATGGAGGACTTGTGGTTAGCAGGGTTGTGTTGAGATGGTACTGGTGAATCTCTATCAATCAGGCCTTTGCCGTTGAATAGGGGCTGACTAATTTGTGAGGTTTGAGGGCTTGAATACAATGAGACGGTCTGAGAATCATGGTTAGGACACTTCTGGTCGATCAATTGGCTCGAAAAGAGTAAGCAGGGTCTCGAGTGGCTTTACTATCTCGATTGCCAAACCCGCAATCTTGGTGGGGACTGCAGCGGTTTACAAGTTTCAAACACAACAAGTTCGAGAGAAGAAAGCTGTTGCTCACCGGAATCTCTGCAATGATCTCTTCAGCTTTGATGTCGGCAATGGCTACGACACCGCGGATGCACTTGCATGCCCCCAGGTCGTCTCTAACCTCCACCTTTGCAGACGGGGGCAGCGCTCCGTATGCCCCGCCCTTGTCCATCCACTCCAGCATCTGGTTTTTTCAGAAGAACAAATCTTCAATGTTCTTTTGTTCAGATCCACACAATCAAGTGTTTGATTGGAGGATAATAGTAGGGTCACCTTAAAAGCTGGACTCAGCCTCGGCGTTCTGAGGTGCACGATGTGACTGGTGTGGAATGATGCTTGGAGGCCTGTAACTTCAGTCTCGGAAGTTTCAGCATCTTTCAATAATGGCTACGCCAGGAGTTCGTGTTACGTACATTCTAATTGGCATGTTCCTGTTGAATCGATTCAATAAAACCAACCTCGGCGAAGCTCTACTTCATATAATTTCAACCATGGCTTGCTGTTTCTCGCAAACAAAACCTTTTTTGTCTAACGTAAATAGGATAGACTAAGACATTCCCATGGAAGATGACAGTCACAGCCTCCCTTTGCGATCCTCACCTTGCGGAGCGCAGTTGCCTTGTCAAGCGAGGCCGCCTCAACTTCATTGCTGTCCCAATGCAAGGAATAGCTTATACAAGCGGCAATTGTGATAATGAGGCCCGTAATCCCTACCAGAACTCCGATAACCTTTAGACCTTCGGTATCGTCGAACTTCTTGGGGACATTCTTAGCTTCTGCCGTCGAAGTCTTGGCGGGTGGAACCGCTGCAATTGGGAAAGAAAGTAGTTGGGCGGCAAGAATGTTGCCAGCTTGACGCTTGAGCCAAATACCCAGCTGCACTTAGAGTTTACTCTAGCAATTCAAAGATTGCCTCGAAATTATGAACGAAAATGTGTGATAATATGATGAGACTTTTCTGAGCTCATCAGCGTTCATACGGTCTTTGTAAATCCAGAGAGAAACAAGATGCATCACTTCAATTGCTGATTGGATGGACTACTCACGACTTTCAGGAACTTGAAGGCAAATATGACACAGGTATTGAATAAAGTCCTTGTGCGGTGCTTTTGAGAAGAGATGCAGTCACTAGAGGTCTAAGTTACTTGTCCATGGGTTAAGTTGCTCTGTGACAATGACCGCGGGGAGGTACAAAGTTTGTCTGCCTCCTGAGGTCTAATAAGAGTGTGTAAGAAGCCAAGAGAGGATGTCTTACATGACCAGTTGACGATAAGGAACAGTGTTCTATCTTGAGCTGCAATTTCAGCAACATTGCTAGATGCACACAAGTGGTATCAGGGCCATGATGCAGAAGTTGCCCACTTTGAACTAGCACTGGACAGATTGAGGTGGACTAGCATCTGAAACACTTTCACCCGCAATGATTTTGAACACCCAAAGCCTGGAAAATGGTCAATCATAAGATGTCGTCATTCTTTGTCTCCTACCACTTCCGCTGCTAGGTTCATCTCCATGACAGACTGCGATCAGGTAAGACAGCTTTTCTTGGTGGCTAGGACTCCGCGCACAGATTCTGATCAAAGCAATAGACTGATCTACACGCCCACTGACCTTCAGCTTGCACCGGTCTCTGCACTCGAGACGCCCGCTGTGCCGGTGATGTGAGAGAACGTCCTGACCGTGCCACATTCGAGGTATCATCAGTGGTGCCAGCCATTTGGAATCACACGGCTGCTACTACCTATATGATAATGCAACTCTGCCTCACAATGGGTCCAAAAGAAGCTCAATCTGTGTGACCTGAAAGACAAGGAGGCAACTTTGATTGCGGCGCCGATGCTATTGAACTCCCGTCGGAAGTGAAGAAGACACGATGCTGCATGCAACGACCCTAGCTCAAAGGCGTAGAGGCGGCAAGAAGCCTGCCAATGGAGTCCTGCTCAGGCTGCTTTGCCCCGATCTGCTCAGCTTAGCGCAGCTTTACCTTCAAGTTCAAGCTATCTAGCTAGTCCGGAGCAGAAAGATCAGCTGCATGGAATCCAGAGCTGTAGGTCAGATTTCACGACAGTACTCGGACGAAGACCCCGCCTGAATTCCGATACCGCAGAAGAAACGGCAATCGGAGTCTTTGACACTTTTTTCCAGTAGTACCTCTCAAAGTTATAGCAATTGAAACCTGTGTATGGAACCGAACGGCTCTTCAGGCACTGTCGGTTTTCAAGGCCTTGTGGGCCCTGGCCCGCCTGGGGCCGTCTCCCGGGTGCTTTCATTGCTTGAAGGAATCTGGATCAGGAGGGCCGTCTGACGTCATGTGAATCTTCGTCAATGTCGACACTGACAGAGTTCAAGTCGCTAAAGGCTCTCATGGGGGCTGTGATGCATTCATTACATATGCAAACGAGGCCAGCGGGAGCTCTCTCAGTTAAGATGCTGGTGATTACAAGCCTTGTAGGAAGCATGATGTCATCCAATTGATCTGCGCATAAGTTATGGCATTATAATGCATGGCACGTGCCAGACTCGATGATGTGGCTTGCTGAACGTCAGGCACTACGATGGTCTTCAAAGCAGATTGATGTGCCCGGCCTTAAGCCCTGGCACTGTTGTATAGTCCATCTAACACAGTCGCTCAATCTGACCACGTGCGCTCGATTGCGCCGCTACTAGACTTTCTTATGAGGTTGCTAGAAATCGACCGATTTCTGCAACGACCCTGATAATTAACCCACTTTCGACTTAGTATTGAGTTTCTTATGCTACCTGTGGTGTGCCGATCCACCGCTTCATGGCCGGTGCTGCACGGCCTAGTACACAAGCCCTACTGAACTATTTCGAACGAGCATGTCACCTGCTTTCAAGGCAGTTGCGCTGTTTGCATGCTCCGATAAACCGTTTGCAGCTTAGCTTAAGCGTGCTATTAAACTAAGAGCGACAGCGGCATCACCTGCACGACGTACCAAAGCATGGGTTCAAGAAGTTGAGAGGGGTCTCGATCTTGAATGACTCTATGGGCACACCCTTGACCAACCTCAGTCTGGATAATTCAAAGGTGTACAACGCCTCTACTCTGCAAATGCGACAGGCACGGTGTTCCAAGGACACAGACAGAGGTCTGACGTCGTGAACACAGTGCGTCCATACGAAACACTGGAATAAGAGTCCAAGCCGGTCGATAGGCCATCTGTAATAGGCAGTATCGAGCATTTGAGATTGCCTGATTCGTCTTGGCGCAGGTCCAAGTCGCGGAGCAGACGAACCGTCCTATTAACCGGCCTTAAACACCAAAAGAGCTAACTGGAAAGCCCAGCGAAAAAATTCTCTGATTAAGTGCACGCCTTTTAGAAGGTATTCCAAACGATAATAGTACTATCTAAATGACTTTCACAAATCAACCGCCCGCCTTTTCTAGATTCAAATCTCTCTCAAATTGCTTACTTTCAGTATGTTTTTTGTTTCTGAAACTCTTTCCCACTTCTAAAAATCCGCCCAGGTTTTATGATGGCAATATCAGCTTTTCTACAGAAAATCGTTGCACGTAGCAGCCGACTAAGCACTCATATGACCCAACCTCTCGAAAGCCCCATAAAAGCCGAGAGGCGAACATTGGCGCGTTCGGCGGGTAAAATGCAAGTCTTCAAAGGACGGAAAGATACAGGACACCGGGACTCACCTCTTATTGACTCCAAAGACAACCCTTCGGGCACGTTCTGCGCCGACTGGACCGTCTGCTTCGCGGCCGCCACCCCAAACGCCGCAGCTTCGACCGGGTTAGCGGCTTGACCCGTCACTAACCCGGCCACAGTTCCCGCTACAACCGAGTCCCCAGCCCCGGTTAACCCGACCACCCGGGCAGGCAGTGCCGGAACATGATGATGGACGATGCGCCGGACGCTCGCGCTAGATGGAACGGCAGCGTAAGATGCGGAGGTAAGTGGCTGACACGAACCCGGGGTTTGATGACTAGAAAACGGCGGGGGTTGTATGGGTTCCGTGGCGAGAGGCGAGCTTAAGGTTCCAACTCTGACACTTTTGCGTGAAACTGCAATTGGTCTCCCTGAACGCTCCGCATGACTCCAATCTTCGTTAGGCCCTGACCGATAACCTTGACTATGGTGCGGGCTGCTGCTTTGAGCTTCCCCTTCCGAGTGGGTTCCGTTCCGTAGGGATAACCGGTATTCGTCCTGGTTCGCGAACCGGCTCACGCACACGCCCCTCGCCCCAAGCGTCAGGACCACGTGCCGGACGCCCGCATCCAAGATCTTTCGGACGTCCGGTTCGTACCGCCGAATGACGTCGGCCACTGTCTCCCGGTGAATCTCCCGCAATCCGCTTGATCTCTCGTCCACAGAGGGGAGGGCCTCCGTTGAGCCCGTCCGAAAGTGTCCGCGAATGTTGACTCCGTCCGAAAAGTCGCCCTGTATCCGGAATCCCCTTTTCAAACTACCGTGATCACCCGAGCTTGATTCCGCGCGACCGCGTTGTGACTCTGGCCTACACGTGGCAGACTTTGGCCCGCATATTTCGCAAGTGCAGTGTGCCAAACCTTCCCGTCGGAGCCCCTCTACTCCCACAAGCGCAAACTTCTTTTCGAACGACGCCGAGTCGTCCGGATCACGTGACGGAGTACAGCCGCAGTGGAAGCCCCGCAATCCGGACGGTCGAGGCGTTTCGGACACTTGAGCACCGAAAAAGGATGCGGACGCTCCGTTTGAGACGCGTGGACTCGTTTGCGAGCTTCCAGACGACTCGGACGCCCCAAGAAAAGAGCGCGGGTCTAGTTCCGAGGCAGCGGCGGACGGTTCAGACGCCCCGGACGTTTCGGACGCTCTAAAGAAAGGGGCCGACGCCGGCTTCGACTGAGCTGCGGACGCTTCGAACGCTGGGGACGCTTTCGACGTCCTGGAACGTCCTGGCAATTCAAACTTTCCGGACGCTGCTTCAAACGCCGCGGCCGCCATGGACGCGACTTCTTCTTCGCTGGGCGAGACGAAGGTGACGAGGCTGAGCGCGCGAGTGGCGCGCGTCGACTTGCTAACAGAGACGGGCTCGAACCAGGTCGGGACACCGTGCTTCGCAGCGACTGCAAAAGGTAGGTTGTGAGAATTGGTAAGGGCATGGAATGTCTCAGATGGGCGCGGTGAGGAAGTTGGAGAATTCCCAACTCTCAGACCGATTGGAGAGACTATTGTTGGAGTTGAATGAGTAGTTTTGTTGTCTTCACAGGAACGGTTTGAGTCCTGGCTCCACTATTCGTTCAGAATGTGTCCGCCCCAAAGGTCCGACGATCAAGACTCTGATTGGTGCAGAGGAGCAGAACGAGAGTTAGTCGCCAATAATGTTCGAACCAGAATTCAAGCCTGTTAAAAAGGGGAACGTAGAATCCTCCAACTCGATCAGTAAAGAGCCACCCTCGAAGAACAGCTTTGCAACGTTGAAAGCAGGTCGCCCTGAAGCGCGACCCCTTTGAACTGCTGCCGCTTCGCAAAACCTAAGACGTCCAAGATCCTTCCTCTGTTAATAATAACCAACATGCAGTGTTGCTCACTCTGGCACGCCGTCCAGATGGCATCCGGAAGCAGGTTCGCGTCCAACACTACGATCGGCGCTGCAGCGATGACGTCCTCAAAACGGAGAATCCAGTCCGGCGTCAGATGCTCCTCGATCGCCGTGATGTCATCAATCGATGCAGCAATCTCGCCGCCGGTGTCGAGAATGGCGGATACGATGGGTGTGGCGATTCCCGGCTTCCGCAGGATGCCTGCAAGATCAATCAGCGGTTTTGTAACTTGATAGGGATGTCGAATCAGCTTGGACGACGCAAAGGGTTCACTGCAAAGAACAAGCTACTGCACTCGAATCTCGAGGGGGAGAACGACCTCAACAAGGCAGTCCGTGGGTGAGTGGGGATAGGAGACAGGATTTCACTTCAAAGGGGCCTGAAGACGAGCGACCTTGCCTAGATCTTTCTGGAAGGTTGGATGTCAGAACATGCTCCACACTGATGCGCAGCGCCTTCGACCGTGACCCAATCTAGGTTCCTCATTAACCGAAAACTGCTAGGCTCCCCAAAGTACACTATGGGGCTCTAGCTGATAAGTATCGGTCTTTACTTTGCATACGTCACGTGATTGATTGAAGCGTTTCTCATTAGTCCCGAGGACCGCCGATGAGGCGCTCACCCATCTTGGTCGACATGGAAACTCAGACGCCCCTGTCAAAGCAGCGCCAGCACAGAGATAGCCTCTGCTAAAAGCAGGTCATGGCGGCTTAAGTGCCTCAGCATTGAAACGGACCTTGACCCAACAGTGCGCATCAACTTGATGTTTTGAAACAGAGATCCTAAGCTGTGGACAATTTTGGTGGTGCTTCTCAAGCGAAAAACCGCAACTTACCTTTTCGAGAATGTGCAGAAGAGTTGCGATAGCGCTTGTTCTGATATCCTGAGCACTGGATAGGTTTGCATTTGACGCTTGAGAAACCATATGGTGACAACAGACCTTCATGATATGCTATCAGCGAGGTGCAAGAATCATGACCCGAGTGCCATTTTTAAGAGGGAGAACAGAAAGGAGAAGAAGAGAGTAGCAAGAATTCGACCATCTCCTGCACATTGTTATGAGGACCGTTTTGATTGGTATGCTTGAAGGCATTGAAGAACAGAGTAATGCAGGAATTGAAAAACCAGCAAGGTGGGGCTGTTCGTACCTTCCAGAGGTAGCCCCAACTCCTGCCAGTGCGCGAACATCGCCTCTCCGGGGGGATCCCGTCCGAGCACACTGATCAGAAAAGGGGGGGCTCCGAGGCACGCCATGCACTCTGCAACATTTCTTGCAACACCCCCATGGGTAAAGAACACCTGCAGAGAGTAGAGGAAGGAAGTCTATCTACACGCATGCTGCGGAGTTGACGGCCTCTCTAAATGATGTCCCGGTGGATTGCTCAAAGAGAGCTTAAATGTACAAAGAAAGAAGTGGAGGGAGGAGACCTTTAGGAGATGGTTGCTGTGCAAGTTACCAGAGATTGTGGTTGAGACTTTCAACCCCTCTGCATATTAATGAGCTTCTACCGGAACGTCAGAAAGAAACCAAATCACCATCAGCTGAGTTCAAGCTCATCCTCACCTTCACATGAGTGCGGCCAACAAACGAAGTGTTTTTAAGGGATGCTATACTGGAAACCTTGTGCCACCCAATAATGGTAATCCCTCTGATCCCTTTAACTTCGACCTACAGCCTTCAGTACTTTGTTACAAGGTGGCTCAATCATCGGGGCGTGACAAGCCCTTACATTGAAACCCTCTGACGGCCCTAGAGACAGCGGTGCCAACTGGCTTTGAAGACTATGCGCAAGGGGAGAGGATTGAGAGGCTGATTGGCACGCCCCAGGGGGGGTGGTGTGCCATGGCTGAAAGTGGAAGGTCCCACGATCACGCTGGACTCCTGGACCACTGACTTGAACCCTTTCTGGCGAGCACATGGAGGCGCTCGAACTTTTGTGGCTCACAAATATCATAGTCTCAGAGTCTCTTACCTGCTCACAAGTGCTCAAGACCTTCACTCAGGCGATTGACTTTCCAGGGCTCCTACCTAGCTCGTTAATGCTGACAGTAACAACAGCGGACAGAAAGCGGCTGTAAGGGGGAATCGTGTGACCCATAACAGATAACCCGTATGCCAGTATTCTAACTCACTAACTGCGTGACCACGTGATTTATCTCTTGGCAGCAAGAAAGCAGATTAGAATACACTGCGAAGGGGCCCGCCGCGGAACCATTTGGTTAGACGCCCCTCTTAAACTTCTAAAGGTCAAACCATCAGGCGCTTTCCCTTGAATGGTAGTCCGCTCCTATCAGTAGGCTCACGAATGCTGACATCAAGAGCCGCCGAACAAAAATCAGCTCAATTTTGAGGGTTCAAAGCACCAGGGACTCACTTTTCCAGGGGTGGTCGTTCCCCTCTGCAACGTGTGCTCCTTTGCAGTCATGCCCTGAACGTCCATCACCATGCCCCCAATCACCACTGGCTGGCCCCCCTTGTTTGGAAGCCATCCACTTTGCGTTAGGGCCTGGCTGGGAGAAAGTTCCAAAAGTTCAGCAGCAAACCCCAGCGGTGCTGATGTGGCAGTCGCATCGGGTCTCAAGTGGTGCTGGAGGTGGAGGATACGATTCAAGGCCCGGCTAAGATCCATCATTCAGTCTGCTTGTCAAATCTGGGGGGCGTCAAAAAGTTCATGAAGAGACCAATTTAAGGGGCATACAAAATCTCATTGGAAGTTCAAAGGTGGACGACTGGAAGGGGAAGACTGAGCGCTGGTTGAGTGTGGAGCAGTAAGGTGGCCCCGCATGCTCCCTACGGTATTGCTGCTCGTTATAAACGCCAATGCCTGTACGTAGATCAGTGTAGCAGCAAATCCACTTCACTAGCGCCTCAAGGCTGAATCCTCAACTCTGTCAGAGTCACACAAGCGCACTGTTCCTCAGAATCCTGGAACAGGGTGCAGAACTTATGCCAAAACTTCAAGTTCTGGCACCAGAACTTGAAGTTGAAGAAGGTGCATGAGGCTGCTAGCTGCAGCATCCCGTTCCGCTGGAGTTCCGGTCCTGGACAGAAGGCGTGGCGTACCAGAAGGCAGAATCCGCGCGTGGTCACCCGGGATGGAGAATAGCGTACAAAATCCCTGATCTCAGGAACCTTTCCCGATCTCGGGAACGGGTTACGACTCCGGAGTCCGCCGGTCGCGGACAAAGAATCTAGGCCCTTATGTTTGCATCGAGATTGCACGGACGGCGCTGATCGTATCTGACTTTCACCGGGTGGCCGCGTGAAATTCGCAGACATTGTAAGAGGGGTCACACAATAGGGAAGAACAGAACCCCCGGCGGTTGTTTCCTCAGATCCGGAATGTCCTGAGATCCGGAACCTGAGATCAAGTTCTGTACGCTTTTCTCCACACCCGCCCTCCCCGGTCGCGCAAACACTTCGGAGGCCGCCCGGCGGCTCCACGAACCGTGCCAGACTTGAACTAATTTTCCAAAGTGGGCCTAGTTCCGACGCCGTCAAAGTTCCACGTCGGATTATCGGAACCGTGGAATGTGCTGCGTGGCCGGCCGTCGGCGGATTTCAGCCTTCAGATTTGCAGACTTCGCAAGTATATTTAACTAACTTCGGAGTTCGGCGCGCCGGAATTTTCGGAGTCGGAGTCACTGGCTACTAC